TGCACAGGTCACGGACTACTTGCTCAAGAGGGGGTTCAACCGGACCGAAGAGGTGTTTCGTCAGGAATCTAAACATCTCGGCCCTGATGGCAAGCCTATCTATCAACTGGCCAACCTTGGCCCCAAAAAGTACCAGCGAGCCTTTGGACTCCTTCGTGAATGGGTCGAGAATAACTTGGACATATACAAGGTAGGTCATGGCCATCCTTCTGCTGTTCTTTTGCTGACGACTACAGTTCGAACTGTCGAAGCTGCTCTGGCCCGTCTTCGTCTATTCTTTCCTGGAACTTGTCCAACATGCCTACACTGAAGATGCGAAAGCTTTCCTCAGAGACATCGGTCCTAATTTCCAGCCAGTACACGCGGATGATCTCAAGACCCTTGGTACCATTACACTCCCGCAGCACATCAACGAGAACCCCATGACAAAGCTGTACCGGGAAAACAAGTACCGAATTCCTCTGAACCAACATGCCAGTGGTGATCTTTTTAACTTTCTGGAGCGCGAGTCTGATCAGGGTGGTTCCGTGATTCGTCAAGTCCTGGCAACCTATTGCCAGATTGATTCTACAGCTCGTGGACCCATTACCCCCTTCAGTTTCGAAGCTGTTTACAGAAGGTCAAGGAACATGGAGATAGAAAGCGTGGATACCAATGAAGGTATCCCAGGCGTCAATATTGGTTTGTCGAACAAGGATGTTCTCGACCCAACTGCTCCCCTGAAGCTTGGACCCCTACCTATGGATGCCGACCTACGCGAAGATGTGCGAGCTGAGCTCGAAGAAGAGGAGCGAAGAATTCCGCCGCCTCCTGGAAAAACATCGCTCGTGGAGGAATTCGACCAAAAGATTAAGCGTGAGGAGAGTGCAGATGCGCCTAGCAGAGCAGAGTTACCCTTACCACCCTCGAGACCGAGAGACATCATGCTAGAAATGCAAAAGCTTCGAGAGAATCGCGACCGATTCAAGATCGATGGTGCGACGGGAGGCGTGGGAGTCCCTATCAGCGCATGCATGTTTACATTCCATAACACGCTTGGAAGGTGAGTTTTGACAGCCCTGCAAGAACCGCTGGTATTAACAAGCCACAGTGTTGCCTGCATGGACTTCTCCAACGATGGGCAATTAGTGGCAGCTGGCACCACGGAATCTTACATTCGCGTTTGGTCGCTGGACGGTAAAGCCTTGCCCACGATGAACGCGCACGAGAAAGAAGCCAAGTTTAACAGCCGCAAGTTGATCGGACATTCTGGCCCTGTTTATGACGTATCCTTCTCCGATGCTGTTTCTGGCCCTCCGCAGAAGCTCTTTGGCGACGAAGGAAAGTCGAACCCTGCTATGGACACGCGACCTAAGCTGCTACTATCTGCATCTGCAGATGGCCAGATCCGTCTGTGGTCACTAGAGTCTTGGAGTTGCCTGTGTCTGTACAAGTCCCACGATGGACCTGCTTTTAGGACACTCTGGGGTCCCCACGGACATTACTTCATCAGTGGAGGATACGACAAAGCTGTTAGAGTGTGGATGCAGGACCATGCATCTCCTCAACGACTGTTAGTAGGACACGACACAGCCATCTCAGCGCTTGCATGGCATCCTAACGGCCTTTATGTCTTCTCCGCCTCTGACGAGACTGATAAGTCGATCCGTATGTGGTCCGTTGTAACTGGCGGTTGCGTCCGCGTGTTCACAGGCCACAACGAGTACATCACCGCCCTGGAATGCGCGCCAAATGGCAAGATCCTAGCAAGTGCCGATTGCGCAGGTAACATCTTCTTTTGGGACCTTGCTAAAGGAACACGCATCAAGCGGTCACGTGGCCACGGTAAGGGCGGCATTTGGTCACTCAGCTTCAGCGTCGAATCCAACGTGCTTGCATCTGGTGGACAAGATGGCACAGTCCGACTCTGGGATGTCGAGCTGCCTTCTGATCCCCAAAAGGCGAGCCAGCAACAGACGGGCCTCGATGCGACAGCAACAGGGGCCGATGGTACAAACGCGGGAGGCACTGTTGGCGAAGCTTCTCGCGTGACGGCCGGAACTTCAGGACCAGCTGGTACCAGTGGCACCACCGGAACGCACAAGAAAAAGAACAAGGAGGTCATGATCACTCCTGATCAGATTAGTGCGTTCCCGACGAAGAAGACACCAGTGATGAAGGTCAAGTTTACACGGATGAACTTGGTAATTGTAGGCGGCTGTTACGACCCCGAACGTTAGGAGCGGGAGGCAGTCGACCCAGTTGCTCGCGAGAGACGGCGAAGGGAACAATTTGCCGCTAAGTTTGGTATAGATTTGGGGCTGACGGCGAGACCTCACAATAGTTGACGATGAAACTGGGCCAGACAATCGGGAGAGTCGCAATGGACTACCTTCACATAGCACTCATAATCACAGCTACTGGGAATATACAGCGAGGGCAGGGTAATTCCGAAATTCGATACAAACTAAAGAGGCTGGTTTCAGTGAACAAACTGGAGAATAGAGAGCAGTCCGCAGGAAATCGTGTTGGGGTTGATGTCATCCTTTGCAACAGAGTATGGATTTCCTGTAATAATAGAATATGAGTAACAACTACGAAATACTGTGAATGTACTATCATATTTGAACTGTTGCATATCTACCTTAGTACCTAGGTAGGTAGGTATGCTATGGTAGTCCCTGAAGGTGTGTAAGTTGAAGCGAGTTGGTTGATATAACGATACGTATCTGTCTTACGGGGAAGAGTGGGGCCGTCTCCGCTGACGTCCGCCTGCGTGGAGCGTGGGTGCATGCTCCCCAAGCTTCCAACCTTTACCTCTCAAGCCACTCCCATCAACCTCGACCAGTATAAATCACGACAGAGGTAGCTTCTCGTGATCGCATTAATTAGAAATGGACGTCGAAGAATCGCCTTGGGCCGACTCATCACAGGCCGCATCGCAGCAGGCATCACAGCCTGAAGGCGCGGCCTCGCAATCGTCCACCCCAGCTCCCTCCGCTTCCTCGTCGGCCCCTCGTCCATCAAGAGGACCTCGTCGCCTGGTCGCCCAACCCACCCGTCTCGAAGCTGTCGAGGATCCTCTTGGTCCTCTCGGCGCCGCCACCGAAGACAATGGCCCTGCTCAGGATGCCCCTCCGGTGCCTCCGCAAAAGGAGCAGATGGTGATTCGTACCACCATGCCTCAACCCCAGCAGCAGCGACGACCTGCGGATCCTCACCATATCGACGATGATGAGAACGATGGGCCGAAAGTTCCTCGCGCACCTCCTCCTGTTGAGGCTGCCCAACCTAGCGCAATTAGGAGCAGCAATCAGCCGAGTGTTAGTGTTGAGCAGGCTGCCAAGCCCACGTTCCAGATTACGGTTGGAGATCCTCACAAAGTTGGTGATCTGACAAGTTCCCACATTGTTTATTCCGTTCGAACCAAGGTATGAAGCGCCGCCTTCCAATTAACTCAATCAAGCACTTACACAGAGAAATAGACCACTTCCAAGGGATATAAACAGCCCGAGTTCGAGGTCAAGCGCCGATATCGCGATTTCCTCTGGCTTTACACTACTCTTCACGGCAACAACCCTGGAATTGTGGTTCCACCTCCTCCTGAGAAGCAGGCTGTCGGCCGCTTCGACAGCAACTTTGTTGAGAGCCGACGGGCGGCTTTGGAGAAGATGCTGAACAAGACCGCGATACACCCGACGCTGCAGCACGATCCTGATCTGAAGCTCTTCTTGGAAAGCGAGACTTTTAATGTGGACGTGAAGCACAAGGAGAGAAGGGAACCCATTCCTACCGAGAGCAAGGGTGTGCTTGGGTCTCTGGGTATCAATGTTGGAGGTGGTAACAAGTTTGTGGAACAGGATGACTGGTTCCATGACCGCAAGGTCTATCTCGATGCTCTCGAAAATCAGCTCAAGGGACTTCTCAAGGCTATGGAAACCATGGTCGGTCAACGTAAGATGATGGCCGAGGCAGCTGGCGACTTTTCGGCTTCCCTTCACGCGCTCTCCACTGTTGAACTGTCGCCCTCATTATCAGGCCCTCTTGATGCTCTTTCCGAGCTTCAGCTTACTATCCGAGATGTGTACGACCGCCAGGCTCAGCAAGATGTTCTGACATTCGGCATTATTCTTGAGGAGTACATTCGTCTAATCGGTTCAGTTAAGCAGGCGTTTGGCCAGCGACAGAAGGCGTTCTATTCATGGCATGCTGCGGAATCGGAACTACAGAAGAAGAAGGCTACCCAGGACAAGCTCCTGAGACAAGGAAAGAGTCAGCAAGACCGACTCAACCAAATGAGCGCCGAAGTTGGCGAGTCAGAGCGCAAGGTGCACCAGGCCAGACTTCTTTTCGAAGATATGGGCCGGTTGATGAGAAGCGAGCTTGATCGATTTGAGAAGGAGAAGGTGGAAGATTTCAAGAGTGGTGTCGAGACATTCCTTGAAAGCGCAGTTGAGGCGCAAAAGGAGGTGAGTACATTAACCTTAATGAATGGAAGAGGGCTAACAAGGCACAGCTTATTGAGAAGTGGGAGACATTCTTGATGCAGCTTGACGCTGAAGACGACGAGTCAGTATTTTATAGACCACCAGTATACCAGCAGCAACAGCAGCAAAAGGGAGGTGACACTGCTGTTGACCGTGCTCGAGCGAGGATAGACGAAGACTCGGACTAGATGGACCGGGCGCCAGTTTCCCCAACGCATCTTGGCGGTTCTATCTGGTAGCGATGAGGTTGAGCTCTTGATGGGAGGAAGAATTATATTCACGTCCACAGAGATGTTTGACTATTGATCAATTCCGAGAATCGGAGACACGTGTTTTTTATATCTTACAAGCCTCGGGGACTTTATAGCTGTTGTACATATCGAACCACCCCCATCCACCTCATGCTTCCAATTCTCGGATGTCCTCAATAGTAATTTATACAAGACTCATTTTCACCCCAAAGTTAATATTGGGTTGTTATAATTTTTTTGGTAGCGGTTCCTCCTCTAATTGAGAACAACATTATATCATTGTTTACTTTCTCTTCTTGGCCTGCTTCTTAGGTCCCGAATCCCTCATAGCATTCGCATCTTGTGTTGGCGCATATCCAGTGATAAGATCCGCATAACCTTCATCAGCTGTCTCAGCGGCACTCTCACCCTCCTCAGCATGAGAAACATCGTATGCACGACCGTAACGTTCTCGGAAAGCAGCCAATTTACCGGCCTCATCAAGCTCGACGTTCTTGAGTGACTTCTCAGATGGCTGCCACAGCAATGTATTGCGTGTGTCCTTTGTAGCGCGGTAGATGGGTAGTGGTGAAGTTGTTCGCATGGTGTATGAGGAGCCGTCGGATAGAGTAACGAGCTGGGTGAATGTGTATGGTCGGCGCGGTCGAGGAATGAATGTGGCATGACGGACTTGGCCGAGAGAGAGGCGGATTGGTGAGCATGATTGTGTTGAGAGTGTTGTTCGTAGAGGCGAGAGAGTTGCCGGTGACACTGAGAATTTGGCCATTGTGAATTGGAGGCGCTACTGTGAGCGAGGCCGGAGAAGACGAATTGACGGCCCTGGAGACGGTGATTGACGACCGTAGATTGGTGGTGAAGCTTCAGTTAGGTAGGCTTGAAGTCGGTCGGTAAAATTTAGGATGCGAGGTCCGAATGCGGGTACACCAAGCAGGGGTTCGGGATCTTATCGATAAGAAAATACAATTGTTCTTCGTCATTTCTAGACCGGCTCGGACTCCGACTGCGAACGAGTGAAATAAAAAGGCGCCTCTTTACACGAGGCGATTTTACGTCCGGCTTACGAGCTATTTGAGGTTATTTCGAGTGCATTTGTTGATAATGCGCTGTGGTGGGCAATGAAGAGCTCCCGAGCGCTGCGCAATGGCGCTGCGACAGTACTTGTCATGACGAGAGGCGGGACCAGAGGATTCAGCTCTTTGCGGAATACTGTGTGCATAGAGCGTTCAATAAGGGGATTGAATGGTTTCGGAAGATATGAGGCTTCGGTATCGGGGTCTTGTTCGTCACAATGGTCGCTACATCGTGAGTGTTTATGTCTTGGCCTATTACTCTAGCTAATGCTATACTGTAGATAGAAGAAACCACACAACAGCTACTGCAGCAACATGGCATACATCCCCAGCCAAACCTCCAACCGTCCATCCGACCAAACAAGTCCCTCTCCCCGAACAACTACGCTCCATCATGCGTCTCCTCCCCCACAGCGTGGTTGTCTGTACATCCAACCAGCCCGGCGATGGCCCTCGTGCAATGACGATGTCGTCTTTTACATCATTAACACTCGCACCTACGCCGCTCGTCACATTCAACATTGCCACGCCGAGCAGAACACTGGATGCTATAAGAGCAAGCGGTGGTTTCAACGTACACGTGCTATCAGGGGATGAGCGGGGCGCAAATGTTGCGAGTCACTTTACAAAAGGCAATGTTGGAGGGAATGCATTCAAGGGGTTGACTTATACTCAAGAAGATGACGAGACACCCGTACTAAGAGAGGACGGCGTCATGTTTGCTCTTCGGTGTAGGGTACTCAAAGATGCACCAGAGGGAGGGCTCTTGAGAGTGAGAGATCATGTCATTGTGGTGGGAGAAGTTGTGGAGATGGTGAGGGTTGGAGAAGAGGAGGATGAGGAATTTGGGCTTGTCTATGCGGATAGAAGGTATAGAGAGGTTGGAGTGGTGTTGGAGATGTAAGTGATCGGATTGTATCAAAAGCTGGTTAGAGTGTATAGTACTCTGTATAACATGGGAATCAAGGTTTGGCGGAGAGCATGGAGCTGCCGTGGTTCTCGAAGATTCATGATCAATGATAACAAATTACGTATATTCTAGAATAGAAACAACCGATGTTATGTCGTGGGATTGCGTGTAAGTTTGGGCTCCTCGCTTGATGCTTGAGGTGGATATCATGGTCACTTGATGCTTCGATTGATACGTAGATTGGCAAACTGCCAAAGAACAAACTAGAAGAGTCACAAACAGCGTCCAGTTTTAGCAAATAAGCCTACAGTTTGCCCAGGATTGATGGACGCTGAGCATGTTGCTTATCCTAGACAATCCGTCTGCTTGTCAGCCTCGGTTTGATACATTTGCTGGTACAGTTGCACTCAGTCTTGGTGATTTCAATAATTGCATCTCATTGGTCTATACAAATTACAAAACGGCTGCGTTTCGAACTTTGACTGTTGGACCACTGGCAGTCGGCACGCCTCAATTGAATACCTTGATCGTTGTGAGCATAATCGCAATTCACAGGCAGCACAAGTCACAGTCGATATGTATGGCTAGAAGATTCGATTCGATCAAGGGGTTGTTACTTTCGCTGGGGTAAGGAAGCGGAAGCGGTGGGACTCTGAAATGGAAAGCCTAGGAACTTGTACAAGGGTCTTTTTCAGCCTCGAATGAGGGGTTGTTCGCAGACCCATGGCGATAAGGCTCTGGAGCAGTTGTCTACGCTAATAATGGGTATTTTGCCATCACGATTGAGTTTTTCTATGATTCATGTAGATCGATGAAATCTCTGCTTTCCGCAATCACAATAGCTCATTGTTTGACTCGGATAGCCTGCTGTATTTGTGGTACCTGAATTCGCAAAAGATAGATATTTGAGGTGATGCACGTCGAGCTTGTGAGGGAAACGTGGAAGAGTCTAGCAAACAATGGCCAATCACTCGAGACTGATCCATTCATTTTGCCTCCCTCCTGGTCCCTTTGTGCTTTTTTGGGGTAAGCAATGTACCTGGCCTCAGGGAGCAAGAAAACTACAGACTTTAGAAGAGGATGCCAAAATAAACTGAGTAAAGAGTCCCCTAAGCTTAGGCTAAATTACCTAAATCTTTTCCTCGCCTAGGGTCAAGGTCCTAAGATTTATTGCCTCCCCTAACTTGGTACGGGCTAGATTGTTAGCAGACCGCAAGGTGTAGGCAGAATCAGAGGCAAGCTGTAGGTACTGGACATGTGCAGTGTTGGCCACTTGCCGCCAAACGGTTGCTGTGGTTGCCTTCGAGGTACCTCAGTAATGGAGCTAGCGGAAGGCGGGGGAGAGAGCTGTACCCTTAGGCGGCGCTAGGTGGACTCTTTGGCCGTAGAATCTCATGGAACCCTTCACAATGGCAGAAGCAAATGGAAGGAAGGAGGGGCCGGCCGCCAGCCTACATATTTTTCTTGTACCTGCCTCTGCCTCGACCTTTCTTCTCTCTCCAAACAACACATCTCTCATCTTTTTCTCTCGCCTTTGCATATCTCTCTCCTTTCTCTCACAGGAGATTCAAACTCGCTTTTTCCTTTTTGTAACGAATATCTCAAGGTATGTACATGACTGTCATGACAGACTGACTCTCCCCCGCTATGCCCACCTTCATCAGCCTAGCCTTGCACGCGCTCTCCTCGAGTTCTCCTCGTAATTATTTACTGCACCAATGTTTCAGCTTGAATAGCTTCAGAATTCTCCATCAGTTTCATGTCTGTGGAATTCGCTATCTTCTGGTCTTGGAAAAGTAGTAAATGGTCGCCGAGGAAGCTCGAGTTCTGGAGCCTTCTCAACCCCTCCATAGACTTCCACCACCCACTCTCACCGACATACACCTTGAACCTTCCCAATGATAAATTCCTCCCTTTCTCCCCTCAATCACTAACTTTCTTCCTCAATAGTCACGATTCCCTTTGATACCCGACACCATGTCTGAGACTTTCGAGTTCCAGGCTGAGATCTCTCAGCTTCTCTCCCTTATCATCAACACCGTCTACTCCAACAAGGAGATCTTCCTCCGAGAGCTTGTCTCCAACGCCTCAGATGCCCTCGACAAGATCCGATACAAGGCCCTTTCGGACCCTAGCCAGCTCGACTCTGGCAAGGACCTCCGAATTGACATCATCCCCGACAAGGCCAACAAGACTCTCACCATCCGAGATACCGGTATTGGTATGACCAAGGCTGTAAGTTAAACCTGTCAATCAGATACACATACCATGTACTGACATTCTATAGGACCTTGTCAACAACCTGGGTACTATTGCCCGATCTGGCACCAAGCAGTTCATGGAGGCCCTGACTGCTGGCGCTGATGTTTCCATGATTGGTCAGTTCGGTGTCGGTTTCTACTCCGCCTACCTCGTTGCCGATCAGGTCCGTGTCATCTCCAAGAACAACGATGACGAGCAGTACGTCTGGGAGTCTTCCGCTGGTGGTACTTTCTCCATCACTGAGGACACCGAGGGTGAGCCCCTCGGCCGTGGTACCGCTATCATCCTCCACCTCAAGGACGAGCAGACCGAGTACCTGAACGAGAGCAAGATCAAGGAGGTTATCAAGAAGCACTCCGAGTTCATCTCATACCCCATCTACCTCCACGTCGAGAAGGAGACCGAGAAGGAGGTCCCTGATGAGGAGGCTGAGGAAGTCACCGAGGAGGGTGATGACAAGAAGCCCAAGATCGAGGAGGTCGATGACGAGGAGGAGGAGAAGAAGCCCAAGACCAAGAAGATCAAGGAGACTAAGATCGAGGAGGAGGAGCTCAACAAGCAGAAGCCCATCTGGACTCGCAACCCCCAGGACATCTCCCAAGAGGAGTATGCTTCCTTCTACAAGTCCCTCTCCAACGACTGGGAGGACCACCTCGCTGTCAAGCACTTCTCCGTTGAGGGTCAGCTTGAGTTCCGCGCTATCCTCTTCGTTCCCAAGCGCGCTCCCTTCGATCTCTTTGAGACCAAGAAGACCAAGAACAACATCAAGCTCTACGTCCGACGTGTCTTCATCACTGACGATGCTACCGACCTCATCCCTGAGTGGCTCGGCTTCGTCAAGGGTGTTGTCGACTCTGAGGATCTTCCCCTCAACCTGTCTCGTGAGACCCTTCAGCAGAACAAGATCATGAAGGTCATCAAGAAGAACATTGTCAAGAAGTCTCTTGAGCTCTTCCAGGAGATCGCTGAGGACAAGGAGCAGTTCGACAAGTTCTACAGCGCCTTCTCCAAGAACCTCAAGCTTGGTATCCACGAGGACTCCCAGAACCGCTCCATCCTCGCCAAGCTCCTCCGATTCAACTCCACCAAGTCTGGTGATGAGCTCACCTCCCTCTCCGACTACGTCACCCGCATGCCTGAGCACCAGAACAACATGTACTACATCACTGGTGAGTCCATCAAGGCTGTCTCCAAGTCTCCTTTCTTGGACGCTCTCCGCGAGAAGGGCTTCGAGGTTCTCTTCCTCGTTGACCCCATTGATGAGTACGCCATGACTCAGCTCAAGGAGTTCGAGGGCAAGAAGCTTGTCGACATCACCAAGGACTTCGAGCTCGAGGAGACTGAGGATGAGAAGAAGGCTCGTGAGGCTGAGGAGAAGGAGTACGAGAGCCTCGCCAAGGCCCTCAAGAACGTTCTCGGTGACAAGGTCGAGAAGGTTGTCGTCTCTCACAAGCTCGGCACCTCTCCTTGCGCTATCCGAACTGGCCAGTTCGGTTGGTCCGCTAACATGGAGCGTATCATGAAGGCTCAGGCTCTCCGTGACACCTCCATGTCCAGCTACATGTCCTCCAAGAAGACCTTTGAGATCTCCCCCAAGTCTCCTATCGTCCAGGAGCTCAAGAAGAAGGTTGAGACTGACGGCGAGAACGACCGCACTGTCAAGTCCATCGTCCAGCTTCTCTTCGAGACCTCTCTCCTTGTCTCTGGTTTCACCATTGACGAGCCCGCCGGTTTTGCCGACCGCATCCACAAGCTTGTCCAGCTCGGCCTCAACATTGAGGAGGACGACTCTGCCCCTGCTGAGGCTGAGGCTGCCACCGATGCCCCTGCCGCCGCCACTGGTGACAGCGCCATGGAGGAGGTTGACTAAATGACCATGCATGCTAGACGGGATACCATAAAAAGTCAATGGAGTTGAAGGGTTTCGGTTTTTATGAGCAACAAGGTCTTTTTTCTGTCTTCTGGTTTTTATGCGGGCTTATCGGATTTGAGCAGCCGCTTATTCTGCCATAATTCCCCAGTTCTTTTAAGAGGAGGACGGGGTGTAACTCTAGTTAGCTCTATGATTACGAGAGAGATGAAGTAGACGCGAAATGGAAATGGTATAGAACAAATGCCCCTTGTTTCCGAATGTGACATAAATGTGTGACCGAGTTGCTTCAAGGATCCCTCGTCCATTACCTCTCTGAATATTGCAATGATTTTGTCTTTTTGATGTATCGAAACTATCGTTCCTGATGTACTCACTAGGCATGTGGTAGTGTTGGGGTTGCAAGGTACTCTTCAAGGAACAACTCAATCAAAAATTTACTATGGGGGTATATAATCTATCTTTGTGGGATGGAAGCAGTCCAATCCTTCTTATAACTAGTCCGTCTCTCGTTTCCAATTCTAAAGGCCCATATGGTACAGGTTCGCAAGACGGAACTGAGACGGGATATGTATCTATCGTTGGTATTGTACAGATGTTAGATGCGACAAGCACTCAGTATGACCAGCATACTCTTCTAGAGCCTGGTTTGACTATACGAGAACATAGAGAGCACAGATCTATCAAGTCGTTAGTTGCGAGTTAACATACTTGTTGGGAGTTATGGCTTACCATGCTGAGACCGAGAACCATTGATGCCCAGAAACAGACATTGTTCAAGGTCTTCTTGCCACGAACCCATCGCGTACGCTGGAGCATAACAATAGGTAGCTGAAGCATCTGACACACGAAGCCATAGCCACGAAGCTTCTTGGTGATACATGCCATGACGATCTCATGGCCAATAGCTGAGATGAGAAATGTCAACGCTGTAGCAGCTCCTCTACCAATGCGAGCTCGAGAGGCACTATAGACGTGACGTCGAAGGAAGCTATATACGGGGATGTTCCATTCGCGTGAGAATTCCATCCAGTCGGTTGAGTTCCACCAGTCAGAGTAGAAATGTCTATCGGCGAAGCAGGTGATCTCAGCGAATGCACCGAGGACGTATTCGAAGATGACGAGGAAAACGAGGAGGAATGTGAGCATGAAAGGGAAGAGAAGCCATGAGATGGTCTCGGCTAGAATGAGGGACTTCTCCGAAAGGGATGACACGGCAGGGACGGCATCCAGGCGCTCTGAGGCATCGGTAAGAACGGGGAGAATGAAGTCTTCTGAGATGATGGTTAAGAGAAAGATGCAGCCAAAAGTGGCGATGATCTTGGAAATGAGAGAAATCCAGTTGATGCGGGATGTTCGAGGGTATTCGATCTCGTAGCAGAGTGTTGGGCAGAGCAAGTAGTCCATGTAATTGGACCAGGTGAGGTTATTCGGATATGTGACATTGCCAATGGGACTCGTAAGCTCACGGGCAAGGTCCTCTCGTAGCTCATCGACTTCGTCGGCACTGTTGTTGCCGCTCGCGACAGGACTGGGGACCAAAAGGTTGTTGTTAATAGCATCCACCTCCTCGTTGCTCTTGTTTCCATCACTGTTGCTTCGCTTGGCTTGCTGACGCTTCTTGCTACGGTTTCGACGGCGCTTCTTGCTGCCAGAACTGGGGGCCTCGCCGTTAGCGACACTGTCGGTGGATGGATATTGGTAGGCTGGTCGTCGATCGTGGGGCGAGAAGGGATTGTCGAGAGCGTACAGTCGCTTCTCCGTCTGCGATAAATGTCCGTTGTAGAAAGCGTACGAGTGCATCTTCATCAATAGTACCATGGTGTGCAAGAGAAAGAACACCTGCGACGTCCAAGTCCATTCGAAGTGAAAGGGCACAATGATCCAAAGAGAAAGCCAAGCAACCTGGTAGATGCTCTGAATGGCTATTCCACCCTTGTCCCAGGCCAGAAAGCTACCAGGCTTTGCACTTCGAGCTGCACGGTTCAATGGCAGACTAACAGCTGTCGTTGCGACCATAAGGAAATCGGCAATGGCAAGATGCCAGAGCTTGACTGTGAAGAGACCCCATATTTGCACTCTTAGGGGAAACCCAGTATCTTTCAGATTGCGTAGCATAGAGGTAATGCCCATAATGGCAAGGCCAATCCAGAAGAGGTTGAAGAAGCCATGGAAGTCTCGGTAATCGCTTTCGGGGTCGAAATGACTAACGCGTGATGCGAACTCGATCGTGGGAAATATACGGCGGCGTTGCTCTGCACGAGTTTGCTTTCGAACCGTCGAGAGGACTTTAACGGATGGAGGCGCATTCTCTGGGACGGGCGTGGAACGACCGCTGTATCTAATTAGCTTGAGCGCATGATTTGGAGGTTCGATCATACCTAGTCAACCCACTGGCAGTTCCTGTGCTCACATTATCGGACATGAGATGTCCCTCGCTATCTTCTGCTGTTGACATGCGAAGAACCTCCGAGACTTGCGGGTGTTTGGGTTTGCGCGGCCGAGGGCGTATAACGTGGTCATGATCGCCTGCGTGACCATTCTCATTGGGGAGAGCATCTATTGAAGAGCTCATATTTGTAAATGCGTATAGTATATCTTCGTATGTTTGTCGTAGATGTCGCGATCAATAGACCACGCCCTAGAGGGGAAGATATAGTTTCGGCAGTAGTGCCAACTCGGCGCCCGCGGAAGAAGACGAAACAATCGGAAACAGAGAGCGACGAAAATGGACGAGTCAAGTCTTGACGTTTTAGTCTGAGAATGTGAGACACGACAGCAAATGCCCTAAAGTGGTCTTGTCTTGAATTGTCGTGGCTTCGTTGTCGTCAAGACGATATGATAAGGTGAAGAGGGGGATAAAAAGAGTAGGGAGAGAAAGCGGGTATAAAACTGAAATAAGGAGACGAAGGAAGGAACGACGTAAGTAAAAACCAAGAGCTCTTAACTTGTTTCTTGCTTTCTTGTGGATGTAAGTAAATATTGTGCTACGGATACAGTGGTCAGCGGTTCTGGGGGCCGAATTGGTGACAGCTCTTGCCTTTTTTTAAGTGAATTGAACCCCTAACTCCAACTACAAAAACATGACGTAACATCCACACCCAATGGATCATCAGGTCCTTCGTCATTTCTGCACGCACTCAACCTCAGCCCTTACTCAATCTTACAGGCTACACTGCAATACGATTGTACGTTATACTCGTATAACAATCATTTCTAGGCAGAATAATCCGAAACGAATACTTTTATTGTTTAGTTCAACCAATGGTGTCACTCCCTACTAGTCTGACCTGGCCTGACTGGAGACTGTCCGCGTATCACGTATCGTCATCTACCCTCGTTTTTCGCTCGCGAGTCGTATCCTTTCTCGTTATTCGCCAAGAGCTCGGTTCTAGGGTTGACGTTGACTGGTCTGACATTTGTTTTGGATCGTGATCCTTGTACTGGAGCTTGCCCCTCGTTCGGCTGTTTCTTGATTCGTCCATCATATTGATATGTTTCTTCTATCTGCTAAGATACTACTGTGTAGGCGAGACTGGGCTACGGCATCACAGCGACAACTTGTCGACCACCATTAACCTACAGCTCCCAACAGCTGTCATTCTTCAGAACAATCATTGTTCTGAACAGGATCATGCCTACGCTGAGCGTAGCCGACATATACTTTTCCGCCCCTTGGAGACGTTCCCCCCCCCCCCCCCCCCCCAATGATCAGGTCAAATTTTCGAGGCGCATATTATATGTGCAAACAGATTCTCGAGACGATATGTTAGAAGTTTTGGAATGGTTGGATAGGAGGGCTCGCCTTGCTACTCTGTTGCATTCGAACAGAGTCGAACTGACCACTTCTCTAGACTATACCTTTGAACCCTATGTCACAGCAAAACCAATAGCACTCATCACAAGTATCGTCACCTGAATCTATACACTTTAGCTTTAATACACAAAAGTTTACTCTGAAGAATTTTTCTCATAAGTAATGAATATACCAGCCCGCACTTTTACTTCGTCTTTCATTACCTTCTCATCATGGCTAACCAAACGACTCAGCAGCACAAAATGAAACTTCGCAGCTCAGGCTGCCTCAGGTGGTCGTATCTACCGCAAGAGATTCGCCGGAACATTCTCAACATGATAGTCGATCAGAGAAATCTACGCTGGTCTGCTTTGGCCTCTGTATCAAAAGAGTGGCAAAGCGTTATCGGAACGAGAAACATGGCCAAGCTGAACCTCCGACCATCTTGCTTAGAGGATTTTGAGCGAGCGGTGGTTCGACAGAGAGACCTTGTGAGGCATATCTATCTCAATATTGAGCTGGCCGAATACAAGTGCACTGTTTGCAAGAAGAAGGAGGTACTCACCATAAGATCGAAGAACAATGTTCTTTTGAGTTGGGCGGTTAAAACGATTTTGATAATTCTCAGTACTTGGAACACGACAGGCCCCTTGACGCTGGAACTCAACGCGGCGTCTGCTAGTGACTCGAAGCACTGGTTCAAGAACTTTCGTTTCAACGACGAGCACGATACTCCTTATGGCCGAGACTCAGTTGTCCCCGTGGAAACGATGCATAATGAATGGCACGACCCCAAGCACGGTTGGGAAAATGGTGTCCAGGTGAAACCTCCCCCTTTCAACGGGATGCAGCGGTTGTTTGGACTTGTCGACTTGGAATACTCTTCGCCTGCTGTTCCTAAAGTCAACGCAATTACCTGTTTGATGATCCGTCGACAATTTCGCCATTGCTTCATGCCTCGTCAACTAGACTTGATTCTGTCCAAATTGGATCGTCTGACGGATATTATTTATGAACCATGGCTCCTAGAATATACAAATACCGGTTACCAGGGCTATTTTGAGCATCGACTTTCAAGTATGTGAATCTCCCGATACTGGAAGTCTGTCTACCTGGAAACCGACAGTTACGCTAACCAGCTTGACCATAGAGCATCCGGGAGTGATCGGCATGCCTTTGCCTAAGACACTCAAAAGATTGATCCTATTTCGAGATTCCAAACAATGTCTCACACAGAGTGTCCATCAAGATCCAGCTTTTCTTTTATTCCTCGCCAGCCCAGGATATATGCCGATGGACGATACCCCTAGCAACAGTGAGAACCTCGCCCGAACAAGTCTGAGACTCAACGAACTCGCTGTTTCATTCCTGATTGATGCCATGGACTTTTTCAGAGCTTGCAAGAGAGAATGGACTTGGAACGACCTGCAATCTCTATCCCTAACATCAAGTCTTCTCCTACAGAATAGAGAGGAACAGAATGGGCGCATCGATAACCTTCTTATCACCGCAGCAAAGCTCTTACTGCGAATGCCGAACCTGACTGCCATGGTACTCTGGAGCGGGGAGAGAGGAAAAGCATGTGCTTTCATGTACACCAGGACAAAGCACTACGCCCACGTCACTTGGCGAGGAACGTGGGACCTGGAGATCGGCCGACAAGTCCTGGAGGCATGGGAGGATGTAGCCAAGCTCCATTCGGTGGAGGTCAGAGTCAGGACTGAGCGTGTTCAAGAGATCATTAGATCCCATGGAGATGCCATATTCCATCTTAACTTGCCTTGCCAGGTTATTGAGCCTACATCGCTCTGGCAGATCCGGGTGGAGGACGCCCAGAGACTTTAAAGGTTGTTCATGGTGCTTGAGATTGGAAGTCTGCTCTCTATTTGGGGAAATGGTCAGGCTAGATTGGAGGAGAGGCATGTCCTCGGGGAGCAAGACAACTTCTGACATTGAAGTGAGGTGCCAAACATAACTACCTAGGGAGTCAAAAGGTCTACTCAACTTGCCTAAATCTTTATGTTATTTGGATAGAGGTCCTAAGTTTTCGTCTCCCTTAGCCAGTGTTAAGGGACATTTAGTTCTTCTGGCAGGGTCACAGTATCAAGACATGAACTTTCAAATCATCAATTGAACTACTTTTGTGAACCCTTTTTCGTCCCTTCATTGTTCATTCTTGTTCCATCAATGTAGCAAAATATCTCTCCCGTTTCTGTCTATGCTAAGAATATCCCTTCCCCTAGTTTGATCCACCTGGTGAATGCAATCTGCTGTTCATATTTACATCTTCGCCCTGCTGGCTCACTTTGAGCCAAGAGCCGCCAAAGCTTCGTAATGCTTTTGAAGCTCCACCATTTTGCCGATGATAGCTTCGTTCTTCTGCGCGTCCATGAATTTTCGCAAGGATCGCAGCGCCATGTCGGCGCACTGTCTGCGCTCGATTTCGTTTGTCGCTTTGTCGCCTTTCCAAACAGCCCTCTCGAAAGAGGCCATGGGAAGAACATAGCCGGGAAAACTGGGCGGATCTTCTTCCTGGGTGCGGATGCCGACCAGACGGTTCATCGCAGACTGAATAACTTTGCGCACAGGAGTCTGTCCGGATGACGCCTGAGTGGATTGTAGGAGAATTAGTGGGTTTCGTGAGCTCGCGGCCTCCCAATGCTTAATCTGATCCCGATCTTCAGAGAAGAGGTTGATGCCCTACTTCAACTACTCGCTGATGATGTGAGCAGTAAGCTGCGCACGCGAATTGGTTAGCTTTTGTTGGATCGCATCCCATGCAATATGTGTGTGCTGAGGGCGGCCTCGCAGGGTGTTCAAGACCGTTTCGAGGGTGATGAGTGAGTTTCTTGGGTTGCTCATGGCAGTTTTCTGAATTGCGCCCATTCTTTCTGCGTCGATCTTGAAGGTCGAGTACTCCGGCGGCATCCCAATAAAAAATGGGAGCTTGTCAGGTCCCTCGCGGAGTCTGACCTTGTCCAGGAGGCCGAGGTACTTGATCCAGGCAAGACGGCATTCCTTCTTATACGGAAAGTAGGGATCCTGTTCTAGTGCTTGCTCTTGAGGGGTAGTCGGTGGTAGAGTCTGCTGTATTTTGACCGGAGGAGAGCACATGCCTTCTGCTCATTATATTAGTTTAAGCGCAGAAGTGAGCATTAGGCTTACCCGTCGATGGTGAGTCGTCGGTCAAGTCCACAGCTTTAGAAGGCATATTGAGGTTAGGGAGTGGTATATGGAGGAAAGCCTCTGGGGTTATCGAGTTGATAGTAACGTGCTCTGTGGGAAGTTGTGTTGTTGAGATAGGATGAGGTGCAGAAGGAAGAAGAAGGAGGAAGTGGAAAGTGCAGCCTAACACGGCCTTTTAAATATCCTTATCCTAAACTTATCCTAAAGACCTGCCTGCCTAAGGCACTCTACCTGGTCCTTAGGTAACTTAGAAGATATTAAGGCAAGGCACCTATAACTGTAATTTATTTACTGTCATCCAAGGATTGAGTAGCTTAAGTGAAGTGAAGCCACTCGTCTTGTCGATGCATTCAACGAGGCGATTCAGTAAATGACCATTATTTCCTTGACTCCAAAATAAACCACTATCAGCAACTTATGTCACCCTCCAGATAGAAACTAGACTTTCATTTCTAGAGAAGCCCAGCGCCCTCCATGATCTCCTTGAATTGCTCATGAGTGGTAACCTGTCGACAGAAATACTCCACGTCTTCAAACGATACCTCACCAGCTGAAGCATCTCGCACGATGTTCTTAAGAAGCTTGCATTCCATCCTACCCATTCCCAGGCCGAGTGTCTGATGCTGGGTCAAGTCTTCCAATTGGTCTTCAGACCACAAATCTCTGGCCCCAGGCCTTGATCGCTTCTGCGCGAAGTCCTTGTCCAATCTTGTGGCAATGTCGTGGAAAAGATCGACGAGTTCACTCTTTTCTGTCACGAGAAGGCAAAGACCCTGGTGAACCTTTTGCAGCTTCTTCGATATGTCGGATCCAGTGCTTTGAGACCCGATTCGTTGACTCCGCCGCTCAGCTTGGGGGCTATTGTGTTGTCCATTCAGGCGCTGCATCTGACCACGAATATATATGTTAAGCTTCGTCTGTTCGGTCATGATTTCCTTCTTTAATACATCAAGCTTGTCACCGAGCTCTTTCTGAAGACTCTCGATTGCAGTGGTGTCGATCGAGGAGGGTTCAGTGATAGGTGTTGTGTAGCGGTATTCAGACAAGTCCTCATTCGCACCACGAATCTCATCAAGCCAGCTTGGGCTGTACTTATGACACCACATGAAGACCTTGTTCTTCATTTCGTCGCCGAGTACCTTAATAACGGGACGGGATAGCCACTGTGTCATTTGAGGAAGAAGGCTTTCTTGGTTGAAGCCTCGATGACCGAGTTTCTGTCTGAGGTCACCGGCTTGCAGCATCGCTCTCTCGCGGGTCATGAGATATGTTGCTTCAGTGAGCTGAGGCCCCATAGGAACACTGGAGGCTTCCATGTTTTCGGTAACCAAGGCAGAGATTTCCGTGTGTTTCGATGGGGTGTATAACAAGATATTGACAAGTTGTTGGTGAGATGATGGAAATGCTTCAGCCTCGTCGAGAACTGGATACGGGCTCCAGTGCTAGAGAGACGCACCCTGTCAAAGATTTGAAGCGTATTCTCCAGAATTTGTCAGCAGTTACTCTCTCATGTATCTCTCTTGATCTCATAGTAAACTCACTGGAAGGGCGTGAATGTGTCTCCTCCTCACGGCCAACTGCGCGCGCCGAAGCCAAGATTGAAAGAAAGGTAAACCTCAATAGCGGCCGATCAATAACATTTAACCTCACTAACAGCGTCAAGCAATTTTATCTCAGATTTGTGATTTCGCAAGTGGTGGAAAGAGTTTAGGGACGAAGCTCTCAGGTGATGGTGCAGATGGTGCGAGGCTGGGGGAGAGGTTACACAAAAGAAAATGCTGCATATTGGGAGTAGCAACGACCCAATCAAGTACTAGAGGTCTTCAAGGATGGCAATGGGTTCTTAGAGCCCTTCGAGACTTTTATCGGTATCAGTATGACCTCTACTCCATGACAATCTAAGTGCCCATTTGAAGAATGGATGGAATGCATTTCATAGTATGTTGTTTTCGATAGGTAGCGCTTATAGACAGATTTGACTTGCATGCTATGCCATGAGCGGCTTCAGAGGTCAGTCTTTCACATTTCACATATAGATCATGAGAGAACGAAGCTGTCTGATGAGGTTGATAATATAACTAAGGCTCGTTCTCAAGATAACGAGGTGTGTTTGCATATAAATGAACCCTTGCAAGGTGAGTATAAAGAGAAACGATACTTCAAGATTCAGAATTAGAATCTCAATTCGACGTACCTATCATAGGAGGAGCTCTCATCCTGGGTAACAAAGGGCTCTTGGTTTGAGCATCTTCTGGCACTGGTCAGGCAGTGACGCATCTAGCTCCCGCTTTCAGACCCCTGTATCATAAGCAGCATCATCCGGTATGGTGTAGTGGCTAACATTTCGCGCTCTCATCTTCAGCTGAGGGATCAGTACCGCGGAGCCCAGGGTTCGATTCCCTGTACCGGAGTTTTCTTTTACTTGTCTTCTCTTTTTTGCTGCTGCATCAGAAAGTCTTCTGTCTCGGTATTAGATGCCATCCTGAAACTTGCGCCCTCGGCCCCTCGTTGGCATTGTCGGAGGTCTTCAGGCTCTTGTCCAAGTGGGCTTAGAGTTTGGCGCCCTTCTATATCCTTCTGTCACTCGGTCCAGTCGGGAACACGGCAGTTGACGTGACAAACAACTTCCAAGCGATATGCAGAATGCACCCGCGACTGCGTGGAGGTACTCAATTACCTGCATGGTCTCCCTTGTTTATGCAGAAGTTATCACGGAAGTAGTATTTCACTCTGTCTTTCAACCTAGAGTTCTGTCCAAAAGGAGCCTGTCCTTCAACTCGCTCCTCACAAGGCTCAGCATTCAGCGCGCATCATGATCAAGTCAATCTTCTTACGGTGTTAATGGCAAGCAGAGACTCTGTCCTGTGAAATCATCGAACTGCAGAAATTGGCATTCCTCAATCGACCCGAAATGCTGAATTCTCGTATACTCAAACTTCCTCCTAAAACATACAGCACAGGCGTCCATCGTTATAGCACGAGACGATGCAGCCCTAGTAAGGGGGAACATGTCTGTGTCCTCAGACGTCAATGCCTGTGCTTCCTCTTTGGGCCCCTATTCATCCATGGACTTGGTTCATCCACCCTTTTGTTGTTGCCTGTTCCTTATAGAGGATACCTCTTCAGTGGCCCCTTTTCTACAAGAGCAGAAACCAAACAATGCCTGTCTGTAGCCCGATCTGTCTCTTGCTTTCTGAACAAGCGTTTCGGATAATATTTACCCCAGTATCTATATTACTTCCCTACTTCTTATCTTACCACAGTCCTGCATATCCCCATAGCCAAAAAGATATTTCTCTTCCTGATCGCTGCAGAAGCATCTATCAAGAGAAACAAAAGATAAAGAACTCCGGTACAGGGAATCGAACCCTGGGCTCCGCGGAACTAATCCCTCAGGTTTTGAGAGCGCGAAATGTTAGCCACTACACCATACCGGATGCTGATTTGTTGAAGTCTCGACTTCCAATCGGGCGACAACAGCATGGTGGTGCTGGATGGGTGGTGACGACTAGATTTCGTCTTTGCTGGCAGCTAGCTGTTGTGTCTCTGCTAGACTCGAATGCAACATGCAGTGATCGATCATCACAGGCGGCGTTGCATGAAGATATGGGGCAGTCGCAAATAGGTGACATTTACAAGTTGTTGATCCTGATTCCGGTCCAAGAGAGGATTCGTATCATCATACAGGAGGGTATGCGGAAAGAGATTCAGGACGAGTTCCATGTCGAGTGACGGTGTTGTCATATCACGACGTAAATAGCCGTTTATGTTGGTTCATTGCATGCAGTATAGATATAGATTAGTGAGTATAGATTGACGAAAGGGCTTGTGCTCCAAATCTGACTTCTGTTTATTTTCACTGGTCCTCTTAGTTCTGAGTATCATATGGTACTCACAGAAGATGCTCCAGCCATGAATGATTTCGGTAACTTATAGCATGTATGTCTTTGACCCGGCGAGCATAGTTTTCTTACGGCCATTCAATTGAGACACACGACCATCCAGTGCTAGCTGTAGGTGTTCGAGAATCAGTGCAATATGCTGTCCCCCTTCATTGAGCGACCGGTGATGAACGAGTGACATCGGGGAGGTCTGCTAAGTACTGTGTCAGTTCTCTACAAACTCACCATAACACGTAGTTGGTTCAAAAGAAAGGCATGGATAATAGAAGTTAGCATTACTTGAAGGTTTGGCTAGGCATGTGGTTGTAAGCCATAGGTCAGCGCTGAACTTGGATGGATGGATACTTGCAAGAATAGTAACAGAACAACAGTATGACAAGAACTGAACTTGGAGACAAGGCAACAGCAACAATCATATTCCTATCTGGCTGTGTTATGCCCAATATTAAATAATCGCTGTAATTAACAGTGCCTTAATCTCAATATCACAAACTCATCGAGTGCTAACATAAGGCCAGAGGGTTACATAGAACCGCTCAAGACCACCGTCATTTACAAAATGGCAAGAAAAGAAAGACCCAAGATTTCTGAGGTCATCATACAAGAAGTAATTATTATTGTCAAGCCATTATATAAGTTCTTGTCCATGAGGCCTCTTATTCTCGCTTACTCAAACAACATCCATCTTTACAATCTTCAACCAACACTGCCTACCAGCATCCTCCTTTACCTCTACACTTTCATTTCATCTCCTAAACTTCCAAGCATACAAACCAACATCTCTAATAAAAGCTTAAGCAATACAGCAGCTACTTTACCAAATAACAGCGACCGCTCGTCAGTTGCTCTAGCCCACCCAATCCATCTAGCATAAATCCCACAAGTCGTAGCAATCAGCCAAAAGGAATCATCAGCAACAGCAAAAGATAGAGACTCCGGTACAGGGAATCGAACCCTGGGCTCCGCGGTACTGATCCCTCAGCTGAAGATGAGAGCGCGAAATGTTAGCCACTACACCATACCGGATGTGATTGTTGAAGTGGGCAACGCTATCACGACTCATGCACACACCAACAGAAACAGAAACACTGAGACTGACACACATGACAGACACATATACTTTGTTACCCTCCGTCTATAGTAATAATACATGCCTTGTTCCAAGACGATGCTTTGCTGCCCTGCTATAATTTATCGGCATTTTCACTTCCTCAACTCCCCCTATTGACGGTTCCTTCGCCATGATAACAAGAAAAGAAAAAAGTAACGTAGCAGATACATGAATAACTCCCTTCGTCTCCCGTGAGCCTATGCGGCTCTAAGTCTTGCGTTTGATATTACAGGCGTTGCTGGATGACGCTGTCGACCTCCCTTACTCCATCATACCATCAGCAATCGCTAGTCTTTGCTTCGCCGTCTTGGCTCGCTTTGTCCCCTTACGGCCCTTCTTGCCTTTGCTGTCGCTGTCGCCAGGTGTGGCTGCGGTAGCTGGTGTTGCTGTACCAGATAGGCCCTTGGATCCATCGTCAAAGTTACCCTCGCCTGAGATATGTGTTAGATTGGACTCCAAGAGATTAATTAAACTGTTTTGCTCACCTTCATGATACATCTCATCCAGACTAGCCGTGTTCTCGGCCTTGCGTCGCTTGCCACCCTTCTTCTTCTGCTGCTTCTCAAGCTCGCCTGACTCGAGAAGCTCCTTTTCGCGGCGCTCGATCATCTCAGCTTGCTCATCATCGGCAAGCCACATAGCAATATCACGGTTGCGGTTCTCAGGAGCACGACGGCCAGAGAAATCAACGCTTGCACCACCACCCTGGATGACGACACGTTGAACCTCTTCCTTCTGCATTGCTCTCTTACGAATGCGCTCTTCGATTGTGCCGCGCGTGATGAGACGATAGACTGTGACCTGCTTGGTCTGACCCAGACGATGTGCTCGATCCATGGCCTGCGAGTCGATGGTAGGGTTCCAATCGGAGTCGTAGAAGATGACAGTATCGGCGGATGTAAGATTGATACCAAGACCACCAGCACGAGTAGACAGAAGGAAGATGAAGATCTCGGGGCGAGTCTGGAAGTCGTGCACGGTGTCTCGTCGATCCTCCAATTTGGTAGAACCATCCAGTCGGCAGTACTTGTAGTTGCGGTACGTCAAGTACTCTTCCATCATGTCAATCATGCGAGTCATCTGGAAGTACAGGAGTACACGATGACCCTCACTCTTGAGCTTGAACAACAGTTCATCAAGCTTAGCCAGCTTGCCACTGTCAGTAACAAAGCGCCGCATGGAAGGAACAGAGATGTTAGTGAAGCCCTTCTTCTCATGATCGGGTTTGGGCAGCATCTCGCGAGTGGGCCATAACTCCATAGGAAGCTTCTTCTCCACAAGAGCCTTCTCCTCAAAGACGGTAGGCCCATAGAGAATCTTGCGGATTGGTGCATTAAACAAGGTTTCACTGCGTTCGGCCTCAGAACCCCAGCTGCGGCACGACACCTGAATTGGGGGTGCTGAAGCGCGAGGTCTACCAGCAGGTTCCAGGCGACCGAGACCGGACTCATTATAGTCTGATTGAGCGACATTCATCAGCTGGGTCAAGACACCTTCGTTGGTGATGTCCGCTAGAGGCTTTCGGTTTTGTCGCGCCCGAATCTGGAAGAGGGCATGAGCGGGAGTGTAGTTCTGATCCTCAGTGTCACTGTAGGCCACGTTCATGTATCCAAGTCTGTCGCGTTTCTGAAGCTCCTTGGCAGCTCGGACAATCAAGCTTTGATGCGTGGCCTCATAAGCCTCGTAGGGAGAAGTGTCAGCAAACCTAAGCCACGAGAATGCCTTTGATCCATCACAGCTCTCGCGAATGTTGTCTGGGCTCCAGACATTCATCATGTGGTTCAATGCCTGGTTCTTCCAGCCTGCAACTTGACTATCCGGGCCCGCCTTGTTGATTCGACCTCCATTTCTCCAGATAAGGCGAGGGAGCTCGTATTCGATCAAGTTGCGACTTGAGTAACCCACGGCAACTTGGCTACCCTCGCGGACGAACGATGCGGTCTCAGCAAAGTAGGCGCAAGCAAATGGCGAATTGACCTCGGCGCGCTCGAAGAGATCGGGATGGTTGCAGACCTTTCGGAACTGCATGACCAAGTTCATCAGTGTACCTGAATCTTGGTCGTCGCCCATGGTAGCCTTTTCAACGAGATCCATAATGTTAATCTGGTTTCGAAGATTACTGTAATACGCGCGTTGTCTGTAAGTGAGATCACAGAAGATATCCATCTCAATCTTGTCACCGAGCTCCTTCTGCACATGCTTCTTGACACGACGAAGCATGAAGGGCTTGAGGATCATGTGCAGACGCTTGAGCTGGTCCTCATTAAGCTTGGTATTACTTTGTGCGTGAGACTCAATATCCTTGGAGAACCATTCACTGAATTCGTCGTGCGAGTCGAACAGCGATGGCATGATGAAATGGAGAAGTGCCCAAAGTTCTTGCATGTTGTTCTGGATGGGTGTACCAGTAAGAAGCAAGCGGTTTCGGCAGTGGAAGTTGAGCAATGCCTTCCATCGGGAACTTTGAGAACTCTTGATGGCTTGGGCTTCATCAAGAATCATATATTGCCATCTCATCTTCTGGAAGTAGGCCACATCAGACACAACCAGCTGGTACGAAGTAACGCAAACGTGGAAAGGAGCGTCCTTTCGGTATGTCGTGTGCTTGCGATCCCAGAACTTTCGGAGAACCTTTCGGTCGTTGGCCCCACCCCAGTAGGGGAGAATCTTGAACTCGGGGACGAACTTGGCGATTTCCTGCTGCCAGTTGTGGAGAGTCGAAGCAGGAGCAACAACGAGGAAGGGTCCCCAAATGTCGTGCTTCTCAGCCAGGTAAGCCATGACGGAGATGGACTGGACAGTCTTTCCGAGACCCATTTCGTCTGCCAAAATACCGTTGATGCCCTGCTCGTACAAATTGACAAGCCAGTTGAGACCCTTGAGCTGGTATTCCTTGAGTTGGGCATTGATAAGCTTCGGCTGTTCGATCTCCACGTCGCCCAGACCTGTGGGGTTCTGGAAGTTCATCTCGCCCTCTTCGTCCATGTCGAGACCCTGGTTGTTGAAGTCACGGGCCTTCTTCTGAGCCTCAGCGATGGCATTCTGAGCGTTGGCCATAGCAGCAGCACGGAGAGCCTCATCGCTGCCCTCCTCGAAGTCAAGGTTCTCGAAGTTGGTAACCTTACCAGTGACTGGTCCTGTCGGCTCATCGATGTCGAGTTTCTGCTGGTCGATCTGATGGGCATCCCTGGCGACGTCGGGGTTGTCGGTACTTCGTTCCACCTCATCAGTCTTGATCTTCTTGCCGATAAAGTGAGAGTACAGCTCAGTCTGCGAGATAAGGAAGTTAAGCTTTCTCTTTTGACGGGCGGCTTCACGGTCGGCTTCTTCTTTTCGGGCATTCTCAATCTCCTGTTTCTCAGCAGCCTTGCGGAGATCTCGTTCTTCTCGCTCGTTACGCTTCCAAAAGCCCATCATGTCACGCATGACACGCTTTGCTCGAGCTTGGAGATCTTTGGTACCCTTGTTTGTTCGTAATTGCCAGCGCTTTGCTTCCTTCGATGCCAGAATGGCAGTCTTTTTGAGATTCGAGGCTTTTGTGGCGTAAGAGTCCACGGCAAGTTTGAAGGTCTTGTTGACATCTTTACGAGCCATGTCTCGCCAGATCTGGTCGTAAATTTGGTTGTAGCCCTTAGACATGAACCGTTTCTCGTTATCGGGGATGTCGTCGACCTTCTCCTTATCTTTGTCTTTACTCTTCTTGCTTTTCTTCTCGACAGGTTCGTCCTCGGTCTTATCGCCGTCGTCCTTGTCCTTTTCTGTCTCGGCAGAAGGGTCTTTCTTGGATTTCTTGATCTTGATTCGAACTCTGTTTTCTTCTTTGGTTGGGAGTTCCTCTCCGGCATCAATAGCAGCTTGGGCAGCTTCCGCAGAATCCTTCTCGGCCTGCTTTTGCTCCTTAGACTTCTTGAGGCGAGGTCCGCTACGGCCCTTGCCCTTTCGCTTGCCAGATGGTGTACCTGCTTCACCGGATTCCACATCAGAAGCCTGGAATGAAGACATGGTGCCACCCTCCAGGTTAAGCTCCAAATTCCGGGCAGGGCCCTTGATACCCTTCTGGAGAATGAGTTTCGTCTGCTGTGCCTTCTTACTGGCGCGTTCAGCATCTCGAAGATGTTTCTGCCGCTCGGTTTCGTCTTCAGCAGCCTCGGCGCGAGCCAGAGCTGCTTCTTTCTGCTCCATTGTAACAGCCATTGACTTCTCGCGACGTCGCTTGCGCTGCATATCCTTCTTGCGCTCCTTCTCAGCGTAAACCTCTTGTTCGCGGACCTCATGGAGTGCTTCGTCGTAAAATACATCGTCATAGCGTCGTTTACCGAGCTCTGCATGAAGTACGAGCTTCTTGCTGGTTGAAGTCGCAAAAGCGCCACGCCGGGAAAGACCATGTTCCAGATCGAGTTGATCCATTACGCGTCGTCGCTTGTGGGCACGCTCCTTGTATTGCTGCTGATCAAATTCATCGGGTTCCAGGTTCGAAGCCCTGTTGTCAATCTGTGTCTCGGCGTTCTGGATTTTCTTCTCCATCTCTGCTGACCAAGTTTTTGGCTTGGGTTGGCCGTTTGCTTGTCGCTTAGCAGGAAGTCGAGGTGTCGGCGATTCCTTCTTAATCGATAATCTGCGACCGTTCTTAGGCGTAGCGGCGTCTCGAATATCAGAAGCACGGCCTTTTGTTGACTTTCGACCTCCTCGCTTCTTGACAGGAGGCTCTCTTTCTCTGTCTCTACCAGGGAAAGGTTCAGGCTCAGTTTCGACATCCTTTTCAACCTCTGTGTCGTGATCCGCTTCGGGCTCCAGGGAGCGTTTTGTCTGCTTTGGTTCCCGTGAGTCGCGTTTTGGTTCTCGATCACGTCTAGGATCTCGCTCTTGCTTGATTTCTGGTTCGGTTTCTCGTGAAATCAGGGGAGATTGTTCTTTGGGTTTTCGAGCGGGCTCAGAGCTAGAGAGGATGCTGTCAAAGGACATTGGGTTTGCTCTTGATGTCTGCAATGGTATTAGTACAAATGAACATTCTGTATATTGGTTAGCACCTACGCTTGCCGATGCAGGCTTTGGTGGTGATGGGGCCGCAAGATCAGACTTGTAAGGCGTAAGGGCAGAAGCCCCATTAGTAGTAGAAGTCATGTTGGCCGTAGCACCATGCCTCACACTTGGAGAAGCCAGTAGAGGCTGTCGCCCCGGAGGACTGAGAGATCCAGCTGGTGGATTCTGGTGCGAATGTGATACTGGGCTTCGCGGCCGACTGTATGATGGACCTCGTGGAGATGTATAAGAGCCGTTGTAATATGAAGGAGTACTTTGTTCGGCAGATTGCGAATAAGGGTACGGATCGCGGGTCTGTTGTGTAAGAAGAGAAAAATTAGCTCCACGTCAGCAAGCTTTGTGGTTGTTTAGGTCTTGGTCGGAGTAGGAGGAGGTTGTGCGACGGAGTTAAGGGTGATGATGAAATTAAAAGGTGTTGCGATAGTGACAGTTCGATGGGAAATTAAGCTTGATAAGAATAAGGGAATGGGACAGGCATTGATGGCCTGGACGTGATGGGTGAAGATCTCGATGATCAAGATAGAATTGAAGGATGATGGGGAAAAGGAAAATCAAGGGACGTCAGGTGCAATCAATCAAATCGAGTCCGGGCGAGACGAGACGAGAGTCAAAGACAAAAAAATAGTGGATTTGCGCCCCTTACCTTTGGAGTGCCAACCGGGGGCGCGTTGGCGTTGGCGTTGGCGTTGTGCCAGGAGGCTCCAGGCGTCGCCGCGTCAGAAACTCGACGTTCCTTTGTTGTATCAGTTGTAGGGTCGTAAAAACCTCGCGATGCAGGTTTGGTTTCACGCGGTATATAAATGTCGTGGTTCGACCCGGGAGGGTAGTATGCAACAGGAGGATGCAGCGGCGACACGGGCGGAGGACCAGCAGGAGGTGGTGCTTGAGGTTGACGATGATGCTGCTGCTGATGAAGTCCTGCTGCTGACGATCCAGGTGATGATGAGTTGAGGCCTACAGGAGGTGGAAGTGATGGAGCGACGGGGCCGCCGGGTGCGCCCGTGGACGATGACATGTAGGGATTGGGCAATGCTGGACGAGGCGGGGATTGAAGGGAATGTCCGGTACTTGGAGTGTTTTGATGGCTGTGGCTATGGCTATGACCGTTGGGAGATGTAAAGGGAGGAGGACGGTATTCTGACTTGGGTGAGCGCAGGCTAAAGGTGGAGTGCTGATGCACATTCGCGCCGCCTGCATTCGATGAGGCTGTCGCCGTTTCTCCAACTGCAGGCACAGGTCCAGCTGAGTCACCGTCGCGCCTGTTGTGGTGATGGTGATGATGGTGGTGATGATGATGATGATGCGGACGGGAGTCTCGGTCATCATCTGCACCATCTTCTCTATGTGGTGGCCGCTGCAGCACCGAGGAGTTATAGCCGTTCTGATCCATGGTGATTGATGGTCTAGCGCCTGAATGGCAGACAGAACAAAGCTAAACACCCGAGGGAGCAGGGAATGTGTTGTAGTCGGACGGCCGGTGGTAATCAAGCTTGAGAACCCATGTGCTCGACAAGCAACGATGCGACGACGGTTTGGGGGGGTTAATGTGTCCGGTACGAGATACGCAGTCGATCAATCAGAGTTTCGCGATGCGCACGCGAGGCTGTGTGAGGAATCGTTACGTTGCGTTGCGTTGTAAGCTGAGTTGCGATGCGATGCGATTCGCAAGTCGCGATCGGTGATGCAGCGAACTGCGACAGAGGTACGTGTGGGATGAAAACGATGGACAGTGATGGATCGCGACAATGTCAGGTCTAGGTTGAACCCCAATCCAAGGCAAATCGAAAGAGGATGCCCTGGCTGGGGGGCAAAGTGTTTTGGTGTGGAGGTGTTGGTAGCGTGGCGCTGGGATACGGCGATGCAAGCGGCAGTCGAGATGGGGAAGGGGATGCGAGACAGGGTTACTATACTAAAGTTTGGAGGCAGTACTGAGAGTTGAGATATGAGAGTTTTAGAGAAGAATAAGGGCCAATGGATTGACAAACAAAGCTACAGTAAAGTGAAATAACAGCCGCGGGGAAACGGATTATGACAATGTGAATGGTAAGAGAGAATCAGAAGGATCGGGGAACAACAAAGTGGAGTGGAGTTTGTTCTAGAGCTGGAGGTTAACCAAAATGAGGTGGTGATGGCGGGAGCTGGAGTGACAGCCCCAGGCCAGTCAATCAACAGTCAAGCAAGGTACGGATACCCGGTAAGGCAAAGCGAGGCGAGGCGAGTTTATAGTGATGGTTCAAGCAAGATACCGGTACTTCTGAGGATAATTACACCGTCTGTCTGCATTAATCAAGGTATATCCTGTGATGGACAATGACGACGGTGGTGGTGTGGGCGGCAGTGGAGAAAACAAAGCCTATTGACACGACGGGAGACAACCAAGAAGAGAAGAGACAAGAGGAGGTGATGCAGAAGCTGATCGAGTGACGGTGATGGAATCGAGGAGCTGCACGAACGGGGGGATCTGGGGGGTTTGACGTGCTAAAATACCACCACTGAAATGAGATTTACTTGCACAACAAGATCGAGTCAATGGTGAAGCAATCACAGCGATTATTTTTGTAATTGTGTATCACCGACCTGTTCAAGGCACGATTCCCTAAAGAGGAATTGGCGATAGGTTCAATGTGAATTTTGGGTCATAAGTCGCTCTGCGTTGCTACGTGTTGAGTCACTGAACGAGATAGTGTCTGGCTGCATCTGATGCGTTGGTCTGGCTGTTGTCTAAAAACCCTCATAGTAATCACGGCGAAACTCAAGTGCGTGTGTGCGAATACAGCTCCATCCAAATCAAGGCACACGCGAACACGATGTTCACTCAACTTCCGTGTCAGACTCGTTTCTCTCTCTCTATTTTTTTCAGGTCCCAAGTCTCGTTCCCCTGTCCCGTTGGTCCCCGTCCCATGTGGGCCTGACTCAACGCTAAACTCTACAGCGTTAACCCCGTTTTGGGTTCCAGTCACCGGCAGCGGGGATGGGTTCCGGAGATCGCTTCAAGATGATATGTCTGTCATTTTGTGTAGGGTAGGGAAGAGGAATGTCGCCATATAGTGACCGCCTCGTTCAGTAACATGAGAATAGTAGTCACTTATCTCCATCGATCTATTAGTGCAAAGACTTGACAACAATACTGACTTAAGCTTTGCCAACGAAAACTGACGGTGTGCCTTTACAGGTGTTGTAAGGCTGAAGCTCATTTAGCCGGCTCATTCTCAGCCTTGAGGATCATCAGAACTAGAGACCACCAACAACAAATGAAAAGATAGGGCACGACAAAACGCACTTGAATAGGCCCGCCTTAACATGAACACAAATTTCGCAAATTTAAATTTATGAACGCCATAAATACGTTGCCAATCGCTCACAGCTTTACTCCCATGCATTCTTCAGCAGCCTTACCTCGGCCTCGAGTCCTACCGAGTCTCAAATCACGAGCATCACAGCCACACGCGTTTTCAGACAACATCTTTGTCAAACACAAAAGTCACATCAAATGCAAATAATTATAATGGAATCCATTTATTCGTACTCAAAGGCTTAAACAGCCAGCCCCAAAGAAAAAGAAAATCTATCCGTGAACATTTCCACATCTTCATGAACGCTTCCGGGCCTCTCTACTGAGGCCATGCCCATGCGTCCTGTAGCGTCGTTCGTCGTGGCCGTCTCATTCCATCACAGGGTATCAAGTATCCTGATGGTCTAGCCACCTGGGCCGCCGACGCTTTAAACCCATGAAAATACCCACATGATTGCCAATGGCACTCATCAACTTTTTGTGGATTCAATATCCTCTATAGTCAATTTCCTTTCATGCATTCGTGCCAAATAAAATCAAAATTCGTAAAACTTTTTCGCCTTAGACTGCTCCGGCGCTGATCATCTTCTTTCGGAGGTAGTTCTTGTACTCAGAGATGGAACCATCCCATGTGCGGATAGTCTGGTTCTCGCAGACGAGAATCTGCTTGGCAATCTTGTCGAGCAATCTATTATTCTTGTTAGTCATAATTTATTACGATCAGATTCAATGGTGCTTACCGGAAATCGTGAGAAACGACGATAACACCTCCGCTAAAGGCGTTGATGGCATCTGCCAAACTGTCAATGGTAGGAATATCCAGACCGTTGGTAGGCTCGTCAAGAAGCAACATGTTGGGGCTCTCAATAGCCAACAGAGCAAAGACGATACGACTCTTCTGACCCTCAGACAGAGTACCCATCAGGGCAGTCTGGGAGTCACCGCTGAGACCGTATTTGCCGAGCTGCTGACGCCAGTACTGGTAATCCTGGGACTTGTCACTGTACTTGTCGCGAACGAAGTCGAGAGCAGACTTTGTCAAGTCAAGCTGCTCGGCACTGTGCTGAGAGTAGAGACCAAGCTTCAAGTGAGTGTGTCGGGTGACAATACCGCCTGTGGGAGAAAGCTTGCCAGTCATGAGGCGGAGCAGAGTAGACTTGCCCACACCGTTGGGGCCGACAAGGGCAGTTCGGGAGTCCATGTCGAAACCAAGGTCCAGGTTGCGGTACAGATCATCCTCAGGGTTACCAGAGTAAGAGAAGGTAACGTTGTCGAATGACAGGACGGGAGGAGGGAGCTTATCAACATCGGCGAAACGGAAAGTGAAGACACGGTCCTGCTCGACAGGCTGGATGAAACCATCGGCCTCCATCTTGTCGAGAATCTTCTGTCGGGACTTGGCCTGTCGGACCAAGTTGGCGTAAGTACCAGCGCTAGCAATGAACTTCTTGATGTGGACAATTTCATCCTGCTGCTTCTGGTAGGCCTTCATCTGGTTGGTCTCGTTCTCGGTTCGAGTCTTGCTGTAAGAGTCGTAGTTACCACCATAGTAGATGAGCTGCTTGCCTCGCATGTCAATCATGTTGGAACAGACACCGTTGAGGAAATCCATAGAGTGGGAGACGAGGACAAGAGTTCGCTCCCACTTCTTGAGGTACTCCTCGAGCCACACACAAGCTTCCAAATCCAAATGGGCAGTGGGGTCATCGAGAAGGAGAACGGAGGGCTTGACGAAGAGGGCCTTGGCAAGGGCGACACGCATACGCCAACCACCAGACATGTCCTTGGTCTTCTTGTGGATGGTCTTCTTGTTGAAACCCAGACCAGTCAGGATAAGGGAAGCACGGGTAGCAAAGGTTGAGGGATCAAGCTTGTCCATGTGCTGAAAAATGTTAGTTTAGTACATTGGGGCGGTCGTGGATTAACTCACCTCGTAGAGGTCAAGAAGAACAGGGCTCTCAGGGCCCTCCTCCTCAAGAAGCTTCTCGGCATGGTGGTCGAGACGCTCCAACTCCAACTCAGCCTCTCGGACGACCCACTCAAGGGCACCGAGGTCACTGGGAGGAGCACCTTCGTTGAGAAGGTAAATGTCGAGATGTTCGGGAATGGGGTACTCGCGGGCGGCAATGGCCTTGAGGAAAGTGGACTTTCCACAACCGTTCTCACCGAGAAGACCGTATCGTCGACCGTAGGTGAGCTCTAGAGTGGAATCGGTGATAAGGACTCGACCGTGAAAGACCAGAGAAGTACTGGTGATCTTGACGTCCTTGCTGGTTTGGGTAGAGGCGAGGACACCGGTGGTGACACGGTCAGAGATACCGTGCTTGTCCATCTGCTCGGCGAGACGCTTCACCTCGTCGAGCTTTGCGCCTGAAGTCGCGGGGGCATCATCGTCCTTAATGGGGTTGCCGTGGGCATCGAGCTCAGGCTCCTCAGTCTTCTTGCCCTTCTTGCCCTTGAGCTTGCCCTCGGCAGCCTTCTTGGCGAGACGCTTCTCCTTGGATGAAGAGGGGGCCATGATGAAGATGTGTGTAGGAAAGAAGAAGAAGAAAAAAACCGCGGGGTTGAAAGAACGGAAACTGTCGGCGGGGCGAGGATGTCCGTCTAAGAAATCAAGTCCAAACCGGGGTATATGAAGTGGTTTGGAAAATGACCGTTCGATGAAGAGGGAGAGGGAGGAAGAAGAGAGTGAGATGGAAAAGTTAAGTTGACCTGACCGACAAAGGAAAAAACCAGCCAAGCAAATAACAATGAGTGTGGCGGTTCCAGTCAGTTCCCGGTTCACTACCTTACTCGAAAGGCTTCTGCAGTGGTTGTGCCCAGAGGCAAGGCGGGGTGAATTTTTAATTTGGTGGGGCAGATTTACAGATTTTTTGACTGACGACAGAGTCAGGCACCAACTAAGGCATCAAGGTGTATTGTTTCCGATAAGCTGTGAGTGTAACGAGACCAATCTATGGAATGTCCTTGATAGCTGAGTTAGCATACAACGAACCTAATAAGTTGCATAGACTTTATTCTCAACTTGTTCTGCCCTTTTTGCGGTAAATTGCTGTTATCTTCTCTATCAACCCCAAAATTTTAATATTTTTTTCTGACCTGACGTCATCAATCCGCTCAATATGATTGGCTATTGAGTTTCAGGATTTTCACACTGCCCGCCATCTTCTTCTCATGCAGGCAACCTTGAAGGACGGCGAATCCGTAGCTTTGTATACAAACTTATAATTCTCGATTGGCTGTATCGACTCGGACTTACCGGTCGAGTTGTTGAAAACCTACGAATCAACTTTGCCTCTTCATAGTAACTCACCACTATCTGAGGCGTTATTACCTGAAGATGAGACTGCCGCGTGTTGCGCCTGGAAATAGCCGCCGGCTCAATCCTTGTGCTCGTGTATCAGGCACTTGCACTGTTTGCAGTCGAACCTGTCACTGATCATGATGAACTGAAGCTGATGCTCGCCTCGTTCGATGTGATGTTGCTCATTCTTGATGACCCCTAGAGGAAACCTCCTGATACGCCGAGCGACTACGTCCAAGTGCGCGAAGCTGGTAGATATCCTGCAACATGATACCCCTCCAGTTATGACGATGTCATATTCCCTAGATATATCCTTGTGAATATCGCTATTATACAGATGAATGTCTTTTAGTCACAAATTATGTCACAGTTAGGCCAGTCTTGTTGTTTCATGAAGTCATTTCATCATTGAACAATCGCTATAGTACAAATATTATCACCCCTAAATTAAGAGGAAGTCTCGTTGTTAAGAGCATCGAAAGCAGTCTTGCCCTCAAGCTCACTCTGCTTAGGACCAGCATCCCGACCAGCGGCAGTCTGGTTCTGTTGGAACTGTTGCTCAGCAAGTCGGCTGGGATCATCCTGGCTACCAGGCTCAGACTCCAAAGCCTTCTTGAGACCATCCTTGGTGTTCGAATCGTCAATACCCTCCTTCAGGTTCTTGCCGTGAGGGCCAGACTCCTTGATGTACTGGTTGTTGACATAGCTGGGAGCAGAGCCAGCCAGAGACTCTGGAGCAGAGCCGCTGGACTGTGAGGTAGTTCCGGAAGACTTGGAAGCAGAGCCGGAGCTGGGAGCGGAAGAGGTGTTGCGGCCAGCGCTGGTGTTCTCGGATCTGGTGGGCTGGTTCTCGCCGTGGATACCCTCGTTGGAGGTGAAGTCGCCGCCCTCCTTCAGAGACTCAGCAGCAAGAGACTCATTGGGGACTCTACCAGCACCCTCCTGCTTGACGGGAGCGTTCTGACCGAGATCGACCTGATCTGTTAGTTTCTGATATAAAGCAAGGACATATTGCTAATGCTTACCTTTTGACCGTGGCTGGGGGCTGTGGGAGACATGATGTTTGATGTGTTGATGGAAAGATGAACTCGTTTATTTTGATTCGATTGATTGAGATTGCAGAATAAGCTTGATACAGACACCAAAAGGTTCCCGAGCTCTTTGATATATACAGTGTTGAGGTTCCATGACATCATGGTGGTCTTTCTTCACTACGCTCCAAAACATGACGCCGAATTACATCATGAGAGTCCTAGCCACGAGGATTTCGCCTGTAAAACAAGCAAAACAATAGGGACAAGGGACTTTTTGTTTGATAAGCGAATGAATTGGAAAGTTCCACGGCAGCGCTTCTCCATAGACATCGAGATCTGAGCTGTAGGTGCCCGAGCCTCACCTTGTTGGTTGTGTAAGACAGCTGATGCATCGTAACATCACATAGACTACGAGCGACGCTAAAAAGTTCTGTAGAAGAGTAGAAGCTTTAGATTTATAGAAGTTTTCAGCCTCACCGGTATTTCGCAGTTCTAATAACGACATGACGACATCGGTTGGGCTTGGTGTGTCTGCCAGCCAAAAGAGTATCTTGTCAGACTACATCAACAACACCAAGTCTCCTCTACAAGAGACCAGGAATCCTACATTTCTTTGAGATCTGAATTGGAGCTCCGGAGCTTTTGCACCTGGTTTCTTTGATCCCCGGTTCTTGGGAGACTGTATATTGGCCACTCATGCATGTCTGTGCAATGCTGGGCGTGGAGAAAGGTCTTGGCATGATGACTTCCAAGCTTCCCCTTACTCTCATGAACAGGAGGAACTCGCTTCACATATAAACACCAATGCATTGATGAAGATAAGAGTTTATGTGATACTCTCGCAAAGTGTTCTATACCCCGGAAATAATTTTACGAGGATAAGTCTTCGTTTGATGTCATGAAACTGACTTATTCGGTCGCATATATCGCTTGCGATATGGCACGTGGGGTTGGTATCAGATTGTGATACTTCGGTTTCGACTGGCGAAATACGAGACCTTGTTTTCTGTGCTTGTCAGCTTATGCAGTGTCATTTTGTGATAGATAGTTATACCTGAGGTATGCAATTGGGAACAAACAATCTCTTTCTTTTACGTTAGCAGTAGGACCACTATATAAGTGCGACCATGCATTGGTGTGATAATGATACAGAACAGACATGATATAGCATTGCAAGCATGCGTGATCGCATTTCCAAAAAATTTTACCTTACTTGACTTCATTAAAATCACCATAGCATTAATTATCAGGTAGATTTACTATCTACCGTGAAGTCGGTACACCTCTGTGCTGTGAAGAGACGACGAAATTATGACCAACCCTAGACGAAACGCGGTAATACACGATGTGATATCAAGGGCCATTCTCTGTGAGTTCTCATGATGGCCTAAAGTGCAGATTTACCATGATTATTGAGAGTCTCTCACTCGGTTCTGCCTATTATGACCTTCATCTGCCTAGAGAGAACAACCACGAGTGAAGGGTCTTATTCAGTCAAATGACACGCAATGTGTATTTACGGTGTATCAGTATAAATTATAACGTTATAGAATATTTCATGTGCACTTGAAGATGCATCCATGGCGATATCATGTGACAGTAGTTGAGTGACACTTGACTGAACATGACGAGGAGTGAGATGCCGCACACGATGTTACTTGTCTCGGAATGATCAGTGGATGAATCAACTATATGATTTATCTTTCTAGGTCATTTTGCCAAGGAAAAACACGCAAACAGACTTGAGCCATGAGTTTTTTTTTTTTTTTTGTCTATCTTGTTACTATATCTGATGGTCTTTGGTGCGTTCGATTCTTTGACCTTGCTACCAGCATCAGCATCAATCCTGCAGCCACCACTTTGACGGTCCGCAATAAAGCAAGTTCTTTCTTTAGACAAACTGACAACCACCACGAAACACATTGTGATGTTAAGCAAGATCTTCGCAAGGCTTTGATGCCAAGCCATGGGCCAAGGCTGAGATTTCATAGGCGTGACGCAAGAATGAAAGAAATTCGGCCGCGAAGGGTGATTTTGCCACCCTACAGCCGACCGAGACGGCGATTAGGTCGCATGATCGGCCGGTGGTGGGACCCATTCAGCGGCGCCGGACCTTTTGATGCATCTAAGAGGTCAAATGCTGACGGCTCGTTCAGTTGAATGGCAAGTGATGGAAGGATTGATGCAATAACTGAGCAGGTGAAGTGCAATTAGAGTCATCGGTCTACCATGTGCTTCAAGAGGCTGACAACCATCAGATCGCCCTACGCTAAGGAGAATTATTTAAACAGGGTGAGGTCTCTAGCACGGTCTCTGGGAATAGAAAACTTTCGAACACGCAATTCACTTGAATCAAATCCACATCTAATTAAAAATAACAATACGATAAACGATACGGATAACAATGCCGGGAGAACTCGTGTACCACGACGGCCACTATCACCGGACTTCGGCAGACCGGCCGGAACAACGGCATAGCCAGAAACGCCCTCAGCATGGATTGCTGCAAAAGACTCACGATGCCTGGGGTCGAGTCCTTTATGGCGTTGGTAGCGTCTATTACAAGATTCGAGGACAATGAACGACGGAAGAAGATGACGACGCATATACGAGAGAGGAATGGAATCGATGATCCAAAAGAATCACTGCAACTCGACCCGCCATCAACAGAACCGTACTCCACTGTTCATGTTCCGTCTATCCATCAGCATGATCAAGCTTCGAGTTGTCGTCGTCTGAACCACTATATATGATGATGATAGACAGGTCCCAGCGCTGATCAAGGAGAAATAACAAAGAATTGTCCAAAAATATCACAGTCAAGCTCATGCCAGAATGCAAGCTGGGTCAGGGATGGATATTATGGGCTCCATAGATGTGCACAAGCGTCTATGCTCTGCTTTGCATCGGTTTCAGAGTACGATGGGTGGAGGAACCAACCAGGAAACAGGAGTGAGAGATACAGTGTCTGTGATAGGAATGACACGCGCCTCTGAAAGGATTGACGAACCCCTTTGAGACAAAGATACAAACCGGGCCGAGCAGACATCCCGGAAGGGAAATCGAAATCAACGCAACACGAACACACGTAAGCTCTTTGTTCGACCCATTGCATCCAACTAAGCCGTTGTCAACTTCCGAAAATTATCAGCCAAGAGGGCAAGACATAGGCATTTAATATCATAATATTGCAATTCCGTATTCATCATGCCAAGTGAACGCGGTCAACTCGTAGACAATGAGTCCCACCGCAAGCGACTCGAGACAATTTCCCAAGTGTCATTCAATGTCGTATACTTGTACAAGGCGAAATACAGAATCAATGGCGGCTCAGACCAAACCCAGGTGAGACCCCTGATGTTTTGTCGTAGACGGAAGTTCAGTGGAGACTGTCCCCTATTCTGTACAGTGCAATCTCGTGAGACACTAACAAACCATGCACCAGGCGAGGCCAAGCTTTTGCTAAGGCGAGATAGAGCTACGGTGTGCATTGACTCCAAGCACTATACCACCGTCAACAAGATGAGATCCCTCTGCAGCAACCCCTGATTGGCCACGGATGGCGCCGGACAAGACCCAAACAAGCTTCAATCTCTGAACTGCGCCTCGCAATCGACAGGGGTCCTTTGTCTCGTGGTTGGTTCATTCGTCAATCCTCGAGGGGATCTGCTTGTTTTTCGGCGACCGACCTCTTCACCGCAGCAGGCACAGTGTCGCTATTCCACTACAACACAGCCGCTGCCAACCCCTTGCCAGGACAATTAGCGGCTTGGACAACTGAAGTTCAGGGGGGCGGGGCCACTCCAGAAGCCCAGGGATGGTCCCGTAGCTAGACTGCCTTAGTGTCACTGCTAGCCACCCCATGCATTCCATTTTCCATTTACTTTTCAAATCGCCCCATCCCTCGAATTCCATCTTCCTTCTCTCTTCCTTCATCAAACCTTCGCTAACCTTTAATTCTTCATCGCCGTTTTTTCTTATCGGTTCTCGTTACTTTGAGGCCGATTTTTAACTTTTCCCGACACTCATTTACAAACGCTCTTGCTACTCGATCCGATTGCCTCTCTTCCGGCCCATACGTCGCGAACTGAAGGAAAAAGGGGTTTCAGCATTCCAACAACAATTTCCGCGTTGAATAAAATCATCGCGTCATTCTAGTCATTCATTACTCTCTGTTCTTTTTACTTGCCGTTTGATACACAACACAATGAAGTTTTCCGCTGCCATTGTCGCTGCGGCGGCCACGGCTGCCAGCGCCAAGCTGGAGCCCATCACCATGAAGGTATGCGCAGGACGGCAAGATGGCGCAATCTGATGTTGACAATTCCCAGGGATCCAAGCTCTTTTACTCCAACGGAACTCAGTTCTTCATGAAGGGTGTTGCTTACCAACAGGATACCGCCGCCGCTGGTGAGACCAACGAGAAGGCTACCAAGTACATCGATCCTCTCGCCGATGAGGATGCTTGCAAGCGTGATATCCCTCTCCTCAAGCAGCTCGGTACCAACATTATCCGAACTTACGCCATCAACCCCAAGGCCGACCACAAGGCTTGCATGAAGTTGCTCGACGATGCCGGAATCTACGTCATCTCTGATCTTTCTGAGCCCAGTGTCTCTATCAACCGTGATGACCCCAAGTGGGATGTTGAGCTGTACGAGCGCTACATCGGAGTCGTCGACGAGCTCGGTCAGTACGACAACGTCGTCGGTTTCTTTGCCGGTAACGAGGTCTCCAACAACGTCTCCAACACCCAGGCGTCTGCTTTCGTCAAGGCCGCCGTCCGTGATACCAAGAAGCACATCAAGAGCAAGTTCTCCCGCTGGCTCGGTGTCGGTTACGCCTCCAACGACGACGTCGATATTCGTGAGCAGATTGCCGACTACTTCAACTGCGGTGACGACGACTCCCGCATCGACTACTGGGGTTACAACATCTACTCTTGGTGCGGTAAGAGCAGCATGCAGGACTCTGGTTACTCTGACCAGGCCAAGTTCTTCGAGGATTACTCTGTTCCCGTCTTCTTCGCTGAGTATGGTTGCAACGAGCCCGATGGTGCTGCTGGCCGTATCTTCGATGAGACTACTGCCCTGTACGAGGAGAAGGTCATGACCGACGTCTTCAGCGGTGGTATCGTCTACATGTACTTCCAGGAGGCCAACGACTACGGTCTCGTCAAGATCAGCAAGAACGGTGATGCTGTCAAGCAGAAGGACTTTGCCCAGCTCCAGAAGAAGGCCACCGCCGCTAAGCCTTCCGGTGTTGAGGAGGACAGCTACAAGCCCACTGGCAAGGCCGCCACCTGTCCCGAGCAGTCCAAGAACTGGAAGGCCAACAGCGTCCTCCCCCCCGTCCCCGATTCCGACCTCTGCGACTGCATGGTCAAGAGCCGAAGCTGTGTCCCTGCTGATAACTTGAAGGCTAAGGACTTTAACGACATCTTTGGTTACATCTGCGGCCAGGACAAGAAGATCTGCACTGCCATCAACGCCAACGCCACTGCCGGTATCTATGGTGCCTACAGCATGTGCTCCAACGACGCCAAGCTTGCTTACATCCTCGACGCCTACTACACCTCGCAGAAGCAGGCCGCCGATGCTTGTGACTTCAAGGGCAAGGCCACCACCCAGAAGGCCGAGAGCCAGGACTCTTGCAAGTCTGCTCTCGCCTCCGCCAGCAAGATCAACGAGGAGGTTGCCACTGCTACCCACGCCGTCGCCTCTTCCTCCACCGGTGGTTCCGACAGCAGCAGCAGCGAGGACGACGAGAACTTTGGTCTCCAGGCTGCCTCCATCGCCCGCGTCTTCTCCCTCGGTGACTACGCCGTCGGCGCCTACATGGCCGTCGCCGGTGCTGTCGGTGCCGGTATGGTCCTTCTGTAAAATGGAGGTTCTTGGATGGGCCGATCTTGGTATGATTAAAGTTTCTTGCGGTGGCTTTTTAGGAACGTGCGATTTTTACTAGTTGTGTTTTTTCCTTTTTGTGTATCTAGCATCGCCGGTGTTGCATGGCTTGTGATTAGAACGAGATAGATGTCTAATGCCATCTTGCGCGATTGCTATGCCAGTCTGTGAAGTGCTTGGTGAAAATTATACATATGTAATGTAATAGACTACCTTGATCTTGACTCGGGTGTGAGTAGATAACTTGAACATGAAGCGGCTCTTGTCAACTTTTGTGAGTAAGGAGATGCTATGATCTGAAGACTGTAAAATTTCTGTTACTTGTTTCTATTATTCTCAAGACCTACTGTGTTGTATCATGGACAAACCCGCATTTGTACCTTCGAGACTTAGCCCAGACACAGCCATATTTTCGGTCTCAAGCATCCGCTTCATGCCTTCTTGCGTCTTCGACTTGAGGTATCTAACATTCTTCATATTGATGACCTACCACTCAACTATCTAATGGGGGCTGTTGTTTCCCTGCCACCGTTCAAGACAAGGCCTTCGGCATAATGGAATATTGAATTAAGTACCTACCTAAGATACCTAGTAGGTATGGAACGTCTAGATTGAGCGCTTGTTATATCGGCATCACTTCTCGCGATCCATAGGTGCCTTAAGAAGTTGGTTGCCCAGGGGCTAGGTTGCCCAGGGGCTAGGTTGCCTTCGCCAACGCCGCCTCTCAAGCCAATACATAAAAAGAGCAACTGCCACGAACCTGTTTGAAGGAAGCAATGGTCAGGGGCCAAACAAGGCGCGAGAGTAGTGCTTAAAGGTCAGGGCTTGGTTTAGGAGATTTGTAAAGTTAATGATGAGTCTGTTATGATTTAAGAGGATGTTTGAGGATTTAAGGGGCTCTTATGAGGAGTTCATGAAGAGATCACCTAAGACTTATCATTATGTGAGGAGTTCATGACCTCACAGGTGCGACTCACAGGGGCTTGCCTTCCCTGGTCGATTTCTTCCTTCTTGTACTTAAGTATATGTACTTTTCCCTCTGCACTCTTCATAACATCCCGTCAAGAAGTTCTAGCATCAAGACAGCACGTATCGAAATAGAATCTTTTCCATCAGCAACATGTCGTTTTCGGAACAGGGGCAACCACCTGAATCAGACGACCTTGAGTGGATGCCAAAATTCCTTGACACTCTAGAGTCGCTCGATCCAGTGGAAGCCTTACATTAGAGAACGTTCAAGGTTGTCAGTCCGATTAGCGAAGAAAGAGCCGCTTATCTGAGGGGACATACTGGCCTCTGGTGGGTTGTCCCTGTCAAGGTGGGAGATCTCGGTATCATTCACACTGGAGGAAACAACTCCCTTAACGGCAAATTAATCGACTACTTAAATGTCCAACTACTTCGCAAAACCGAGAAAGGCCTTGACACAGGAGATGGAACGCCTGATCTGTATGGCCTTGCTGGATTGTGCCAAGTCCCGCTGGCAAACATTCAACTTGGAGCTCTCCTCTTACGGCCAGGAAAGTTAGATGTTGTGCCGGTAAATCCACGACTACAGTTCAATAGCATCTTCAAGAATTTCGACTGCTACGTTACCTCAGTAGAGGTTCCAGAAGACTTGAGCCCTCCCGATCTCTGGATCAGAACGAAAGCGCCTCCAATTGCTGAAATGCCGGCGATCTGGAGCTTTCGAACGCACCGCACGACGATTTTCAAAGAAAAAGCTACCAGTAGCGAGCGTATTCAGCTCTTCCGTCATCGCCAACGTCCTCAAGATGCTCCAAGAATTCTTGCGCTTAGTATAATGGTTCCATGCAAAGGTACTCCTCTTAAAGTTGGGTCCGCCGTTAACGTTATGATCGAGATCACAATTGACCCTGCTGTCGAGCATCCTCACTCCTATATTTGACTCCCAACAGTAGGGCCTTTTGACTCTTGGGATCAAGCATTTCGCGTTGGAATACGTATTGAGTTCCAAGATGAAGGGACTTGGAAAACCAGGTATCTCAGCTCTAATCGCTATTGCCCCCTTTTATCAATTTACATCGAGAATTCCTGGCTGCATTGCATGAAAACCCTTGCAACTCTATTAAGCTGGCAATGGAAGCCGGAGAATAACCCCTTCAGGGATAACCTCGCTCAAGCCGTTTGGGCTCCCTGTAGAATTAGGCTCTTTGCGGCCGACTTCGACTTTCACAACCAGCATCTTGTTATTCATGAACCCCAGCCAGTGTGGATGAAATGCCCCAAGCTTCTGACATCCGAAGAGACTTCACTGGAAATTATACGCAAGTTTCCTGCATTAGATATCGGGAGCCCGCCGAACTTGGACTTGCTACATGCGTCAGATCGAAGCCACCATCGGAAGTGTGATCTGTGTGTGGTAGGTAATTCATCCCTTTGTAATGAGAAAAGGCTATTGACACCCAACCTCCACAGATGCTGCAAAGCCCCACAGGCTTATGCCAGAGATGCATACGGGAGAGGAAGACCATCTCAATTTCCACAGGGAGGTATTACCTCCAATGCCCACTGTCAGAGAGTCTTGGCCGGCTCTGCACGTTTATAGAGGACTTTTGGGAAAACCCAGATCTGAGACGTCTTTCATTTCGCTTTTCAACCAAGAATGGTAATCCTATCCGATGCATCGAGCACCCTCCCGGGGCGTAGTCTAAGACTTAGGACTCTGAGTTGTGGGACGGAAATAAACTAATCAAAATTATCCTCAGTTTAACGTGTATGATAAGCGAGTGAGCCAGACAAGCAAGTGAGCCAAAAATCCCTCACCTTACAACATTATAATTCAATCAGCTATATCTCAACCAACAAATATGCCACAGTCCTCAAATGAAGCTAGAATCCTTCTTGCCCTTCAGGCCCTTCAAGATAACCCTAAACTTACAGTCCGACGGGCGGCAAATATCTACAATGTCAACCGTAGTACCTTAGGTCGCCGCCAGCATGGCATTCTTTCAACGCGTGATACTCCCACAAAGTCACGGAAACTATCTGATCAGGAAGAGCAGATAGTAGTCCAATTCATTTTAGACCTAGATTTGCGAGGTTTTCCCTCGCGACTATCATATGTGGAAGATATAGCTAATTCTATACTTGCCAACCGCAACGCGCCATACGTCGGCAAGCGCTGGGCTTATAACTTCGTCAAGCGACAACCAGAGCTAAAGACACGTCTATCTCGGAGGTATGACTATCAGAGAGCTAAATGCGAAGATCCGACTATTATTCGTGGCTGGTTTCGGCTTGTAGAGAATACAATCGCGAAATACGGTATCCGATCAGATGATATCTGGAACTTTGATGAGACCGGCTTTATGATGGGCGTAATTGAGCCCGGAACAGTCGTCACAAGCTCTTACAGGCAAGGAAGACCAAAGCAAGTACAGCCTGGAAACCGCGAATGGATTACTGTGATCGAGGGGATCAATGCGGACGGTCAATCGATCCCGCCGTTTATCATTGGTGCAGGCAAGGATCACCTTGCCAATTGGTACCAAGAATGCGACCTCCCCGGCGATTGGGTTATTGCATTGAGCGAAAATGGATGGACTAATAATAAGCTGGGTCTCGAGTGGCTAAAGCACTTTGATCGGGCTACAGCTAAGCGAACGAACAGTCGCTATCGCCTCTTGATCCTTGATGGTCACGAAAGTCACCACTCCGTCGAATTCGAGAAATATTGCAAAGAGAACAAGATTATCACGCTCTGTATGCCTGCTCATGCCTCTCATCTACTTCAGCCTCTTGACGTAGGGTGCTTTGGGCCGCTGAAAAAGGCATATGGTCGAGAAATAGAGCATCTGATCAGATGCAATATAACCTATATTAAGAAGACTGAGTTCTTTCCTGCCTTTTACGCCGCCCACCAAGCTGCTATTACAGAAAGCAATATCAAGGGAGGTTTCAGAGGAGCTGGGCTTGCTCCCTTTAACCCAGAAAATGTCATCTCGAAGCTTGATGTGCAGCTACGGACTCCGACGCCTCCCGTAGAGGTCATAATACCATCGACCCCTTGGACTGCAAGGACCCCAAAGACAGTGCTAGAGGCCCAATCGCATTCTAAGTATCTGCAAGGAAGGATCAGAAATCATAAGAGCAGCTCCCCTGAGTCAATAATTGAAGCCGTAAAGCATTTTGAGAAGGCAACAACTGTTCTTATGCATAAGATGGTCTTACTAGATGATAGGGTTCGACAACTTGAACAAGAGAATAAGACAGTAGGGCGACGCCGGAGGGGAAAAAGGACTAAGGTACAGAAAGAAGGGCCTTTAACTATAGGGGAAGCATTACAAGCAATTGATCAGATAGATATTGATGCGCAGCTAACAGCTGAATCCTCGAGAGGTGGTCGCGGAAGGTCACAAGGAGCAAAGGTTCGGCAGTGTAGTATTTGCGGAAAGACCGGGCATAATGCAAGGACCTGTCAGGAGGCAATTGAGGTCAATAGGGAATAGTATAACAATTAATTTTAATTGATCAGATAGATTGTGGTGTTTTTATTGCGAATTTAATTTGGAAGGTTAAGATATGTGGCTCACTCGCTTGTCTGGCTCACTCGCTTATCAAGCACGTTATAATAAAATACCCTAAACTTATATATGTTTTTGCCACTTGGGATGAATGCTTTGTGTTTTCAGCCTGCACTCTCTGTTAGATTTTTGGTCGAAATAGCCAGTGACACTTTTAGTTATACGGCATTGGCTAGTGGTTGACGGACCCGCCCAGGCATCTTCCAGCAAAGAGTCATTTTTCTGTTAGGGCACAGCACTATGAAACCAGTGACTGCGGGTTTTTGCCTCTTGCTGCAATATTTCTTTACCCTCAAACATCCTCCAACTGAACCGCTGGTTTGCGATGTTTGGCGTTCTCACCAGGCCGGCGTTGCGCACTCATTGTCGCGAAACTTGACTTGAAGTGAACATTAGGATGATCGACAATAATCAAGGAGTTGAATTCTCCCTCAATCTTGAACTGAAAGCAGACGAATTGCTTGTGGCTCAAGACGGGGTAACGTATTGAGTGGTTTCCACTTCCCAAGGTAGAGTGTGAGGATGCTCAGAGCTTGTTCTACAGCATATTGGGCCACCAGGTGGAATTTGCAAAGAGAGAAACTTAATAACAATACAGTTTATCGAGTTTCCCGTGTTATTTGCATAGTTTACTGTGTAGGTAATGTGCATCGTTGAAGTTGTGTCACTGCGTGGTGGGAGAGCGGGTAAGCTATATAACCGATAGATTCCAAACCCTTTCGTCCTTCGGGACACATTGGTCTATTGTAGGTGCAACCGGCTAACTTTGGAGATCTCCTCCAAGGTGTAACAGTTCGAACGCATGCTAATATATCATCACAGGAAACGATACAGAGAAGATTAGCATGGCCCCTGCACTAAGGATGACACGCTCAATCAAAGAGAAGCTACCAATTTTTTTCGTCCTTTTTACTATTAGTTATGTCTTGTTGTTGTTGAGCTCTTGGTTTCATGTTGTGGTGTTATGTGATGAATATCCCTGATCGTGTCGTCTCGCTCCGGATTGGGAAAACTCTATTTTTGGAACAGTACTTAATTGGCCAGATAAAAATGGACCCCGGTTTACATGCGTGCTCATTTAAGCATAAGGTGCTCTGAAGCTCACGATCACCAATGCAGAATCATGATTGCAAATGGTGCGTTACTTTTATATAAATGCTAATAATTCTCGTGATAAAGCGCTCGACTTGTACGTTTCATGTCCCTATTTGCACTGGTGTTATCCTTCCACCGCTCTCAGTCAAAGCCGCATACACAAGAGTGACTTGAGAACGTAGTGGGAGGGCATCTTCCGGCTTTGTCTCTTCTACTTGAGGGCGATAAGGCTTAGCAGCCGTTGAGATCTTCGGGCATTGGCCCCAAGAGGTCTTTCTTCAAACGTGAGGCTACTCAAAAAATCAAGGCAAGAGACAGAGGTTAATTTGATCCAAGTGACAAGAGGCAAAAGGAAAACCTCAAGGTCAGGTAGTCAGCATCAGGATCTTGTTTCAACTATTCGAAGCGACGTATGCCATAATGAGGATTGAGACTACAGTGAATACAGCCAGGTTCTTTATCTTGGGAACGAAGCAGACCATTTGCATACAGGTCCTTCTAGAACAATAGACGAGTGATGCGGCGCAGCGACGGATTTGTGAAGCCATACACGTTCTCCAGATGACAGATCCCAAAGTCAACTTTCCCAGTTCTAGAAGTCGAATAGCAATTTTCTGACCATTCAGGACAATCCCCCGGTTCCGAAAGCATTCTTCCCCCAGTAAACACTTCACCTGCGCCCTGCTGTTTTGATCACTCCCCAACGCCATCTCTTCAGCTACCTACGCTAAAAAAGCATGCTTAAAACTATACGAAAACCCATCAAAAGTCCGCAGCACAGAACTTTCCCATTTGGACACGGAGACGATGCTTACATTCATCGGAGACAAGGACTCGGGACGATAAATGAGTGGCGCAGGGTGCGCCATGCTACCCAGCTGAATACCCAAACAGACAAAAAGAAGCCTCGTGGCGGTCTATTAAAAATAGACTAAAAAGCCGTTAGGCAGATTGGCGCGAATAGTTCTTCAACGGTAGGATTTCACGATGGAGTTGAAACGTACGAGTTGGCGCTTCGAGGAGATTGTTGAGAAAGGATCTGCACCAAAGTACTATTCTCTCTATTGCTATTTGATAATGCCATTTAAAAAAATAAATGAACGAAAAATTGGAAGAGAATCGATTCCCGCTGACAGGTCCCGCCGCCAGCACAGCCCATGAAACTACTGGTATAAGCAACGCCTTCAGCGCTAGCTCAAGTTCCACCCAGCCACGATGCAGGACTCGGGCATGTTGGTCTTCAAGAATAAACTGCATATAAGGGCTGGAAGAGACCCAGAAAGATCTTCCAGCCCTATAACTCATCTACACAACCATCATGATTCCTTCAGTTCTATTAGCCCTCGCCGGGGTTAGTTTCGCAGCCCTTGAGCCTAGACAGGTTATGCACCAGGCTCGAAACCAACCATCTTTTATTTCATCGCGAGATCTTTCTGAAGCTGAGAGCGAGCCTTGCAAGTTCATAAGTCAAGCTTATGAGGAGGCTGAACCTGAGCCTGGAAAGCCTGTTGTTCTTGCTATTCCCCCCTCTGTTGGTATTGCTTGTCTCAAGTCTGTTCCTCTGGATAAGAAGCGGGATCTCGAGTTGTTGGACTATCTTGAGCCTTTGATTGGGTTTCAGAGTACGCTTGAGATTCTTGCTGATCCACCGAAGGAGTATTTGTTTCCTGGTGTAGATGTTCTTGGTGGCTTTGATACGATTCGGAGCAAGTTGGAGAATAACAAGTACAAGACCCAATATGAAGTCATGACAGATCTGCGAAGCATTGTAAGTTCTCAAACTCCGTGTAAAATGCTGTGCTCACAATAATAGTTTGCTGCTGCCAATGATGGTCACTTTGACTATCCTCCCGCTCTGCTCAACGCCTTCTACTACGTCCGACGTGGTATCGAGTTCGAATCTGTATCTGCCAACGGTATCCGACTGCCATACATCTTCCATGTCATCGATACCAACCGTGGTAACCAAGGTCTTCTCGACTATACCCCTTCAGCTGTCAAGTCCATCGATGGCACTCCAATCACTAAGTGGCTCGAGGAGGACGCTTCTTTCGCGACATCAAACAGCCAAGACCCTGATGCTCAGTACAACGGTCTCTTTGCATCCATTCCTCGTGGCGCTGTTGGATCATCTAGCAGCACGCTCTTCACCCAATTTGAGATTCCCGATACATATACCATCGAGTTCCACAACGGCAGCAAGTTGGAGATTGTCAACCAGCTTGTCATCCCTGCTACTGTCGATCTTTCCGGTATCGAGTCTGGCGAGGATTTCCATTATTACATCGAAATCACTCCAACAAACACTACCACCGAAGAACCTTCTGCCAACGAGCGTCGTTCAACCCAAGAGACTGACGATGATCTCCCTGGCTACCCCAAGCCTCTCGTCAAACAATCCAGCAACGCTGTCTCTGCATACCTTCTCAACGGCAAAGACTATGAAGACACTGCTGTCCTCTCCATCTTGAGCTTCTTGCCTATTGGCATCGACATCAGTAACCCCCCTGCTGATTTTAGTATGACAAAGTTCATCCTTGAGGGACAAGCTGTCATCCTTCAACTCATCAAGGCGGCCAAGGCTACTGGTCGTGATAAGCTCATCATCGATATGTCTGCCAACGGCGGTGGTTCAGTCGTTCTAGCCCACTCCATCTATCGCCTCTTGTTCCCTGAAGGAGAGTTCACTGGCTGGGATCGATATCGCGCCAACCCTGCTCTCGAGGCTGCTGCCGAGGTCGACTATGATAACCTCGTCAAGTCCTTGATCACAAGATCTGAGTATTACCCCATCGCTCCTGGTAACAAATACCTCGAGACAGGCAAGGAATTTTATGGCCCTTATACCGTCAAGGGACAGAATGTCACCGCAGCCTTCCAGACCGACAAGACTGTCCCCTGGGATGAGAGCATTCCTGCTTATATCAATGGCTTCGACCCCGAGAGAAAGCCTTTGGTTGCGGAAGCTCCCTGGAAGCCCGAGAACATTATTATCGTCACTGATGGTATTTGCGCCTCGGCCTGTGGTATCTTGACGGGTCTTCTCACGCGTAATCACGGTATTCGCACACTTGCACTCGGCGGTCGTCCTCTCAACCAAGCCATGCAAGCCATGGGCGGCGTCAAGGGAACTTTACTCAACTTTAACGCCGACATCACCAGCGCAATCACCAATGTCCGCGATAGCGCAAAGACCGACAAAGAGACCGTCGCTATTCTCAGCGACGCATCGTCCTCATTCCCCAGCTCGCAAAACCCTCCTCTTCTCCCTCTCCCTGCAGGCGGTGTCGGCAAGGTCAACTCGCTGAACGGTTACACTGAGGATAACCTCGAGGGATACCCCGTACACTTTCGATATGAGGCTGCAAACTGTCGTCTGTTTTATACGCAGCGCATGTTGGCTTCGCCTATTGAGTCGTGGAGGCGTGCTAGAGGAGTTGCATGGAATAACGAACCTTGCGTGTCGGGCTCGACGACGAATAGTGATGGTACAATTGGTGATAAGACTCTCAAATACGATTCTCGTGTTCGCAGTCGCGCAAGTGGAATTAAGGGGCCTGGAGAGTTGAAGAAGTGATGATTCATTTATGGTAAACATGGCGTTTGTATAGATGGTGTTTATATTTAGCAAGCGACGGAGTTTTTTGTCTTTTTACTATAGATTATAATGGCCATACCAATATTTAATTTTATTTATTTCATTTCGCGCCTTGTTCAGATTTATTAATGAGCCTCCCTAATTTGTATTGTCGCGATGGTTTACGATCCCGATCGGTCAAGCATACCATGACGTCAGCCATCTCAAAGCAGGCACAGGCACGCGACAACCACAAGCTAAGCTTCTGTCCCACGTACGTTCCCTTCTCCTCATTCCTCCTCTTGACCTAATAATTAATTCTCTTCCGACATTCTTTTTGTGAAGGCGATATCGTTATTCTGAGGTCGCCATGCCTCTCCTCCCAAGAGTAAACTCGGCTGCGGCCAACAGGTCCCAGTCCAAGAAGCAAAAGTTCAAGACGTTTATGCGACAATGGTTTCTTGTCAACTGGCGCGATTTACTTGCCATGGCTGTTGTTGGAGCTGTTGCTTTTGGTGTATGTATGTTTCTTTCCTGTGCTTTTAATTGTTGCTAATTTGTTAGATCTACCATTCTCCTGTCATCATCACACGAACGTTTCCTGTCACCTTCGATGCGACCTCGGGAGATATTGTCTACCCCCAATGGGCGTACCCTGATCGCGGATGGATTCTACCTTCATGGCTATCCGGTTTGATATCTATCTCTATACCTATCATCACCTACATCGCCGCCCAATCTCGGATCAAATCGGCCTGGGATGCAAGCAACGCCATCATTGGAACAAATTGGTCCGTCATTCTGGCGTCTCTCTTCCAGGTCACTCTCAAGCAACTTGTCGGTGGTTTCAGACCTTACTTTCTCGATGTTTGCATGCCGGATATTTCCCTCGCCAAAACACACAACAAGACTGGTCTGAACGGAGTTGGTTACTACCAAATCATGTACACCACAGAAATCTGCACCCAGCCTGATCAGTCGAGGATTCAAAATGCCATCACATCGTTCCCAAGCGGACACACGACTGCCGCTTTCGCTGGATTCGGATTTCTCTTCCTATGGCTTAACGCCAAACTCAAGGTCTGGGCAGACCACAAGCCCGCCTTCTGGAAACTCTTCCTCACATTCCTACCTCTCCTCGGAGCAGTCCTAATTGCTGGCTCACTCACCATCGACGCTGCACACAATTGGTACGACATTCTAGGAGGCGGTTTCATCGGCACGATCATGGCATTCGCATCATATCGCTCCACCTATGCTAGTGTTTGGGACTGGCGCTTCAACCATCTCCCACTTCAAGAGACGGAGGCTTTCCGGTATGGATTCGATGGAGACCTGGATTATGCTGCTCAGACTCTATCTATGGCTGCTGGCTGGGGAGGCAAGAAGGTTAGGTTGCCTGAAAGCACGAGTGCCCCTGCTATCAGCGCCGGGTCTACGCTTCGAAGTGGCGCTGAAGAGATAGAGAACCTGGATGCGAATACTAGAAGGAAGCGAAGGGGACCCGTTGGAGACGAGGCTGTATAATGAGGAGGCTTGAGTTTGATTGGAAAATCCATGGATAGGAGTTGAGACTTTGGCATAGATTACATATCATTTGTAATGGTAATCACAAGTTTGACTGGAACATAGTTCTTCGACCTTGGCTGAAGGTCCATGGATGCAAAATTATTCTTGAAGAAGCTGCCAATCAAGATCTGATCTGATTGCGTCGTCTGCTCGACTTCTCTCTCGGATACTCCATGAACTTTGGGAAGACTTGGTCTTTCTACGGTTAATATTGAGGCCAAGATGCCCTTCAATGCAACAACGAAGTGATGTTTTGCGCAACAGACTGTAGATTGAGAGCCTGTTGGTTGATAGTCGAGTGTAAGCAGGAGGGTAAGTTCGTCGCAGAAGGAGTTAACCTAGAAGTGAAGGGGTAACCTTTGTCTGAGCTCTGTGAGGGATGAGACATTGAAATAGAAGCCATGATCGACTACGGGAATTTGCGTTTTGTGCTGACAGAACTCGTCTGTAGACGCCCTTTCGCAAGCCTTCTCACGCGCCTGGCAGTCAAGGTTTTGCCGCTGAATGAGGTCAAGGGATAGGTATAAATAATTAAATGGCTATTCATGTTTATGCTACAATAGTTATGTAATAAGAGTAAAATATCTTTAATTGCAATTATCGCTTTAAATACCAGCTAGAGAATGCAACAAGAAGAGGAAATCCCAATTAGGTACCCGACCTCCATCTCCTTCATACCGGACTAACACCGTAATAGTATGATCATAAGCTTCGGAGAACTACTAGAAGTCCCAGGGACAAGAAGATTAAGATCTAGGCTGAGACCAACATAAAACAACGCCCAGAAAGCAAAAAGTCAAAGACCCCAAGACTAGTATCCTGATGCAGCAAGCCTGGCCTTCTCATCATCCACAATCTCCTCCTCCTCGCCCTTTTTCACAACCTCATAATCAGGAAGTTCCTCCTTGACATCACGAGAAACAACCTCAGGCGGTGTTTGCTCTTGAGTCTCTTGCACCTGAGGTTCATCAGTGTATCTCTCCTGCTTCTCAGACAAGATACTATCGCCAGGGGGAGGGACCTGTCCAACTGCTTGTACAACAGTCTGGTCATAGTCAGTCCGTCCCTCAAGAGCCTGAAGGACCTCGAAAAGAGGCTTAGCAGCCATTGGCCAAGCAACGTCACCATAAAGGATCTTCTGTGCCGTGATACCACGCTCGTTGTAGAAAGTGGCATTGGCATCACCTCGAGTGACCACGATGGTGCCGTCGATTTGAACACCCATCCACAAGCCGCGGCTCTTCATGTAGCTCCACACAGGACGAGCGGTCTTGCTAAGGGCAGCCTCAACACTACCACCTGTCCCAATGGGTCCCAGAGCAACCGAACCCTCTGCACCGAATGAAAGGCGAGGCTTTGTGAAGGCGGCGACTTGCTCCGGAGTGTTGAGAACACAAACGCAATCGTAGACATCAAGACCAAAGACGAAGCCTGCACCGAGACTGCTTACAACAAATGAAGAAGGAGGAGACCAAGTACCGTCTGAACGTCGGGCAATGACTATGCCGGAGCCACCAGAAAGTGAGTTATGACCGGCGCCGGCACGGATGACGTTGAAGATGGCTAGACCGGCTGCGCTCTGGAGGACAGAAGGGGGAATTTTGACCATCGACTTGCGTGTAAGTCCGGTTGGGTGGAGGGGTCCTTTCTCTGTGGGCGATGTTGACGAGTTGAGGTCTAAGAGTGTAAGTCAGTAAATGTCTTTTCATGTGTTTATTATTGAGATATTACTCACTGGTGAAAGAGTGAAGAATACGAGCAGCCTTGCTGCACTCCTTGTCCATAGTAGAAGGCCACCATCCTTCAGCACCAAACAGATTGGCAGCCTTGTTTAATGGCGAACCAGCCTTGGAACTAATTTTGTGAAATCGCTCGCCGGCTGTTGGCTTGGCCGTAGAAGAAGCATCTAGATCTTGAGGTTGGGGTTGCTGGTACTCTGTGCTATCAGGCTGGATGGTGTAGGAGGGAGGCTGACCAGCTTGCTTGAGAGGGTCAATGGCCTCAATGGATTTGTTGGATGTAGAGTAAAGAGTCATTGTGAAGATGATCGGAGTTTTACAAACGTGATTAAGTGAAAGTGAGTTTATAAGAATTGGAGGTTTTGTTGACTGTATTGTTCTGATATACTCAATCAGGCACCTCCCAACCTTATATGCCCTTCCTCGCTGTATTATCCCAATTCCGTCCATCTCGCATTCTCTTAAGCCTACGCAATCTCATCCAACCAAACCATATATTGCAGTTGCCTCTAGGCGCAGTAAACGCGGCCGCCTAGGTAAGATGGATGCGTAGTGCGTGGACTGAGGCGCAGCATCGCCGCACGAGAAGCGAGACAAGAGCGAATGACGATCCACGAAGTGAGAACTACAATCGACAGAGGATAGTATTTGCAATTACAGCTCATTTTCATCAACAAACATCATATTAGAAAAGCTTTCTTGGCTCAGTTGGTTAGAGCGTTGGTCTCATATCTCTATAGAGTGACTTAGCTTCAAGCTAGGGTTATCCAAAGGTCGTGAGTTCGAACCTCACAGAGAGCAATTTTTTTTTGCCGATGGTGTTGTGAAGTTGTCTGATCGATCACGGTCAGACCCACTGTTTAAGCTATAACGTGCGAGTCGCATAGATGGTGGCGTATAAAATGGGTCGAGATTGATTTGGGGCCAATCAGAAGCTCGGATCCTAGTTTTATACAGTCCCAACACGCTATGATACTGTGCTGTCCATAACAATGGGTTTACCTTTTGTCTTGCAACGGGTCAGTATTGTTTTCAATTCATTAATACACCCGACCGACAACACATGCGTGTTTAGGGAAAAAAGAGATGGCGTTTATTTCGTGAATAAACTGACACTTGCAGCCAAGAGGATTCCCTGGAGACCTTTACCGAATCTCTCATGCTCTTGCAATCACGCTCAATGCATGCTTCAGTTCTGATTCAACAGTTGCACCTTGACATCGGAATCATGTAAAAAGCAATACGGGTTGTGGAGCATGTGTATGCATTGATGGTAGTTTAAATAAAAGGTTTCTCTATGTGGTATATTGCTGTTCATCAATTTAAATCTACAGATATACGACAGTTTCTTATGTTGCCGTCCGAGACTTCTAGGAGTGGCGAAAAAAAGGCCTGGCACATGACGATGAACTCCGATAGCTTTAACAAAATAATTGGCCACTGATCGTGTCTAATGCTTCAATTAAAGCATTCCATTAAATGTGTTCTCGCATATGCTACAGCAAGCCGCCTGGACATGGGAGTGTGAGCAACCAAATGGCGTATGAGATTGTACAAGAATTGACTCCTGGATAGAAATCCCTGAACCAGAGCAGATTCTAGCTAGATTATTACATTACACTTCAATCGGTAAGTCTGCTCGAGATTGAATCTGTGCCATTGTCGTATATGCCATAGAGAGTGGGACAATATGCCGGATTAGTTGACATGACTCCAATGCTTGAGGATTGACGACGCCTAATGCCATGTCCGGCTTTTCCTGAGAGTGCAGGAAAAAGACCATGTATCATTGTATACTGAAAAACAAGTATCAGGAATGTCAGGGTGTGACGAGCTTAAGGTCGGTCTCACCCTTGGCATCTCATGGGCCTCCTCCAGGTGGGTGAAACTTGTCGTAGAAGGATGATTCGAAAATCACAACATCAGCATATCCAACCCAAAGGCGATCTTTCTGTGCCGACACCCCTTCGTGTCTATTAGCATGTCGGCAGTATCGTCTGTAGAGCCCCTCTGATAGCACTATCCAGAACCACAGAAGCGCGGAGACAATATATTACACTCCAGCGTAGCCAACCATCGCCTGTATACTTGTAGAATTGTCGGTCAAGCGGTAAATGTTCGATGTCAGAACGCCACGGAGAGATAATGTGCTATCTGGCAGGATGTGATGGCATTGACGGGACTTTCCAAAGACTCGATGAGTCCCTCCAGTTTGCTCACCGGATCAGAGCTTGGAGTAAAAGCCACCTCAGACAAGGCTCAGCAGTGGCTGGTTTGATCGATGCAAGGTCACAGACACTGGAGACAGACCTCGATACCCTGCGATATGAACTACACGAAATGGGCTCCAGCATCGCTAATGGCGTTCCCGCTTATATTGGGGAACTCTTGGGGAGAATAAAAAGATGTATCGCTGTTTTGACAGAACTTGTTGACTTCTATGGCAATAACAGAGAACAGGGGCGCTCCGATGCCCTAGATGCTCTGTTTGCCTCCCAGTTCATTCTGGACATTGATGAAAGAACGGGCTACCCTAAATCCCTACCGAATCAGCAAGGACTTGTGAAGATGGCTATCGATATTTCCGAGACCCTAGGGAACACATCATTAGCTGGTGCCTCTCCGGTTCCCCAAGTGGAGGCGGTGCTATCGTTCGAGGAGCATCGGTATGTCACCACTTGTTAGTTGGTAACACAGACAGCTAACAATAACGGAGACCACACTTAGAGAGATGTGTGTTTCAATTCGCTAGGATGCTCGAGCCGCGATACGTACATACCTATAACAAGACCGAGGACGTGCCTTACGAGCAAAAGGCATTCGAACCCATCGCCAAGGGGAGCTTCGGGGCAGTCGTTAGGGTAGAGCACAAGAACACCTCTGAGGAACTTGCGATGAAAACTTTCTTCTGTAATGATCGGAGCAAGATCCTTCAGGAGATTGGGGTTCTGGAAGTTTGCAATCACCCCAACATCGTCAAACTGGTCGAAGCATTCACTGTTGCCAACGACGACAGATATGAAGAAGACAACGGCGTCATTCATCTCATATTGAGACCCTGGGCTCCCTACACCCTCGAAGACTTTTTGAAGTCAACGGACGGCAAACGCAAAGATCGATGAACATGGTTCAGCCCAGGCGCACCACGGTCCGACCTCTGCATCTATCGTATCATGAAGAAGTTGGCACAAGCTGTGGCTTATATGCATGGACGGTCAATCAAGCACAAGGACATCAAGCCCGACAACATTTTGCTCCACGAACCCAATTCCCCAGACATTCGTCCTCTTTTGACCGATGTTGGCGTGAGCAAAGTATTCATCCGTGGGGGATCAACCAATTTTGACGACTGCTCATATATTTTCCTCGCCCCAGAACAAGTCGCCCGGTTGGAGAGCAATCTCCGTGCGGATATATGGCAGCTCGGATGCTGCTTTGCATTGATGCTAGGTGTGGCAAAGAAAGGCAGAGCCGGACGAGATGAACTGTGGGATAGCTTTTGCAGGACAAAGGATCGACGGTCGTGCCAGATTGCTTCAGAACATGAGCACTTCATGAAGAGTCTCAAGGCCTTGTGTGACGAAAGCCTGTCTAGGCGCGAAGCTTTGAACAACCAGCTGGCGTATGAGCTTGTATCAGGAATGTTGGACAAGAACCATGAAACGAGACTGGAGATTCATCAAGTCTTGTCACGCCTTGATCAACTCGTCGCCCAGATGGGCACAGTTGCCATGGGTGATGTTGAAATGTCGTATTTGTGATGAACGGAAGACACTGTGGACGGTTATCATGGCGTTTAGATATCTCGGAGGAGCAAGTCTCCAAGTTCAACGGGCAGGACTCAGATTGTTTAGGCTTGTTAACGGTAATATATCGAGTGCCAAAAGAGTATAATTAAGGTACCTCACTTGAGTATCAATACAATTGACATTTTCACGGTCACAGTCAAAAGCAGTTGCAGAATGATGATATCCAACAAGCCAAGCAAGTGTAATATCTGATTGGCCCCTCCGTACCTTACCATCCCCAGATCCAATTGCCGTGCGTAGTGGGTACGTACCCAGCACATCCCCCACGTCATCTCCAACGAAAGCTGACCTCAACCTCCCTGAAGCATCTCAAGCACCACTTCACTTCCCATAATGACAATTGTGCCACAAACACCATAAACCAACTTCAATCAACTACGCTCCTTTACATCCCCCTCCATCGTCGCAATGTCTCCCGCCGCTACAAACTCTTACAGCGAGACTGCTCGTGACAACGCATCAGGCTTTATTGCCTACGCGCGGAGCTCCATCGATCGTGTTGTTCCGCCTAATTCTCGACAGAAAGCTTATGACAATACTGCTTCTTTTGCTTCATCGCGACCTATCCTCTTTGTACGTCCCCTTTAACCTCCATTAATCATCACTGACAAAATAGTCCTTTATTGTATCACAACTTCTTCTCTCTTTCCTCCCTCTTCTAATCTTTCTCACATTCTCTCTCTCCACCATCGTATTCGCCCTGGGCGCAGCAATCGTCTTTGCTCTTTTCTGGATCGGCGTTGCCCTTCTTGTTCTCGTGCCAGCACTGCTCGTCACTTCATCAATCGCCGTTCTCGTCTGGGGCTGGGCCATTGGCAGCTTCATCATTGCACGATGGCTGTACAACCATTCACCAGTCGGTGCGCGGAACAATGAGGTTGTGAAGAAGGAGAACGGCAATTAGTTTTACGCCTACACCGTCTGGCAGCTTGGTATTAGCAATAACAATTGGGATCCTCATGATATGTCTGCATTTTAGGATCCGTGTATGGGTTATGGGGGATGTCAGGATGGACAATAAAGTATTGGTATGGAGTTTGTTTTGTCCACTGATCAAGGCCTAATGGTAATGGAGTCGGGATACAGCCCTTTCACGAAAATTGCAGGCTGTGCATTACGCTGTCAACATGTAACATTACACTGAACATCAAGTCCTAGTACAAAACATTCCGCTCAAAGTGGCTGTTAAACCTCTATTCCTCATTAATAACCGAGACCCATCTATCTGTCCCAATCGCTCATGTACAGGTACTTTACAGATACAGACCCTCTGGCTCGCCCTCCTGCTTTGTACGGAGTACTCTCTCACGCGCTGATCGGAAGTCCGCCATTTGCACCCGCATTCGTCGTTCTCGGAGAGCGAGCAGACCGGCTTCGGAGCAGATGGCCTTGATGTCGGCACCTGAAAGGTCGTCCTTTTGGGAGATGAATTCCTCGAGATCGACATCGTCGTTGAGGCTCATCTTTGAAGTGTGGAGTGTAAAGATCTTGCGCTTGGTGTTCTGGTCGGGGTTCTCGAAAAGAATCTTTCGGTCGATACGTCCAGGTCGGATCAGAGCGGGATCCAGAGTATCGATCTTGTTTGTGGCCATGATGACCTTGACATCTCCGCGGTCATCGAAACCATCCAGCTGGTTGAGAAGTTCCAGCATAGTTCGCTGGACTTCACGCTCACCACCTGATGTCGAATCGTATCGCTTCGTACCAATGGCATCGATTTCGTCGATAAAGACGATAGAAGGGGCGTTTTCACCAGCAACCTGGCAATGTTAGTAACAATCAAACACACCAAAGAATTCACATACCTGGAAAAGCTGTCGCACAAGTCGAGGACCGTCGCCAAGATACTTCTGAATAAGCTCACTACCCACGATACGCAGGAAAGTGGCAGAGGTCTGGTTGGCAACGGCCTTGGCTAGCAATGTCTTTCCAGTACCAGGAGCACCGTAGAGAATGACACCCTTGGGAGGCTTGATACCCATCTCCTCGTAAAGCTCGGGGTGGAGCAGTGGCAACTCTACTGATTCTCTGACTTCTTGGATTTGCTGTTCCAGACCACCAATATCGGCGTATGACTCGGTAGGAGCTTTGTCGAGCTTCATGACACTGACGATAGGATCGGCATCGTCTGTCAAGACACCAACAATGCTGACACTCTTGTGGTGCAGAAGGACACTGGCGCCAGGCTCCAGCAAGTCCTTGTCAACGAAGCTCATGATACTGACATAGTACTCAGGACCGGTAGTACTGCTGACGATCGCATGGTCATCGTCGATCAACTCCTCCAGAGTTCCAACACCCATGGGGCTTCCTCGCATGTCATCGACACGGCCACGCTCGTCTGCTAATCGATCGACATCGGCATCGGTGCCAGCGGATTGACCCTCCTTGGCTGCCTTGGCCTTGCGTAGACGTTCCTGGTTCTCGACGTACTCCTCCTCAAGCAGGAGATGATCATGGATTCGCTGCATTCGCAAAAGTCGGAGCTTGCATCGGCTGGTAGGGTAAACGGCGGGAAGTTTCTGAGCGGCGCTGGTGCCACCGGCCTTTCTCTTCTTACGACCGACTCGCGTGGTAGGTCGAGGCGGAGGTTCGTACTTGGGCTTATCCTTCTATCGGGTTGTTAGAATGGGAATCGAGGTTCTGGGCGAATGTCTTGCCTTCTTGTCCTTCTCATCGCGTCCCCCTTCTCCCATACCGGATTGACCTTGACCCTAGATAATGTCAATAGCTGTTGAGCTGTAGAATGACGGATATGTTTACCATTTTGTCAGGATCAGCTCTGGGAGCTATAGGTTATGTGATATCGTTTACTTTGGTGTTGCAGTGGTTTGAATGCGAGTGAGTCGTGATGGTGGATGTGATTTGATGTGGAGGAGAGAGGTCGAGGCTACAGAGCTTAGTGATGATGAAAGCGACCGCCAGGCGCCAGGGAAACACGACAGCAGCTCTAGCCTAGTCACGTGCTGGAGCTAGCTTGGTCACGTGAAGCTTCAACAGCAACACTGGCTTCAAACAATGGCATGTGATTGCCTGAGTCGAGGGAAATCGAACTTGTAATAAGTTGAGAGTCTTCATTGTGAACTCAATTTATTTGTTGATATGTCCCTTCGTCTGTTTGGGGTGGCTGACGAAGCATCTCAGAGACATGTCACGAACGATGTCCGCGATAACAAAGCTACTGTATGTCTCAATTGTTTTGTCAAGTACGAATGCAGGGAAACAGAAGAGGCAAATAAGGAACTGATTATAAGACTCGTTTTAAGAGAGAGTTCCCGAGCCTTCAAGTTAAAATACAAGGGAAAAGAACTTGACCTTGATGGGTTCATTGAAAGAAACACCATATGAGCCAATACTTTGAGTTGGGTTTCAAGCGCTAGCCGTTGATAAGACCAGAATTTGATTCGAAGAAACTAGAAATAGCAGCAAAAACCACAATATATGATTAGCTTCGACCTATATTGCTACCAAACCAATGCAACGAGAGCTCTATAAGATTGTATAAGCTCTGAATGAGGCGGCTGAAAATACCATTCCTGTTAACCGGGCACAGTCAGATAAGGCGGAATAAAGTACCAGCTTGGGTTGAACAGGGCATTGCTTGACCAAATCAGCCTTGTTACGCCTTGGTCTGAGAAAGTCTTGACCGAATTACATATCAGGTAACACTGTTAAACCGCCAACTCTGCCTATTGATACACTCACACATTGAATTGCCATCCAACCACTGTTCTCGGACTTGGTCCATGATATTCTATTTTTGAACCTGACACTGCAACCCAAGAGTAACGCCCCCCACAGAACGCTAACTCTTAGCGGTCTCTCAGTGGAGTGACGTCGGCCTCCTTCTCTCAAGCTACGCCACAGCCTGACAAAAATCAAGGACCCCTCCTTCTCCATCCAATATCAACAACCTGCCTTACCTGCACGCGACACGACCTGACCTGCAGAAGGCTTGTCTTAGTGCCCAAAGTTACCTCTTGTCTCCTCACCCACTCTGTCTTTTGTCCTTCTTCAATCACAATTTCTTACTCAACATCTTCAACTCTTCCATCACCGCCCCTTCCACGAGTATCACCATCATGTCTCGAGATCGGCGTGTAGCCAAGGAGCTTAAGGACATCGAAGCCGACCATGACGACTCAGGCGTTAACGCGAGTCCTGTTGACAACGACTTGAAGCATCTCAAAGGAACATTCCCTGCGCCTCCCGACACCCCTTACGCTGGAGGAACCTTTACAGTCGACATTCAGATCCCTGATCAGTATCCATTCAAGGCACCAGTGATAAGATTTGACACCAAGATTTGGCATCCGAATATCAGCAGTCAGACAGTAGGTAATTCCCTTCAAAATAGTGGACGTGAAGGACGAGAAAATCGACACGAAGGGTTCAGAGACACTCAGCAGGAGTCGGAACATCTTCAAGAAACGGATTCAAGTACTAACCTGACTCCTCTAGGGCGCAATCTGTCTGGACACACTCAGCTCCAACTGGTCTCCCGTCCAGACCATCAAAACTGCCCTTCTCTCCCTTCGAATGCTTCTCGAGTGCCCAAACCCAAAGGACCCGCAAGATGCCGAGGTTGCAAAGATGATGATAGAAGACCCCAAACGCTTCGCGCTCATGGCCCATGAATGGGCAGTCAAATACGCCGGCGCTCCACGACAAGACGTTGATCTCACTAAATACCAAAACGACGTCGCAGCTGCTCCGCTTAAAGATGATAATGCTCGGTATGTCAAACATGTAGATGGAGAGAATGTAGCTAATACGAGGTAGTCTTGCCGGATACAACAGAAACCTTGTCGAACGTTTTGTGAACATGGGCTTCCCACTGGAAGATGTTGTCGAGGCCTTCATTTTCTTCGGTATAGATCGCAATGGAGGCCGAGATTACGAACTGGAAGAGGCTTACATGGGGGACGTCGTTGCCAGACTGCTTCATGAAAACTAATGTGGACTACGGGAGGACTAAAGAGAGGGAATAGCGATTTGAAACACAATTTCTTTAAGCATGGTATGGGGAGTTTGCATCGGTTTGTTTTAACAACTTAGCATAGACTGGGTATGGGGTACATGAGCTGCACTTCATCTGGGCTCATAGGCCATGATTAATGGCACAAGATAGGTAGTGGTTAAACTCAGCGGTAATTATGTGAAGAAGTTCTTCACTTGCTTACATACTATGCTCACTCCAGCTTCTGAGACAGCTACGTCGTCACATGTGCATATTCCAGCATGATCAATATAGCTTGAAACACTTTTCGACATTAGATGGTTCATGGTGTAATGTGACATTGTTGGCGCATTGCGTGCTGAGGGTTATGGCACACTCGCCTGCGGAAAAGTAACACCAAAAGGCCTTTCCACAATCTAGCCTGCGCGCCAGCCAGACCATCCTTGCTCTATCAGGTACGTACGAAGAAATCATGCAGTATGATGCAAATAGCCCTCCATGAGCGAGTCCTCGGTCAATGAACCGGACTCTACTGACTCACTCCCCGACTCACACATCTTGTCTCCCAAGGGTGAACCAAAAAGTAGACGTAGCTTAGTTATAAGATTATAGCAGATCGCGGCGGACGAACTCGTTGTAGAGAGCCTTGCCCAGACCAGCGGGAGAGCGCTCGACAATGACACCAGCGTCCTCGAGAGCCTTGATCTTGGTGTCGGCACCACCCTTACCACCAGAGACGATAGCACCGGCGTGACCCATTCGTCGACCGGGAGGAGCAGAGATACCAGCGATGAAGCTGACAACGGGCTTACCACCGTTGACAGTGTTGGCCTGCTTGAGGAACTCGGCGGCGTCCTCCTCGGCAGAACCACCAATCTCACCAATCATGATGATACCGTCGGTGTCGGGGTCCTCAGTGAAGACCTTGAGGCAGTCGATGAAGTTTGTACCGGAGAAGGGGTCACCGCCAATTCCGACAACGAGAGACTGACCAAGACCGGCCTGGGTGGTCTGGTTGACGGCCTCGTAGGTAAGAGTACCGGAACGAGAGACGATACCGATGCGACCGCGCTTGTGGATGAAGCCAGGCATGATACCAATCTTGCACTGTTCGGGAGCGATGATACCGGGACAGTTGGGTCCGACGAGACGAGTCTTGCTTTGGGTCTTGAGCATGTCGGTGATGCGAACCATGTCTAAGTGGGTCCGTTAGAAACCTTCAAAACGGTCCATCAACGTTGCAAAACCTACCGTGCTGGGGGATACCCTCAGTAATACAGACAACGAGGGGGATCTCGGCCTCGAGAGCCTCCTCGATACCGGCGGCGGCCAGAGGAGGACTGAGAAAAATTGTTAGGGGGCGTTTTCGTTGGAGTGTGTGGTTGTTTCAGACGTACGGGACGAAGAGACCAGTAGCAGTGGCACCGGTCTCCTTGACGGCTTCACCAACGTTCTTGAAGACAGGGAGGCCGAGGTGAGTCTGACCAGCCTTCTTGGGGTTTGTTCCACCGACGACCTTGGTGCCTGTTCGTCGAGTGTCAGTTTTTGTCACATGTATCATCGTGACATCGATATAGCGAGGACCGTACCGTATTCGATAGCTTGTTGAGCGTGGAAACTACGTCATTAGTTAATTATATGAAGCTTTTCGAGGTTCGAGAATTGCGCAAACTCACGTTCCCTGCTTTCCGGTGAAACCCTGGTAGATGACCTTGGTGTCGGCGTTGATGCGCAGGTTGTTGATGGTCTTTGCGTACTGCGACGAGGAATAGGCTCGGCGGCCAACGTTTTGCAGCGCCGAGGCGCGAGTGGCTCTGGTGAAGGACTGCATGATGTCGGGGGGTGGAGGGGAGAGGGAGTGAAAAACGTCGCTGTCTGGTGCAACGTCTAGAGGATTAACTTGAGGTTTTGGAATTGGAAGGGAAAAACCGTCGATACAGGAGCTTTCGGGAGGTTCGTGGTTTGGTTCGTATCAAGATTATCCCGTGGCCGGGATTCAACGGCCTAACCAAAACGGGTCGACACACGCACTTTCCACACAAGGTCAGTTGGTGCTTGACCTTGCGCTACGGGTGGTCTCGGAGTCAGTATGCCGAGTGAGAGAGGACGGGAGATAGATGATCCGGCTGGAAAGTCAAGGAGAGCCACTCACAGGAGCGCGTGGAGAATCTGTCGTGGTGAGCGTTTTGAGATACGGTTAATCGCGGGTTCTCGGTGAGGGCGAGACGACGGGAAGATGCGTCATTGGACATGATGGGGACCTGAGACCCTCTTTTGCTTCGGACTTGTATCTCCAATGTTTGCATCTCCTTGAGTTTACGTTTAAAATCGCGGACATTGACAACCTAATCCCGTGGGAATGAAGCATGTTACATTTACAATTGTTCAAAATGAGTGAATTCTATCTACTTGTTTCAATGAGCGACTACAGTCAGTATCTATCTAAGGTCAGTATCCAAATGGACATCATTCTCCCATTTCAATCGTTACTCCTCCAATTGAGGCGTGACAATACAACTCCGAGGAGGCATCTTGAACAAAATCAGTTGATACCTCGGTCCCGGGAAAGATTGTCGGCTGGTATAATACATCACCGGACCATCCATACCACGTCGTCGTTTATACTCATCCAATTGAAGACACTGCATCGCATGACATTTCAGTTCATCGCGTGCATCTCCAAGGAAGAGCGACATTTCCAATTGAGTCGTCTCAGTAGACGCTCTTGACGTTCCAGCCGACAGCCATCACCCTGGCAGCAAGGAAACAGGCGAGTGCCAGCACGTACGACAGCCCATCAAACACAATGAGAGCAGTCCAGCCAGAGTCACCCTTGTCACCAGCCTCGAGAATGGCACCAGCAATTGGCAAGCTGCTGAGGGTCCCAAAGCTAGCTACCATGAAAGCTGTCGAGATGAATCGTCCATAGTCGCGAGGATCGCAGAGCTGACCCACGCAAACTGGTGTGAGTCCAAGGTTACTACCACTTGCAAAACCAAACACAACAGCAAAAGCAATGATCATTGCCTGAGAGTCTCCAGCTGGCAACCACAGAGCAAAGGCCGATATTATGCAAAGCCCAAGCGTCAGTAGAATGACATTAAATCGCCCAATCTTGTCAGCTAAAAGACCAGGGAGAAAACGACCGAGCAATGAACCAGCATTGAGGATCGAAATCAGGGTATAAGAGCTGTTGGCATCGCCAGAGTGTCGTCCGGCATAAGACACGATGTACGTCAATGGCACGAAGAGTCCCCATTCCATAAAGAAGATTCCACATGCCGAAAACGTAAACTTCAGGTCTTTAAAGATGCTCAAGTCTGGCCAGACTGAAGACACCTTGTTTGATCGCGGTAGACGGGAGCGCATGAAGAGCGTGGCGGGAACGGTGAGTCCGAGAATGATGAACCCAAGAATACGGGTCGTCCATGCAAAGCCAACGCGGGGAAGGAGTTTCTGTAGAAAGATGGGAAATATGATCCCGCCAATTGATCCCGCAGTCATTGCAACTCCAGTTGCAAGACCTCGTCGGTGGTCGAACCAATGGGCAATAGATGCATAACACGGTGAATTAAGAAGGGCGCCTCCAAGGCCACCTACAACCGAGTATGACAGAATAATCTGGTAGAATTCCTCGCAAACGCTGAGGATGAACAAACTTGCCGCGATGAGTATACCTCCGGAGGCAACAATAAGTCGAGGACCATATTTATCAAAGACAGGTCCAACTTGAATACCGACAAGAAAGACGAGGAATAGATAAAGACTGAAGATCCAGCCAATCTGAGAAGACGAATAATCACGAAGTTGGTTCTCGGAAAAGTACGACTCAAAAACAGCAGAGGTGTTGATGAGACCGTAGATGGAAAACATTCCACAAAAGGATCCAAAGACTACAAGCCAAGCTTCAAGCCCGCCTTCGGGAAATTCGAGGTTCGCTTCACTGTCGTCGGTGCTGGCTTCGCTGGAGTGTGCTACACCTCCGTTCTCGAGGCCCGCATTGTCCGGGGCCGGGGCGGCATCTCCACGGTGGACTTCGGTGTTAGGTTCGGCCTGCTTTTCGGGCTGGTTTTTTAGGCAGCTGTCCTCTGCATTGTGTTCGTTATATGTCATGTGCGAAAACACGGTTGATCACAAAAAAGAGGTACAGTTTTTTTTATCGCCTCAAGGTGTGATAGACATGAGATGGATAACTGTGAGTTGAGTTGGGTTGAGAGAAAGGTGAGTGGGGAGGAGGAAGAATTTATATTCTCGGATATAGGATCCGAATCGGTTAATAATTTGCATGTTCAATAATTGACAGTTGGGGTTGGGCGCTATTAACAAATGTCATGTTAGTGTTCGGTTGAAGGGCGCGGGTGTGCAGGTCTTGGCAGACTGCCAGTGTAGTGTTCTATGACGGACAAGTGATTCACTCTACCTATTCCAATGTTCTATTTAATTGGGCCCTGAAAGATGGATTCTGTTCCCAGTGATCAATTGAGAATCTCTAGTGGATTACATCGCCCTCGGCGGGACTCGGTCTCGTCTATCGGCAGTTATCCACATCGGATCTAGAGCCGGTCCGCATTCTTTTACACTGGGGATTTCACTTAAGCTTATTTTCTCGCACTGCTATTCTTGCTCTAATACCAGTGATGAAGCCTGCGAGATTCAGATTCGCCTAGTTTGGGGGGCCCATTCTTTGTGCAGTGATGTCAGTATGGGCATATGCCACTGGCATCCCTAGGTCCGGCATCTTGTTCCGAGTATACTACACTCTACTCAAGGAGGAATTGGGCTGAATGGTGGAATACTCACAAAGGTTTTATTGCCATACTGGTACTCTGTGTCATTATGTTTATCTCCTCTGTTTTATATATGTTGTCAGCACTCTTGATAACTAAGTGATCATGCATTCTTAAGCTGTATTCCGAAGACAGTGAAGCAACCTAGATGAAGGAGCGTGTGAATGACAGCTTTAAGACAATAAATCTATCTTATGTAAGAGTTTATCACTTTAACAAACGGAGACATGATGGTATGATGGCCTTCTGATGATACTGAGGACTTCAAACACTGAACAGGGTTCCTCGAAGTTGGTGAAGGATTCTGGTAAACTGACAGTAACAGTGTGCTGTGAACTCCTACCATGGCCTTATCAAGTACTTGATACCAGTGTTGGATAGCTTTGCCGATGATAGATGTCGAGAAGGAAATGTCTGCATGAGGCATAAGAGTGAGGGAAGAACAGATCAAGACAACATTCTGCCACCAGTAGATCGGGGCCGAATACGTGCACTGGATGAGCCCGTATCGGCCATTCGGGCCACATTCAATTTCCAGTTCATTGTTAAGAGAATTGGTTGCCGGAGGGCTGGTAAGAAATGAACCAGCAACATCATGGAAATAGCCCTCTACAGTCAACAATCACCTGAACGTCAACACTGTATGCTCATCTATTATCTATAGCTGCTAAACTGAATCCATGCGCCAGACTGATACTCCGATTGTTCTTAAAGCCCGTTACTCTTGCATGAGAAGACACTGCTCACTTGTCCCGCACGGAATTGATCTATAATGCCCTGCACACTGACGTATGTACCCAAGGTGAGGTACAAAACACCAGTCAACATAATGACAACGTTCAGGGCCACTGAAAGAATGTCAAGAATGCGATTCCGCTGTCTTCCGACCTTACGATCTGCGTTGCGCATGCGGAAGTAGGCCAGAGCCCAAAAGATGAAGCCGAACCAGCAGTTGAACAGCGACGACATAACCGATAGCACTGAGAATCTGTTAGCACTGGTTGATAATCTGAGGGTGATCACTTACAAGAAGAGAAAAATGGAATGATCTCAGCGATAAAGAATGATGCGGCCCAGCTGATCAGCAACACCAATCCCCACCAGAACCAGCCCTTGAATGTATGCGATGTAAGATGCTCGGAATCCTTAAACATTCTGAAGAAGACAAATCTGCCTGTAACACTGGCATAAAGACATCCGACGAAGATAATGGTCGGAACCATAAAAGAATAAGAGACCTTTTTGTAGGTATCAGTGAGGACGCCAAATGCTGGTGTGACCATGTACTGGTTGCCCGTGTAAACGTAAATGACAGAACCGACGACGCTGAATGTGACGATCTCCGCCATGGTGCAAGCCCACAATGCTTTGGGGAAGTCTCTGTTCTTTTGTCAGAATGATCACGATTGCATCAAATGACACAGCAACATACCTTGGATCACGCATCTCAGCGATGAAGCTGGGAATCGTAGTCTGACCGATGAATGTATAACTCATGTTCATGAAAGCCGACATGCCAGTCACAAGTGTCGTGGTCTTTGGTGTCCAGATTGAGATAATGGGTTCCCCCAGCTCAGGATAACCAGCGGGCTTACCCTGAGCGCCTGCAAATGCCGTTGCCAAGATGACCGAGATGAATGTAAAAAACGTCGAGGCAAAGCCAAGCTTTGACAGCATGCTAAAGGTGCGAGGAAGCGACCCGATCCAGCTGATCACCGTGACTACTGCAGCGAATGCAACGGTTCTGCACCCCGCGATGGAATCGGCCTCGGTCATTGTGTTGAGGTAGATTGCGCCGACCAAGACATGCAGGGCTTGGATGAAGGTGTTGTTCAGGACAAACATAACTGCTGTCCACCACCACGCCCATCTTTTGTTCCACCAAATCATCTGCCCAATGTCGCACACATCTCTAACCTCAGGATGTCGCAGACAGAACTCCCACAGGACAAGACTCGTGTAGAGAACAAGCCCAGCAATGACAGCCGTCAAGATCAATCCCGGCACAAGCCCAAGAAGACTATACGACCAAGGGAAGCTCATGATAGAGAGTACGATGTACTCGCTAAAGAGCAACCCTGCAGTCTTTTGCCAAGAACATGTCCTGTATTGAATAGCATTTCCCGCTTCGGAAGCGACTTGCTTGTCGACGAGATCTTCAGCTGCGGTGCTGTCGCTTTCGGATATGTGTGCCAAGTGCTCGGCGAGCGGTTCGATTCGCGGGCCAATTGTGACGTTGGGGCCTCCAAAGGCTGATGCGAGCCAAGGCCGTCTGCTTGGCGTGCGGGAGGTCTGAAGTTCTGAGTCTTCTAGCGTGGATGTCTTGTCCATGGTGATGCGCGCTATCGCTGGTCGTGATACTCAATACAAACGGGAATTGGAGAATGATACGGTGAATATGGAAGAGGATGGAGAAGATACTGGAGACAGTGATGAGAATAACACTCAAGGAAAGAAACGGCTGGAGTAAAGTACCCGCCCATAGTAAAGAGGCAGCAACGGTAGTACCTGACCTTGGACTAACACAAGTAAGGCCGATCTGCAGTGAGCGAACTCCCCGACGGTGCATGATGAGGCGTCGGGTACATCGCAACAGGGAATGCCCTTGGCGATCAACGATGCCACCTTTCAAACGGCATTTGTGCTGATTGGTCTTGGGCTGCGGAGATGCCCTCACCTCGGACACGGCGTTCCCAGCCATGCTCGACGACAATGTGCTCAACGGGTGTGGCATAGCAATTGATACATCAACTCCATCTTCTCTCAGACAACAGATGCCTTGCTGTTGCTATCTGTCGCTGCTTCAGCTCTCGAAACAAACCATCCTTCAACAGGCAGGTCATCTTCCAACATGACGAAGTGGCGGTAGGTAGCATCGGAGAGAAAAAAAAACACCGCAGATCGTAACAAATCCTGTAATCACGCAATGCACCAGTCGTCATGATTAAAAGTTCCTGCCACCCTTATTGCTCAGACCGTACTGGTGTGTGCAGCCTAGTGAATTTGGGTTTTAAGCTTACTGCCTATAAGCTTGTTTTCCAGCACCCAGCTTCTAACTGGTCAATCAACGGGAATAGTGTGCAAAACCCGGCGCCGCCGACGCCCAATGCTTTAGGAACAGTGTATTATTAGCACCTCCTATTGCACGACAATCGATTGGACCATATCTTTCGCAAGACTCTATCAACCAATTTCACCAATGCATTCATATAACAGCAGTTTTATAGGAAAGTAGTAGCTCTTGCAAATTATCGAAGCGCTACAAGTAATCGAAACAGGATATCATTAACGAGGTCCTGTCACACGATATTCTCAGGTCGATGGCCCAAAACCCTTCCTTGAATAAACACCATCACTTATATCGAGACTGAAATTGTGAATGAAATTTCCTTTAGGACACGGCTATGGCACACATTGGTTTGGTGCCTCTCAAACACAAGTCTACAAGTTCTGGTAGAAGATACCCTGTACCTGTAGTATCTTTAATACACGCTGCCAGCCTCATCGAAACACTTTCCGGTGAGAGTATCGATCTTGGTCGACCTAGTAGTGAGAGTAGTTGCATTCCGAGTTACTCTTTATTATCACATACATCCGGTTTTGATTTAGACATTCTGATCCTATTCTAACCTATTGGCTTCATATGTGTCGTGGAGATACCGTATGCTCATTTGTCGATCATCTGCTATGCTATATTTATTCATCCTTGACATCCGAAATCTTAAACCCTCCAGGCACCAACTTCTGGAAAACCTGCTCGGGATCATACTTGGCCGCCGTATCCTTCATCTTCTTAATATTCTCAGCACCATAACTACCAAGAGGATCTTGACTCTTATCGGCATAATTCAAATAAGTCCACTCAAGGTTTCCTCCCTCGATAGTAGCAGCAAACTCTTTCACCTCCTTGATCCAAGCCTGAACCTTTGGTCGCGAAAAAGCCTCCTGTTCAGGAGTCTGTGCCATGACGACAGCAAGGAATAGAATACCGTTGGTCTTATGACGGTCCATGCCCATGATGTTGCCACCGGCTTCGACGCCGCGTTGGCCGAAGAGTGTGGGGAGGGGCTGGAACAGGCATTGAGTAATGAAGTTACCGTCGGGGATGAATGCTTTGAGTTCTTCGACGAGTTTGTCGTGGAGTTCTGAAGCTTTGGTGATGATTCGGGTATCATTCTTGAAGCAACATGTGAACCAGGTGTCACTAGATAGTTAGCTTGAAAAGTGACGAGATAAAAATGAGTCAACTTACTAGAAATTGGCGGGAATGTTGTACTCGAAAGCCATTTCAGTAAGAGTAGTGTTCTTGACAGTGTTCAGAATCTCAGGAAGGGCTAGCCACTTCTCATACGCTGGAGGCTTCTCGATACCCTCCATGTTGGCATACAGAGTAGCGACAACGATATCCTTGAAATCAGGCATATGTGTAAAGATAGTAACAAGGTTGCTATGAATATCATTGGGAATATTATTCGTGAAGGCTGAGAGAGCCTCAATGGCACCAGGGATAACCTGCTTAGGGAAGAAAGTCATTCCACCCCAGACCTTATTAGACTTGATAGCCTTCATAGTGAAGTTCGTGACGATGCCAAAGTTGTTAGAACCACCTTTGAGTACGCGGTACAAATCGGTGTTGTTCTTCTCATCGGCAGTGATTATATCGCCGTTAGCAAGGGCAACTTGGTATGAAACAACATTGTCACACCCAAAGCCCTGTCTAGCGGTGAAGAAAGCATTACCGCCTCCAAGAAGAAGACCAGCAACACCAACATTACCCTCACGGCCACCAGCAACAGCACGTCCATGCTTGCTCAACTCAGCATAAACCTCCCGCCATCTGCAACCAGGTCCAATATCAGCTGTCTCAGTAGCAGCATCAAAAGAAACATGGTTCAAATGAACAAGATCAATAGTAACGCCACCCTCAATATTGTTCGATCCAGCCCAGTTTGTATGTCCACCACTGCGAACAGCAAACTTCTGACCAGCAGAAACAAGAGCCTTCACAACAGAAGCGACTTCTTCAGGGGTACGAGGCTGGACGATACAAGCGGGTTTGATCTTGGCGCTGTTGGACCAGTATGATTCTTGGCGAGCTGAGAACTCGGCATCCGTAGGTGTGAGGATACGAGCTTCGAGACCAGCTGCAATAAGGCTTTCGGCCTGGGGGATCGACGGTTGAGGAGTAAGGGTAGTCATGATTGGATGCTTGTGGATAAAGAAGAAAAGAGAGGGAATCGAGTTTCTGACGCTTCCGAGGGGCACATAATCAGGGCTGTCTATGTATGTGACTGAAGCTGATAGAATGTCGGAGTCCTATTGTTCTCCATGGGGAATAGAGAGATATCCAGGGTCCTGGTATCGGGTCATGTTTCGTCAAGCATTTACTTCTTTGGTGTGAGAATCCTTTTGAAGTTACATTCCCCTGGCACTTGCATTATGCTTGTCAGGACTATTTAATGGGGCTGAAGAGCCAAAAGCAAGGGTCCTGCAACGGTCTCCTCCTGTGCGAAAATATGGCATCTCGTCACCATACTATTGGAAGGTGAACCTTGAGTATTTTCTAGCGTCCGGAACTAGAAATATCCGTTTCATCTTACGAAATAGTCATCTTGAAGCCCAATCACGAACACCTGAAATTATGAAGCTATTACAGTTGGGCAAATACTGCCTGAATATTCTGGTCGGATTCTTGTCACACTCCGAAGCTAAGGTCTCGGTTCCGCACTACAAATCCTGCGTTGAACTCGGCTTCGATAACCCTGCTCCCCGGGACCTGCCAAGAGGTTTCTGCAGGCTTGCAAGAGAGCTGTCCGTGTAGCATTGAAGAAAACGTGCTAATATACAGACGCTCCTTCTGGCTTCCTCAAAGTCTCTCATCAATCTCGTATACTATCATCATATAATTATACAATCAAACTTTAGCTATCAGATCATATTATCTGTCAACGGGCTATCCCTAGCGCACCCGTGGGCACCGAGAGCTCGGAATGCCGTTTTAACAGCCGTCCTCATTACGGAAGCGAAGCTATCGAACAGGGGTATATATGTCAACGTCTTCTGACTCAGAGTAACATCCACAGAAATTGAGTTTGGACTATGTATGAAAGACGCTGATCCCTTCTAACCGACGTCCAAGGTTTTTAGTCCTTACAATGGTTTCTTTTCTCTCTCCTCAGGAGTGGGCCATATATCCGATATAGAATGTAGTACTCCGTAATATGCGTGCAGGTAATCCGTAGTTAATTGAACGAAAGCTGAGGCTGTGTATTTCTGCGAATCCAATATTTTTCGTTCTTCGTTCCTGCATGTGATTTCGCCTTTTGATACCTTAATTCTACTTCTTTCTTGGGTTGGTTATCTTACGATGGCTGCTGTTATTAATGGCGTTCCTGTCGCTATACCACCACCTGAGGGTTATAAGGTCGATTTTGATAATCCGCAACGGAACAGTGTCACTGAAGCATACTGGCTTTATGGTGTTGGGAACTTCTTGACTGTTTTGTTCATTGCACAGAGAATATATGTAAGATGTTTTATACATAAGACAATACGTATAGAAGATGGTAAGTTCCATTGACCCCCTTACTTCCTACGCCGTGGCTAATGTTCTCGAAGCATGCTTAGGGGTAGCATATGTGAGAAACATCATCCGAGATATCATGTCTTGTATCGTCCAAACTGACCGATACAGGTGTTTTCTGTAGTACTTCAAACCCTGATCCTAAGTCAGTACCCAAGACAACCTCACATTTACTCAACTAACGTGCTCGAGCGTTTAGGGGACTTTATCCGCGGCATAATGGGCACCCACGCCTGGGAGATGCCAATAACCAAGTTCGCCCTCTTCGCACGAGCCCTCTACCTCCTACCAATCCTCTACAACCCCGTCCAATGCGGCGCAAAGATGGCTCTTCTTCTCGTCTACCGTCGGCTTGCACCACAAAAGTGGTTTCATTTCACGATTTGGGCCACATCGTTTGTGGTGATTGGTTCCTCCATTGCGATTACGTTTACGACAATCTTCCCGTGCAAACCCGTAAGAGCGGGTTGGGACATCACAATCACCGACAAGAAGTGCATCGATCGACCAGCTGTTTATCAGGCTACGGCTATAATGGGTGCTATTACAGATGCCATGGTGCTTGCGGTGCCTATACCTGTTGTCATACCACTGCAAATTTCGAGAAGACAAAAGATTGGGTTGATTTGCTTCTTTGGTGTTGGTGGAGTGTAAGCGAAGCTTATATTGGCAACAAGGGCAAGCTAATAACAATACAGTACTGTCTTCACATCAATCATGAGACTAATCGCGTTGATTCGGTCCATGGGTAACGTCGACCAATCTTGGGGTGGCGGCCCTGTCCTTCTTTGGATGTAAGTCATATCCCCCCTATTTTGAATCAGCCCTAACCAGTACAGTTTCGCCGAAGCCAACCTCTCCATCATTTGCGCAACCCTCACAACAGTCAAGCCTTTCATAAAGCACATCTCCCCGAGAATCCTTGGTTCATCATACGGAGCATCAAAGGCTGGCATGTCAAACCCAAGCGCACCACCAACCATCGGAGCAATCTCCACTGGCGGTATCCCCAGACATGATCACTATGAACGATTTGACGACGGTCCGATGTATCCGTTGCAAACTGTTACCAAGGCAGAGGCATCAAAAAGTCACGAGAACAATGGGGGATCACGGTCGGTAACACGGCCAATGTCAGGGGATAGTAACGGAGATTCGGATTCTGAGAAAGCAATTCTGCAGACACGTACAATGACAGTGACCTATTCTTGAAGAAGGTTTCTGTTGGAGAATTAGGTGAATAAGATATATGACAGACTTTAAGGCATAGATAAAATAATGTGAGGCTAGAGTGGCATTTGTCTGACTTTCTCAGTTCTCGTCTGGTTCCCAAGCTAGCAATGGCTGATTCATTTTCAAGCCTCCATCTTCACTCACCAGGGGATGGTAGGAAAAAGCATAGCAAGTGTCTCAGGTAGGAAACACCAGGCATGTACAAACAGTGGTGTAACAGTTTGACAACCTACAGTAAAGCCTCACACCTTGGACTCTCAACCAACAGCATTCGTTATAAACCATGTATGGCCTTTCGCGAGCTTATATTTATATGTTTACGGTTTGAATTTAGTTGAGTAAGAGCAGATAGGTTTGCTGGGTGGCTTTGCTTTGCTGAGTTGCTTCCAAAAGGCTGCGTCTGTATCAAGGAGGTGGTTACAAATGTACCAACTTTCAGTTGCCCACTTGACAACTTTCAAACGCATCTGAACTGGCTGATCCAAACGTAGATTTTGCGTTAGACAAACAAGCAAGTGGTGGTGTCTTGCGGTTTGTTGCATTATACAAACTAGAGTGCATTGCGCTGCTCTGTAAAGCAAGCATCCATAACAAACACTGATTCATTCAACGTATAAATACTCTCTAGTATCCAGGTGAAGATCAAGGTTATCTCTTCCTCATCTTCCTCAAAGGAACTCAATCCTCACAGCTTCACTAACAACAACACTTTACCTGCTCGCAATCATGGACCCTTTTGAGGCCATCTATCGAGTCGCTCAGAAAGAGCTCCAGGGGGAAACCCCTCTGTTCCTCGCAGTCAGCTATGGAAATAACGCGCTATTCAAACGACTGCTAGAAAAGTCCGAACAGCGCGCTAAATTCAAGGACACTGACATCGGACATGACTGTCTGAACTGTGCCATTATCCAGGATAACAAGGAGATTGTCAAAGCTCTTGTTGAACTTCCTCTTTTTGAATTTGACTGGATCCGTAAGTTGTTCTCCCGCTGTATTTTATCTGCTTGAAATTCTGACCACGTCTAGATCATCCTATGGTATCCCTCAAGGCCATTAGCCACCTGCACACTGCTGCTACACTCGGCCGCTTCGAGGCCTTCAAGATCATGGTCGACATTGAAAGTGTTGACATTGGCGGACGAGACCCCTATGGAAAGACTACACTGCATCACGCATGCGACGTAGGCTCTATGGAGATCGTTGAATTTCTTGTGAGCCGAGGTGTCAAGCCTGATGAGAGGGACGAGAAAGGTCGGACTCCTCTCGCCTATGCCGAGGAGAAATGAAAGAAGGGTATCGTTCAGGCCCTTCTTAACCTCGACACCGTGGACCCTGACTCGAATGACCTCGAGGGAAAAAGTCCTTTCTACTATGCTGTTCTCTCTGGTAATGACGCAATCGCAAAGATTTTGGCCGATGACAAGCGGGTTGACCGTAGCATTGAAGGAAAGGCAAAGGAGGACCGGCCGGATTATGAGAAGACACGCCCAATACTCATCGTTGAGGAGGTTTGAGGGGGTTCAATGAGCACAGCCCACAGCGGAACGAATTGTGCAGCGATCAGTTGGAGAGCTGCGACTCTTTGAGTTCACAAGGCCTTGACGTGCTGGGTTGACGAAAGGAGTATGAGAAACAATAGAACTCTTAAAATACGTGGCTCAATTCACATGCTTGCATTCGTTGTACTTAAAACCGTGGTAACCGAATACTAAGTTGTGACTAAGTTTAAGTGAATATTCCTATGCAAGCCCTCTTGTAACTTCATTACTACCCTGGTGAGAACCATGTGAACTTTTTGCCAAGCTTAATCCTATTTTTACTCCCCAGAAGGAGGTTCAATTTCTGTCCCAACAGGAAGAGGCTCACCCAAATCAAGCATATCATCCTTCCAACTCAGCGGCTGAATAAACGTCTTCCTCGAGGGACCACAACGATCACCCGCATTGAGATTAGCATGAAACACATTCCAATCCTCTGTACCATCAGGACTCTTGAAAAATGCGTTATGAGCAGGGCCATAAAGGCCATTGTTCGTCTCGAAAATGGGATCAGGTAGCTTGGTCCAAGAGTCTGGGCTAAGCGGATCAGAACCTTTTGTGAATTTCATGGCGCCGAGTTTGTAGGCGGGTGTGTTGCAGGAGTCAGCAGCGTAGACTACGTAGGTTGTTCCAGCTGGTGAAATAATTCCATAAGGTCCTTCGAGAACGGGCGAATCGGACTTTTCCCACTCGAATTCTGGGTGTGCGATCATTGTGGCGTTGCCGCATGTTGTTGGTGATAGAAGCTTGGCGATCCAGAGGGAGGCACCATCAGGGCTCTTGGGACCTTCGACAGAAGAGAACTAAACGACTATTAGATATGGGGCTTCAGAAAAGGCTCGAGAGAAACTCACAAGGAAGTACTCGGTGCCTTCTATTTCAAAGATCGTCTATATCCGCCATTAGCAACATGCTTTTCAGAGACCATGATCTAACATACTGCATCAAGCATTCCAGCATTGAAATTAGGAGGAATGATTGCATCCAAAAGTTCGTAGCCCGCAGACAGTGGATTCTCCTTACCACCTTTGAGAACGTATACTCTCAAAGTTGGCAGCATAACATCCCAGTTGTCCTCGTCACATATACTTGCCGAGAAGTACACATACCAACTATCACCAACTCTATGCATCTCAGGAGCCCAAAAGTTGCAAGCTCTAGTTGCATTAGATCTGTCGGACCAGATGAGTTGGGACTCAGCAGTCTTGAGACCTTCGATGGTTGGGGCTTTGGTGATTCTGACGTTGGTCCATGTTGTTGAGGTTAGATAATACCTGAGGCAGTGCTTAGTTGAGAAGTGAGGTACTAATGGATGAGGAGTCTCACATTCCATCTTGATAGACGATTTGAGGGTCACTTCCTGTTCTTATGGGATTGGTGAACCCAAGAACGAAGCTTGAGCATAAGCCAAGAATCGAGGTGATTACAGACAAGAAAGTCATCGTGGATATAAACTTTTCTCACAGAGTTCCAGATAAGAGAGAAACTTTATTCTGCCCTTGATTGTTCATTTCTCTTATACTTCGTTACATCACCAATCCTTTCCTAAAAAGGATCCCATTCTTAGGATAAATCAACTACATTATGGGGCTCCCGTATATCGTGCAGCATATGATCTGATGTCCATGCAGGTTTTCCTATAATACCTTGCATATACTGTCTTCTATTTGCTCGGTTACCATGACGTTACGTTGCTGAGAATGAACCGCGGGGTACATGAGGGGCAGACTGTACGATTGGAGCTTGATCGTCATGCTTGAAGATGGGATCGACACGTTGTTCACTTTATCCATGCGCTCCAATAGCCTGAGTTCAAATTGGAGTTTTGCTCCTATACTCGCTCTCCGTGTTGATGCTACCCCTGAGGATGTTGGGACAATGTTGAGAGATCTCAGGCATAACAAGCAATACCATCCGGTATGGTGTAGTGGCTAACATTTCGCGCTCTCAACTTCAAGCTGAGGGATCAGTTCCGCGGAGCCCAGGGTTCGATTCCCTGTACCGGAGTTTCCTTTTGATCTTTTTGCATATTATATATTTTTTTTGTATATATATGTGTATATATATATATATATCAAGTAGTTAATGCTCAAGCCATAGCTTCCTGTTGAGTATATTGAGTGAGACTTTAGCAAGCAATGAATGGCTTGCTTGCCCTTTAAAAAATCATGCATATATATATACATAGTAAACAGAAGCTTGAAAATTATAATAAAGTTAAAGTCCTGCCTATATTTAACAAAGCCAAACATAAATAACCAAGACATCAGCAACTAGGAAGTCTTATTCCTCTCATGTTATACACAACTCCTCTGTGGTATAGTGCCTATTCCGCAAGCAACATCAAGAACGCTTTCAGTAAACCTCCCATAATATTAAGACCGTTCAGTGTCGTTATCTGCTGGTGTCCACTACGTAACGGCCAGCAACGTTGCCTGCAATCATCATATCGTAGACCTTCTGGAGTTCTGATAATCCGACAATCCTAGGTTCTCAGGTTAGTCTTATTCATGATCGCACATAATGGATGCACTCACTTGTATGGTGCCTTGATGAGGCCTTGTCTGTAGAATTCAATAGCTTCAGCTGTATCCTGTCGGTTGCCGACGTAGCTGCCCTTGATATTGATTTCACTATTACATCCTGTCAGTGAGCTTTTCGTAGGAGAGGACTGCTGAATTTACCGAACGACAGTGTCAAAGACAGGAGCCTTCACGAAAGCATTGGCTGGTAAACCAACACAGACAATCGTGCCCTTGCTCTTGACATACTGACTAGCCTGTTGGAACGGCTTCTCACTAGCAGCAAGAAGCAAGACAGCATCAGGGCCAAGGCCACCCGTAGCGTTCTTGATCTCACCAACAATGTCGGTCGACGTCTTGAAATCAACAAAAGCATCAGCACCAAGCTCAGTGCAGACCTTGCGCTTCTCCTCTCCGCCGTCAAGAGCTGTTACTCGAAGGCCCATAGCCTTGGCATATTGAATAGCGAAAGTACCAAGACCGCCTCCAGCGCCAGCAATAACAACACTCTGTCCTGGTCGAACGCCGGAAGACTTGAGAGCTTTGTAGACTGTAAGCCCAGCACAGAGAATAGGTGCTACACCAGCAAGGTCGCAGTCCTTGGGAATGCGCGCGACGTGAGCAGCTTTCCCTAGAGCGTATTGCTGGAATGATCCATCAACTGTATATCCTGACAGAGAGGCTTCTGAGCAAAGGGATTCGTTGGACTGTCGACATTGTTCGCAACTCATACAGGAACCGTGAAGCCACTTGAGGCCAACATGGTCACCGATTTCAACGTCCTTGACGAGCTCTCCTCGTGCTACTACGATACCGGCACCTTCGTGACCGCCAACAAGGGGCATCTTGGATTCAAGTGGCCAGTCGCCATTGACGGCGTGAAGATCTGTGTGGCAGACTCCACTGTACTTGACGTTGATCAGGACCTCATCTGAGCCTGGTGTTGGAACAGGGATCTTTTTATATTGGACAGCTATTCTCGTCAGAACGTCTTTTCTGTCTTAAAGGGGATCGCAGCTTACATCCACCTCGCTCTTCCAAGACCTGTGCCCACTGTTCATTAGGAATGATGGGGCTAGCAGCTGTGGCGTAAGCGGCAGTCTTGCCGAGGCTACTGTTAGCACTGAAGCCTGTGGTGATGTTTCCGGCGCTAGCGCGACTGTTAGGGTTATGCCGAGCGCATGATTGTCCTCCAGAAGTTGCACAGCTTGCGCAGAGTGTTCGTTGACTGGAAGAAAAGTTTCGACGGGTTGTTTGGATTTGAGCTGTCGCTGAGCGTGCGAGAAGCGCTGTGTTTCGCGTGGCCAATCTTCCTGTTCGGAGGATGCCAGTTCGCATCACGTTGCTTGTTGAGAGCATTATAGTTTTGCTGTAGAGTAATTGTGTGTACTGCAATTGGGTATAATATGGTGTATTGCAATTGGGTGAGTCAAAGCTTGGCTATATAGCAGCGACATACTTCAACTTATAAAAGAAGCGTCTGTCAGCCCATAATGATAGTTCTGTGGTGCCACGGAGTATCAACCGGTTCTGGATATTGCTTTTGATCAGATCATATTCAGTCAAACTCTAAAATGGACCCAAACTACCGGAGATGGTGTAAGTCATGGGCCTGTAAGTTACTGTGAGCCGCGCTACGATATACCTTTATCCGCGGAGATGCGGCAGAGCCAGGTGACCCCGTGGGGTCTTCAAGCCGTTCAAGCCAGTCTCGTGTCTCTCTTTCACTGTGCCATAGGCCTCAGACGTTTTTTACTTAATCCCCGCAGTGGGAACGTCTACCCATTCCGCAAAAGAGTGAGCCGATTCTTTTGACGTTGTAGTGATGGGTTCCAGTTCCATTGCTGAGCCGCCAACAGACGCCGATATCCTCCAATGGGTCTGAGGGGAGTAAGCATATCTGACCTCCGGGGGCCTAATGGAGAAGGTGACACAACCCCCAAAGACCCCAAAGAATGTGTTGTATCTCCTGTTTATCCTCAATTACAGGGCCAGAAATCTTCCGAATTATCCGCGTTTGCTCTGTAAACAGCGAGAGGCATTTCCAATTCTACGCGCACCAATGTTAGAGATACAAAGCTGGTGATTTCTGCATGTCGAGGGGTAACAATTGAAGGATTCAAAAAGCAATATATCCCAACAGTGACAGTTGCAGCGTTGGAGCAGAACGTGAAGCGAAATAAATGATGGATCATGACCTGGAAATTGAGTTCCTTTGATCCACTGCGGAGCCATTCCCACGTGTCCCGTGCCTGGGCTACGAAATCCGCATTCGCAATCCGCAATTTGTATGGTACTAAAGTACTGGAATTATGACTCCGAATTCTAGAACCCCACCAACATCAGGAGATTTGAGCTTCTACGTCACGCGAGGCTGTGACTGAATCGACGTTTTTTTCGATCAAGTCTCCGAGGTTCGGAAATAGATTACTCATGAGCTCTGAGAATGTGGAGGGACAATGCTTTGTGGTTACTGAGGGGGAGAAACTCAATTGAGTTTGTGAAGCTGTGAGCTTCAGAAGCCATTCTCGTTTCTGCCAAGATCATCTTGACTCGCCAATCTAAATTCTCCGTCGGAAAATAAGATCACCTACTACGTTTGACCTGACGAGACTGTTCACGCCACGACAATGACGTATTTTGGGGAGCCTTTGATGGGTCAGCGATATCATTCTGGTTGGGACCAAGAGACCTAAGAAGTTCTATCTCCTTGTAGCAGGTGCTATTCTATGCATTTTTATACATGAGATATCTTCATAGAACCTGAGGGGAACCGTGATATTCCATGGCATGTTTCTCGAATTTCTTGGCACAATTCTTCAAGAACAAACTACAGATCATTCGTCACTAACAAAAGCCTTACAAAAGAAGCCACGGTAAGAAAGAAAACAAGACCGGGCAACTCCTAACAATAGAACATCAAGAGCAATACGAGCTCTATGCATGCGTGTCGGTTTAGATGATGTTTCAGCATCTTGAAATAGGCAGCCCTACACTAAGGTCCTGCATTGTTAGTGGCTTCTTTCGACGCCATTGACGATACATATGCATAAGCTCACTATTCTACTAGACTATCTATGGAGATATGATACTAGGCAGACAATGGCCCCCTGCTAACGCTATGTCATTGCTCCGGAATAAGGCCAAGTCCATGTTTGAGTAAGCGTGGCGCAGCGAATACGAAGACTCCCGTGATCTGACCAGTGCGTAGTGCTCAATATCCCTGCCCGCCAATTGAGTGCTGTGGTTGGCTTAATCAAACATTAAAAATAGCCGTCTTACTGAAATACACAGGCCCCCATATAGATGCATCATGGGCAGTGGTCTAAGCATGCGTCATTGTTGAAGTTGTAGTATAATTATACCTGCTTGAGAATATTTCATATTGAATCACTATTTCTCATGGTTTATTCTAATGATCATGAACGACACAAATGGCATCACCACTGCCGCTGCCCGACTTGTTGGAATAGCGGACGAAGCAATACGATTCTTTCACCAACTTGATATCAATACAAACTCTGTCACAAAACGAGTGCAGCAGCTAGAGAGCTTTTCAAGATTAGCCAGGGAGATCGAGCTGAAACCTTCAGTTGATGATGGCGATGACCAAGAACAACTCGTTCTGACCAAACAGATCTTGATTCATTGTTACAAACTCATCAGCAGAATTCTCTCTCAGCTTGAATGGGTTGATAATGGCGGCAGACACACTTCTACTCAGCAAGGACTACTAGGGGTCTATGCTGAACTCAACAATCGGGAAGTCAAGGATCTTTTTGAAGAGCTGCATAGAGAGCAGCTATGTCTCGTAGGTTCTCGAAAGTCAAGGTAGGCGTTCTTTCGAAATGCCCAAATACAGCATGATCTAATCTTTTGAAAGATTCAAGCCACTCTCTTGGACATCAGAGTCTGATAGTCGTCCTTTAGAATATTCTCACACTTTCAAAGATCGCGAGTTAGATTTCTTGAACTTGTTGTTTGTCACAGATCCTAGAGAAGATCGCGCATCTCTCGAGTCAAGCAAAGGACCCATTGCCAAAGGAACCTGTACGTGGATTACTGAAACATCCACATACCGATCATGGCTCTCAGGATCTGGCGATTCTAGGGGTCTTCTTATCCAGGGAGGCGAAGGCAAGGGCAAGACTATGTTGGCGATATACATAACCGAGCAACTGGAGCAGCTCGCTGCGTGTATGTCAACCGACACAGTTTTATACTTCTTCTGCAACCACGGAAACATCAACGCCAACTCTGCCACCGCTATTCTTCGTGGCCTAATTTGGCAGTTTTGCAGATTACGCCCAGAGCTTTTGCATCACGGGCTCAATAGGGCTGTATCGGTAGACGAAGGGCGAATCGCGTTGGCAACCAACTCGGTTGAAACTCTTTGGCAAATATTCACCGCGATGATTCGGGATCCTACCACGAGCACCGTCACATGTGTTATTAATGGGCTTGACGAATGTGATAAGCTTTCAATCAAAACACTGACAGAGAGGTTCACGGAACTGCTACCTTCAACGAATCAAGGTCGTCGAAACTTTCGGATTCTTCTGACTAGCCGTCCCCTACGCCAGCACGACAATTTCCCTCCTGAGCTTCCAACAATATGCCTGGACTCAGATGCACACAAAGATAATGTTCGAGATGTACAGCGCTTTATCAATTTTCATGTTACAAATGTCTCACAAGAGAATGGCTGGTCTCAAGAGTTTCAGGAACACACGGAGAAGAGCGTCACAAAAAGTGCTGGTGGCTCGTTTCTGTGGGCGAGCTTATTTATGTCTGAACTTGCAGGAAAAGCCCAAGGCTCTGCAGCAAAGTATCTTAACGATCTTCCTGGAGACAACAACGCCATTTACGCAAGAGCTCTCCTGGCAATTCCACCAGAGTGTCGCCGAAAAGTCCGGTTACTCTTGAGTTGGGTAGCTCTGGCATATTATCCACTAAGCCTGGAAGAATTAAGCACTCTTACCAACGACAAATCCTCAACGTCAGAGGCTGCTTTAGATAATATGAAAACTTGTATGGGCTACTGCAGCACTCTTCTTGTAACCAAGACCGAGATGAGAAAATCCGGACCCGGATATGAGACCATAGAGACCATTCAATTCTCGCACCGATCAGCCAAAGATTGTTTGCTTCAACCTTACCTTCTTCGAACGGGAACAGACACCCAAGTCGACCTCAACTTCTTTCGAGTCACCCCAGATAACAACCATGAGATTCTTGCTTCTCGTTGTTTGGAAATCATGGATAAAGGGTTTGCAACAGAGGCTAAAGTGGAGCCTGCCGTTGAGTATGCTCATATTTTACCTTATGTTTCAAGGTATTGGTTTCAACATCTCCGAGAATGTCCTCAACGGCTTTCCGACGAAGCCTTGGCAGAAAGAGCGTTGAGTTTCTTGACACGGAACCATGAAAATCGAAGGCTTTGGTTTTCCTACCTCTCAAACTTGAGATATGAGCGAGGGGAAATGTCGATCCCTCACTCAACAGGATCCGAGCATCACGACACGATTGGGGGACTTCAAGAGATCAGTAACAGTGATATTGTATTCTTTGAACATCTGAAGGATACCACTTCCGCAACTCAGCTTCAAACCCTCCAGTTGGCATCTCTGTTTGGAATTACTACCATAATTAGAAAGATTTTGGATGAGACAAACTTTGCAACCCACATCAGGCAAGCCAGTCTTCGCTCCTCGCTTTACAGTTGTTCTCGAACAAAACCAAGGAGTGAGGGCCGGTTGATAAAAATCCAAAGAGGTGGAATGCTACAACTAAGCACAGCGGAGATCGTGGCAATGACTCCTCTTGAACTTGTGGTCCTCGGCGGTCATCACAAAGTCGCTTCGCTTTTGTTCGATAACTATCCTCGATCGAGCTTATGGCCAGACTCGACCTTTGCTTTGGCGACTGCTATTAGTCGCTGTGATGAGGACATGGTCAAATTACTGGTAGAGGCTGGTGTACCAAAGCTCAGAGCCTCTCGACAGCTAGAAGGACCTATTTGCACTGCTGTGGTCAACCGAAGGCTTGATGTGGTCAAGTTTCTCTGTTGCTCTGAAGCTAGTATCTGGGTGAGACCAAAGTCTAAGGTGAACGAAGTAACGCAAGCTTTACTGTGTCTTGCCAATGAAACAGAAGCAACTCTGTTCGATGATACGAGCTTCATCCAGTATGCAAGTGTTCTGCTCTGCGGAGGCGCATCTCCAAATGGCTTTAACTTCAATATCGAACGCCATGGCTTACGATATTGGAAACGAGCTGTCATGGAATATTTACACAGACATGGCATTACCTTGCAGAACTTGGGACCATATCCCAATAGAGAAACCCCTCTGATGTTCTTCATCTCTTCAAAAGGTATTAGCAGATCAGAGTCAGACCCAGTCGAGGCTGTTCAGTTCCTATTGGACTCTGGATCATCTGTCAGCCAAACAGATCTGAAAGGTTGGAGTGCATTGCATCACGTGGCCAACCAGATTGCCCTGGGTAGAGCGAAGAAGAGCTATGAAGTTTCAGGTGATGCAGAAGAGTACCAACTCTATAAGATTGCGAATCTTCTTATCACAGCTGGCATTGACCAAGACTTGGAAGATAAAGAGAAACGTAGAGCTGCTGATATCTTGCGAGTGGTGGGAGCGCCGATATGGAATAGAAATATCTCGGAGTATGAATCATTTTTAAGGAGGAAGCCGCTGAGCAGGATGTCACTTCTATAAGCAGCTTGGCACATAATCTTTTAATATAATGCTTGAATGATCTTAATAGGCTGGCCGTTCCAAGTTTCATAGCGGCCGAAATGTGACTAAGCTTCGCTGCCAATTTAGACTTTATACGTTTCAAGAATTATTCTATCACTCAAAATTTTGAATATAGCATAAGGGCTTCGGAGAAAGCATCAAGGACTGATGGAACTTGGTTCGCCGTTCGGACAATACTAATTCGTTGCTAGTGTCCTTCTCGCCCACTTCACGAGGGATTCGTCAGTGGCGTTCTTGACGTCTGTCATCAGGGGAACGGGGTGATGGTTGGCTCAAAATTCAATAGTTCTCTCTAGCGCCCATGCTGAAGTGTTCGCTTGTACCAGCTGTTTGTTCACCACCACAGAACACAACAACGTGAACTAACCCATCATTCTTTTTATTTAATACTCTCTTGAAACTAAAATCAGAGCTACCTCTGATGCACTATGGATTAAAAGAATTATAGAAATATATGATCCAACTTCGTTCAAATGGAACTAAACAAAGAGTATGCCAAGTCTTCTCCTTCGTGATGTGATACCCGTTGCAGTGCCTGACCCAAACCAAGTTCAATACTCGTATATTGTTTTCCCAGTCAACGTGAGGTTGGATGTGTCTGGAATCTATGGTGGGCAGATACAATCGGCTTGGTAACAATCGCAAAGGGCTCAGAAGTCGGGCTCAGACCGCAGATATGAAGATTTGCTTTTGGCAAATGGCGTCCACGCAAGAGCAGACATTCAGTCTGTTAACCACACACAATTGAGGGTTGACAAGACAGCCGTCATCATCAGAGCATGGCGTGTCCCCAATTGCGGCGCTGGTCGTGGTGCTCGTCGCGTCGGTAGTAGTAGACTCTCCAATGATAGGCGTGGCAAGGGTGGGAATACCGGTTGTCTCAGTCTCCATGGCACTCTCGATAATAGTGGATGTCAGATCGGTGGTGCTACCCATGACAGTTGCAGTCGAGGTGACCTCGACGGTGGTTCCAGCTGAAGTTGTTGTTGGGCGGCAGGGGCCTCCATTTACAGCAGTAACAAGAAGTGCCAGGGTACGTAAAACGTTGGGAGACAGCATAGAGGCTAGTAAGAATGAATGACAGTCAAGACGACGAAAAAGAGTGAGCGGGAATAAGGAAGACTTGAGTCAGAAACATGGCGGGAAAGTCGGGTTATTTACCCACCGATCTGTTGACTTCTTTCCCCTGACTGCCTGTTGGCTATCTAATTAAAACGTTGCATGTAACTAGTGATATGCTATTGACTTGGCATTGGGCGCAGTACGAATTTGCTTTTGCGTTCACAGGGCTGTTCAGCCATGCCAAGAACTAAAAAGTTCAGCTGAATGTCTAGATATTCAGCAAAAACGCAAAAAGAAAACATAAACTCCGGTACAGGGAATCGAACCCTGGGCTCCGCGGTACTAATCCCTCAGGTTATGAGAGCGCGAAATGTTAGCCACTACACCATACCGGATGGTGTGATTGTTGAAGTGAGCTTTCGTATTGCTGCCCATGATTGCTAAGCACAGCTCGCTTTAGCGTGGTACAATGAGTTTGGCTCTGAGCTATGGGCTGTCGAAATCACGACATGCAATGACAGCCAGCTTTCAACTACATATATCAAGGGCCGTTTTCCCTCCAGTGACAGGGAGACCAAATTCAATTCAAGGCTAGGTTTAAGTTTATATCAACTTTATCCAATGTCGCAGCGGGATAGTTCAAGATGTCACATCTTTAGGTAGATCTAGATAGAAATGCAGCGTTTGGTACCGTTTTACTCTTAGCAGCAGTATAAATGAACCGGCAAATTACATTACTCTAGCTAATAAAACGCAATTAAACACTATCTATCGCTTGGGAAAGAACTCCTTATACTGCAACAAAGCCTCCTGATACGGAATTGGCTTCCTTCCCGTCAACTTCTCAACATTATCATTCGTCTCAGCCATGAACCCCCTCGCAACCATCTCTCCACAGCACAAAAGATCACCGATACACAACTTCATCGGTAACTTGGAAAAGTCCCCAAAGAAATCCGTCGGCAGTCCATGGTCCAACCACCAGCTCTTCAACTCCTCATCGGGAAGATCGACAATTTCTCCCTTGTAACCTGTTTGCTCGCACATCCATTTGAAAACCTCCTCGTTGGTGACGGCTTTGGGGCCGGTGATCTCGTAGACTTTGTTAGGTTCGCCACGGCCTAGTAGAAGAGCGGCGAGGACGTTTCCGCAGTCTTCGCGGGCAACGTATGCGCCTGCTTTTCCGTGCGTGTTGACAAGCCAGCGATCACCACAGAACTTCCACGATGGTGCAAAGAGAGTTGGAATATTATCAGCGTACAGGTAATTACGCTGGATATTGTACTCTAAACCAGAAGCGTAGATAATCTTTTCAATAAAGTGGTGATCTCGCGGGAGGAAAGGAATATCCTCCTCATTCTCAGCCTCAATACCAGCACCGCAAAACGAAGTATAGCAGACTCGCTTGACACCACATGCTTTAGCAGCGTCAACGACAGTTTGAGCCTGACGACGTCGACCTTCGCCGAAGAGCCAAGTTGAGATGAGAGACACAGCTTCAGCGCCTTGAAAAGATGCTTTGAGACTTTCGATGTCGTCGTAAGTGGCAGTTACGACTTTTGCGCCTTTGTCAGTCCATGATTTGCGGAGATCAGAGGGGATAGCTTCGTCTTTGTATGTGGTGAAGACGAGCTCATCGCCGGGTTTGGCGATTTCTGTGGCGAAGCTTGCTGCGATGCGGCCAAGATTGCCGTCTGCGCCTGTGAGAACGTACTTTGGCATTGTGATAAATTTGAATGAATTGTAACTAAATGTAGTACAGAACATGGGGCTCTCGGTCGTGGAGCCAGAGGTCTTCCTTTTATACGTAATCGTTATCTCCATATCATATTCGGTCACACCATATGCAACATGAGATTTCCTGTTACACCGGGCGATTGAATTCCAAAAGAAGTTCTGTAATTCCGAACTTGGCCGATCATATCAGATCCGGACCCAGAGCGGCGGTAAGGCTCCGCCACTAATCAATAACATCAGGTCATGTCTAGAAGTGATATCTCGTGTTTCTATAGACTAAAAGATTTTCATCGTGTTACTCTGCTATCACCAGATGAAAACATCCAATTGGCGCATGTCTCCGATCTCCTCGACACCTGTTATCTTCAGGTTGGTAAGGATAATTCTTCGTCGCCCCACGGCTGAGTTTTGTGATGTCTTGCAAACATTATATTGACTTGAGCTAGCAGGGCATAGATCATCAAGCTCCTCGCGGGATAGATTCCGCTCTGTGTGGGATGTGTCGCTTAGAGTGTCGGTGAATTTAGTCTATATATTAATTACCTATTCCTTAACCATTGAATTTGTCACGTTGAGCTCGATGGGATTACTCGCGGCATTATATCCTAAGTAGGTCGATGGGTTGATAACCCTTCATCTTCACCGCCACGACTGATGTTACGCAACAGGTAGATGCTCTGATTTTGTTGTTATCTTGATATATTAGATCATAAAGTTAAACACTTCTTTCATTTTATCACTATTTGCATCATTTAGCCTTCGCTTTCCTGTCCAACCGACTGTTAGAGTAACTAAGTCTATTCGACTCTGTCCATCATCACGAATTCTTAGGCAGCTAAATGATGTACATCCCTATCTCTTTCGAGTCCCTCTCGTGGCTCCAGCCCTGCGTCATATAATTCGTGATAAATCCGATCCTTTGATAAACATTTTCAAACTTCTGGACTTCTTCTGGCTGCTTCTTCAAAATCTTCTCATCTGCCTTGACCAACACCAATGCCGCATCATCATCCCATGCATTCCTCGTACTCATTCTTGTTGAGAACCTGAGGCAGAATAGCTCATTATTCTTCATGTTTCGCAACCTCCAAAGACTATCCGGTCTGTCAAATGGCTTCCTAGTATCATTCCCTGGCTTTTCTAACCAAGCCATATTTCCATCGATGGAAAAGGTTATGGGCATGACGCGGCCGGTGAGAAAGATATACCCAGAGTCGACGGCTCCAAATTGATTATGACCGCTAAGGGGGCATGCTGTACGATCGAGATCAACTGTCACGAAGAACTTGTCAAACTCAAAGCTCTCAACTCCCCATGTCACGCCACGGTGAACACTGAGCCAGCTCCAGCTCGGTGCAATGTACTGCGGTTCCTCACCAGAGTCTTTTTCATCTGGCATCCAGCGCATATCGTTGAGTAGATCTTTCTCCCAAAGACCTGCGAGGTATCTTCCTGTAAGTTTATTGAACCACTCTGTAGCTAATCCTGCAACAGCTGGGAGACCGTCGGTTCGTTTGGTGATGTTCTTCTGGGAATACTGAACAATCAAATCTCGCCAGAGTTCGTGGTGTTCTATGAACTCTTTGATTTCTCCCTTAAGAGGGGCAGCGGGATTGGTAGCTGAGCCTCGATAGCTCTTCGTTCCAGTGATGAACTTGTGGCCTGTCTTGATGATTCGGCGAGCAGGTACCAAGGGATCATCTTCATGTTTCTCCAGAGCACCGCATTCGCACTCCATTGACGAGAGGCAGTCGAAGATCATCTCACTCTTCGTATAGTGGAGGATCCGAGTTGCAAGTAGCCTTTCTTGAAAGCACCAGGCCCGTGTCATCAATGGATAATCATAGACTTCGGATACCGTAGTTCCAACAATAGGGTTCGAAGATCCCTTGGACCCATTGGGGTCTGTATTCCAGCCAAATACTGCATGCTTAGCCACCTTTCGGCCATAGATCTCAAATGGCTTTCCGTCAGGAAATGTCCCAGAAACTGTGACGAAAGGCTCTCTCTGAAATAGACAGCCACCAGAACCATCGGCGGATCCAGTGGCAGCTAAAACCAGCTCTGCACCGTTATAGATGGATGCCATCTTGGCTGCTTCGATTTCCCAGTCCTGCTTATCATCTTGAACAATACAAAGGGAGTCTATCCAAACATATCGAATGCCCAGTTCTCTCGAGATGATAACGGCATCTTGGAATGTTTTGGCGAACCGACTGAACGGAATATTTTGTTTCCACTGGTCGAGAGTCGCCTTTGTCGAGATTAAGTGCTGGGTCGTTCCCCAACAATGAGACAATGCGATATATGGTTCTGTAATCTGTTGTGTGGCGTCATCGTGCACGAAGATATGAATTCCATCATTGGTTTTAGGCCCAATATCGATAACTCGCTTTGGTAGTTGTGGGTTTGACGATGCCTCCCCCTCCGTACAGATTGTGTGGGTTTCTTTGCAGATTTTGATCCAGCTTTTGACGCTATCGAAAGATGCCTTGGAAGTTGGATCTGGTTCAATATGGCTCGCATGTCCACCAATCTCAGCGGGAAGACTCCAGTCAGGGCGTTCGAGGTTCATTGATGAGCCGACAGTAGGCCATGGGCAGGGTGAACCTATATCTATAAGCTATCATTCTGAATGGTGGGCTGCTGGTCTTACCTGGGAGGGTATATATCTCGTAGCTCTCGAGAACTTCTCCATCTGTGCTTCCACCACCAGAAGAGAACATATCAAAGTCATCAGGGGGACTTCCACGGATAAGCTTCATTCTCAAGACATTCCCCTTACAGAATACAATGTCCAACCATAGCTCAAGATCACTGAAGTCCACTGATCCTTTTGTCAACTTCATCAAGATCTCTTGGAGAAAGAAACAAGAAGGACAACCACTAGCTACTGTCCCAGGAACATCAGGGAGATAGACACTGATTTGCCACGAAGCATAATCAATACGACCTCGTCCTGCCCAAGCAGGAGCTTCATCCAGGTTACCAGCCTTGGCCGCTCTGGCTGCGTTGATGGAACCGGAATTCTCATGCATAGCTATACCGGCCAGAGGAACAGCAGTGGCGGTTGAGCCTCCGTAGAGATTCCAGCATGTTCGACATAGTTTTGGGTCCTTTCTGATGTCATCTTCGGTGTCACCGGTTGGGTATGGCGGTAGCTTGAGGTTGAGTGAGGCCATAGTAAGCTAACCCCGCAGTGATGGTCCTCTGGCTCTGTAATCAAGCAAAGAAAAGGGAGCGAGATTTGAGTTGCAACAACAATGCAGATGGCGTATTGATATGATCTGATGGATTAAGTTTGAACCTGAAACCAGTCTGAGAGTTATTTGTTTTATCTGACCTGTCTGGGTCCCAAGGTCATGTGATGCCCCAGACAGCCAATCTCGCTCATTCAGGAAAGTCAGCAACACTGACGAATGTGTACAGCACTTTTTTCTTTATCTTAACTCCCTTGGATTTTGGCAAAAATCAAATCTTGCAACACTGTGTCCAACTTTCTAGGTTCGGTTCTCAGACCGAATATTACATATCAATCCTGAACAAAAGCAATAAAGTAAAGAATATTGTCCAGGGTCTTCATATTTTTAAATTAGTCTATAAAATAAGGAAAAGCCGGAGTGAGAAAATGAGACATAGAAAGTTTTGCAAAACAAAAGGCCCCAGAGAGCAAAGTGGAAGAGAATACACAACAAGGAGAAGAAAGCCAACGGTAATAGCCAGAATCAAACATTGCAAGGGAAGTTGGTCATGTCGTCGCGGCTGTTACCGTACCACAGGTAATAATTCTCGATGATTTCATCCATAGAGCAAATGGGGATGTTGAAGACACCAGGAGCCTCGATTCCACTGCCAGCAAGGCTGTCGAGGACCTCTCGGCTGGGCTCATCTCCAAGGTCAAGCTTGAAACCGTTCTTACCACCATTTGCGGCCTTTGAGTTGAGTGATCTATAAAAATCTCAGAAGTAGTCTTGCAAGAGTTTGTCAATAAGGCTTACCCAATGATGACATTGTCGAGAGAGATGTCAGTGAACTTCTTGTCCTTCAGCGACTGCCATCCAGGAGGAAGAGCAAAACCACCACAATCAGAGTCACCAGACTTGCTATCACAGTTGGTGTTACGATCACGACCACCAAGAAGCCAATAAGACTTCCCATTGAAGCAGAAACGACCGTCCTTCAAAGCACCATCATCAATCCAGTGCTGGTACATAGTCGTGAAAGTAGCTTCCTTGTTCCAGCCAGGATCTTGGTCACAAGCAACATCAGACTCTGCGATGAAAGGAATGATGATATCGGGAGAGTACTGCCATGCCATGGGGATCAGGAAGGCGTTGATGGCGCGCTTCACTTGCTTGGCGTGGTCGCCACGGTCGAGGAGCCAGTTGTCACCGAACATGGAAGCGTCGGAGATCATGGCGCCGAGTTGCTTGTAGCCGTCTTCGGAGCCGCCAAAGAGCCATTTTTGGGTTGCGAGGACGCCGTCTTTCCAGCCTTCGGTGAGGCCTTGCATTTGCGCTGTGAGGCCGTTCTGGACACCGAGTTGGTCTTGACTGTGACAACGTTTTAGCTGAGTATCGAGTAGGGGGCAGTAGGACATACGCTCTGCCGTTAAGGATGTCCTTGGTAAGAGTCAAAGAGTTCTTGACAAGATCATTGGTTGTATCCTTGAGCGTACCAGCATTGGTGCTATCGCTAAACTTGGGACCGATCACTGTAAATCATCAGTATGTGCTCATACTCACATAAGACATCAACTTACGCTTGTTCCAAGCAGGGCCCATAACAATACCCCAAGCCATCAAAGCAATATCGATGAGAATAGAAGTAGCAAGACCTCCCTCCTTGGGAGGAACTTTGCCAAACTCTGAAGCAATGGCGCCAATATCGTTATCACGAACGGCATCGCCAACAGCGTTCCAGATGTTGGAGTGCATCTTATCATCATTAGCCAACCAGAGCTACCAAGAAAGGTAAAGTGACTCACAGCAAAGATGTTCTCAAAGGAGTGAAGAATGAAGTATCCAGCAGGAACACTGGTAGAGTGACACTGGAGGTTGAGATCCTCACATCCACTGCCTTCATCACTGAAAGTCTCACAAAACATGTCTTGAGGACCGTGAAAGTAGTTGGAAACCTGTACATGTCAGCTACACTCTCTCTTTATGCTCCAAGGGGAAAGTCACATTGTTGGAGAAGTGCTTCTGCTCACGTCCACCAGTAATGTTCATCTTCCAACCCTCAATAACGGCATTCCAAGCATCACCAGCATCAACATTCTTCCATCGATCAGGTCCATACAATGTATGATCTTTAACACCATCAGCCTCACAGTTGACAGAGCGCCAGTCACTAGTATCCTCAGCAGGGATGGGAGCCTCGAAAGGAACTGTGGCGGTGAGCTGTGAGACACCTTCAGCTTTCTTCACCTCTGGTACGGGAGTGATTTCAGTAGCCGGTGCATCTTGACGCTTGAAGGCGTTGGGAGGAAGAACTGGGGGGATCTCAGGATGCTTGGGGTGAATTGCATGATTGTTTGCAGGGTGGGCTGTGCCAGTAGAAGAGAGAGAAAGGAGGACCGAAGCGGTCAAAAGAAGAGGTTGCGTCCAGCGTGTCATCTTGACGTTGGCTCTTTAGTAGCTTCTTGTTTATCTTTACTCAATATTGTCTTCATCGTCGGACTCTTGTAGTATTATATATTTCTACCATTACCAGTTTCTCAACCCAAAATATCAAAGGATCAGCACATCAAATTCAAAAGTAAGCCCTAAGTCAGCTCCATGCAACCGATGAATTTACTGCTGAATCCTTCTGAGCTTCCTCAGCCTCGCTCGGTGTTGTCTTTCAGAATCATCTTGGTCCTGAATAATCCTTCTCGCTAATCTAGTGCCCGTCTCTTGGCGAGTTCACCAGTTAGACGCGCGGATCAAGGCACGTAGTGGTAGGGGTCTGTTTTAACTTGGTGCAGGGGTTCAGCGTTTGTTTATTACTCCCTGCTCTAAAAGGAATTCCGTTTGAGTTTAACATAGAACTTGGGAGATCATTTGCATGGGAACCCCTGTGCGAGGAATGAGGGTAAGGCAGTCTTGAAGATCCTACTTTCAAGTGCTGTACTCGAGTGCTGGTCTGAGTCCTCTTCAGACCAGGCTCTTCCCTTGCAATGATTATGCTCTCATTATTCCACTCAATCAGGGGATCTTGGTAGAAGCTTTTGATCCGAAAATCACAATATCTCCTAGACTTGGTTCCTGACAGTAATGCTGGTATCTCAGGAAAGGGTTTCTCCGTCCAATGTACGAGACCCGAATGATTCCAGTGCTAATTTAAGATCTCTTTTAGCTTGGCCTTTTTTACATATCTAGTGTTTATGCATAACAAGAACCAGCCTTAGTTGTAACCTTAAATCCCAAGTTCCCTGCCATAGCTCTTCTCAGCCCCGGGATAAGAACAAGCAGCTTGCCGATTCTTGAGAGAATGACTCCATACAAGAAGATAGTTAATCACTATCTCCTGGTCCAGTGACCGAGTAGAGCAAACCTAAAGCCTCTTTTGAGGTCACTACCTCAATTTTGTAGAAGAATCACAGGCGCATTCGTGAGGGATCCTGATCCTCTAAAGCATGATTAACTGATCATAAACTCCTAAAAGGGTCTTGATCGAGTTAAACTCAGCTGGTTTGTTTCAGATTCTTTGAAGGATCTAAGGCTGATATAAATGTGACCCACGTGCTTTATCGAGTGGCCTTGGCTCGATGGACCCCACTGCCACTATAAGGATATGGTTTTGGAGGGGAATATCAACGAAAAGACATTGCCGCTTTATGGATGACGGCTTACCTCTGTCTTAGCTCAGGTAGTGGTCATCTTGGGGAGGCAAGAAAACTCAAGACCTCCATCCTAAACGATAAAAAGACTAAGATAAGTTCAGCATAGACTTAGAGGCCCTTTAGACCAGGCAGTTATTTTCAGTACCCTGATTTAAGGTCAGAAGTTTAACTGCTCCTTAAGTTCATCCTATCACAAATAACCAGCTCAAACAATCAAAGTGCCATTGATGAATAAGTATAAGCTTGAAAATAATAAATATCTACCAGTGCTATGTCTTCTCCTGAACCATCCCGAACCATGGGTGACCCAAAACATCCTCCGCACTTATTCGTTCTTCATACATGAATACCTTTCTCAAGAGATCATAGCAAATCAGCTTCCTGTGTTGAGGTTCTGGGCAAGGATTGAAGGTTATCCTCTACATCACTATTTCCTGGTAGGTAGGCGAACCATCCCACTCCTCCACCTTCTGGAAGGTATGTGCCGTTGATCTTGATTGCAGATGGTTTCCAAACTCTGTTGGCGTAATGTTGTGGATATGGCCTTTTGGTATTGTCATGTATGGCGGTCAGATGATGTATGTCTTGGGGATCAAAATTGACGATGGAGGAAATATCGTCGCTCAGCCAGTCGTCTCTTCTGGCATGCGATCCATCTTCATCTCGGACAATAAAGGGCTTTGCTGGTGTCGACTCATTCTCATTGAATTGGGTTGGCTCGTCCCAAATATCGCTGATCCATTGCTTCAGCGAGTGAATCTCATCGGATAGTTCCCTTGGCCCGCCTGTAGTTTTATCTGAAGTCGGTCGCCCCTCTTCATCGTAAAAGGGCTCTTCCCAAGATGTTGGTAGTTTTCCAAAGTACTTCACACACTCTGTAATAAGGTGTGCTGGGCAATCGACATGATAGGGGAACAGTGAGATGCCTGATCGCATATTTAAAATTGTGACGCCCAGTGCCCAAACATCACTCGCTGGGGTGTATGGTTTTGCAACAGCTACCTTGGACGCGAGAAATTCGGGCAGAGTGTAGATTTGGACCAGAGAAGGGAAGAACTAAACACAGATGACGGCCGTGGAAGTAGCGTGTGTGTGTAATGAACCGAGGGTCATCTTCGTCTTGGTCATGTTGGGCCAGAATGTCGTGGCACCTGGCTATGTTCTCCTCGACACTCGACGGTTGGTCCGCCATCAGGATCCTAAGGGCCACCCAACTCCAACTCGAAGAATCGCGCGCAAGCCATATCGTAGATGTATCTCCAGCACCAATTTTGTGGACTATGCGATAACGGCCGTCATCGTAGAGATCGCCGAGATGAACAGGATGGTATTCTCCCATCCCGTACATTGGATATTCGGAGTCGATTTGTGGCGATTGAAAATCATCGGAGAAACGGAAGCTGTCTCGAGATCGAGGTCAGGATCCGGCAAGGAAGTCATTGGCATGCTGTGTCGTACCAAATAAATCAGGAATAAAGTTGTTGAATGAAGCAGGGTGCTGCCATAGAATGGGTTGAAGGGAAGAGTCGAAAGCCCCTTATATACGCAGGTACCTCACAGGAGCTGCACCTGTGTGAGAAGGGTCGCAGACGGTCACGCATACCTTATTTCTAAAATTTGCGTGCGAGTGTCGCAAAGGCTTAATGCATGGGAAATTAGGATATTTATCGTTATTGAGGCTTTGTATATGGTCTGCCTAAACCTTGAGTTGATTGCAATCTTTCAATGTGTTAGCTTTATATATTTCGTGACATATCATAAGCTTTAACTGTCAGTCAATCGACACGCGGACGTAGACCCTGAAGTCTGACGATAATGAACCTTTCTGAGCCATCCATTTCCAAGAGTCAAAATGCTTCGTGTTGAAGATGAAGGGTCCACGTGACCTTGTCCTTGACAATTGCCCATCTCCGCATTGGGTGGGGAAAACTCTCAGCCCCACCACGATTTTTCCATCTGAAGCTTCTTTTGGAGGGGCAAAGATCGATAACTCATTCTTATCCATGTCATTTTGACTGGCACACAAATTCAGCCTTTGACAACCACTTCAACAATCCTTCGTCACACAAATCGAAACCTTCAATAAATTCTAGTCTTCTCGAAAGACCAGAACCTTCATCATGGCCACCGCCACCATGACCGTGACGGCCGCGCCGATCAAGAAGAAGCCCGACATGGCTCCCGAGAGCGAGCGCTTTCTACGATGCTGCGCCGACGTCGCGAATGCCCTCATTGAAGACCACGAGGCCAGCAAGGCTGGTCGAACCACACGCGATATCAACCTCAACTCCTTGCGAAACAAGCTCGCCAAGAAGCACAAGCTCATGAACATCCCGCCTTTGACCGCTATCATCGCCTCCATTCCCGAACATTACAAGAAATACATCCTACCAAAGCTCATCGCGAAGCCCATTCGAACATCTTCTGGTATTGCTGTTGTCGCTGTCATGTGCAAGCCCCATCGATGCCCTCATATCGCCTATACCGGTAACATCTGCGTCTATTGCCCTGGAGGTCCTGATTCCGACTTCGAGTACAGCACACAGTCTTATACTGGCTACGAACCTACATCGATGCGAGCCATTCGTGCACGATACGACCCTTTCGAGCAGGCCCGAGGACGTGTCGACCAGCTCAAGTCTCTTGGTCACTCTGTCGACAAGGTTGAGTATATCATCATGGGGGGAACCTTCATGTCTCTTTCTGAGTCATACCGCGAGGAGTTTATTGCACAGCTTCACAATGCTCTCAGTGGATACCAAACGACTAATGTCGATGAGGCCGTGGAGGCTGGTGAGATGAGCAACATCAAGTGTGTCGGAATCACAATCGAGACACGACCCGATTATTGTCTACAGCCTCATCTTTCCGATATGTTGCGATATGGCTGCACACGACTTGAGGTTGGAGTACAGTCGCTGTACGAGGATGTCGCGCGAGACTCCAACCGAGGACACACAGTTGCCGCAGTCGCCGAGACTTTCTGCCTTGCAAAGGATGCTGGATACAAGGTGGTCAGTCACATGATGCCTGATTTGCCAAACGTTGGCATGGAGCGCGATATCGATCAGTTCAGGGAGTACTTTGAGAATCCTGCTTTCCGAACCGATGGTCTCAAGATTTATCCCACTCTGGTCATTCGGGGTACAGGTCTGTACGAGCTTTGGAGGACAGGGCGATACCAGAACTACACTCCCAACGGCTTGATCGACCTTATCGCGAGAATTATGGCTCTTATTCCTCCCTGGACTCGTATCTACCGTGTTCAGCGCGATATTCCCATGCCTTTGGTTACATCTGGAGTTGAGAATGGTAACCTGCGTGAACTAGCATTGGCTCGAATGAAGGACTTTGGAACAACCTGCCGAGATGTGCGGACACGAGAGGTTGGAGTGAACGAGATCAAAAACAAGATCCGACCTAACCAAATTGAGCTGGTCCGACGAGATTACGTCGCCAACGGCGGCTGGGAGACTTTCCTTGCCTACGAGGATCCTAAGCAGGATATCCTTGTTGCCCTGCTTCGATTGCGAAAGTGTACCGAGAAGTACACCTACCGAGAGGAGCTTACCGGTCAGCCTACCAGTATGGTGCGAGAGCTTCACGTTTACGGCACAGCCGTTCCTGTTCACGCTCGCGATCCCCGCAAGTTCCAGCACCAGGGTTTCGGTACACTTTTGATGGAGGAGGCTGAGAGGATTGCGATTGAGGAGCACGGTAGCGACAAGATCAGTGTTATTTCTGGTGTTGGAGTGAGGAGCTACTACAAGAAGCTTGGCTTCTGGTTGGATGGACCTTACATGAGCAAGTGGCTGGATGGTCGTGAGCAGCCTGAGTAAAGGCGAGCTCTAGGGTAATGAATAGCATGAAGGATGAGACTGGAAATACCTCACGGCAGGGGATATTGCATTTATATACGGCGTCTTTGGGTGGGAAATGAAAAGCTACGACATTTTGATCATTTTGTGTTATTTTCTGCCTATTGATTGCTCTACAGAGGTGAGTGAAGGGAAATAGACTTAACCTGTGAATGTTCCTCGGGTTCACACTCCTACTTAACTTCAATATGATCTACCCCCAATTGAAGCATCTAGCTTCATTGCAGCTCCTCTCTCCTTCATCTCACCCAATTGTGATCAGCCTGTAATAAACCCTGCAGTTTCAGGTCACCTGCGCTGTTCATGAGGATGCCTCAGATCTCGGGACCTGTTGGCCCAAGATTATCGTCACCTGCAGCACCCGATTGGTCCACGTCGCTTAGTCACCAACTCATCAACTCCGACGTCAACCTGCTTCCTCACAGGCTCCCTCTCATCTTCTCACAACATGACTCCCCCAACGCCATGAACAATCGTCGAAATGACGTCCCGGATTATGGAACCGGAATCCTCCCGGCATTACCTCCCGACGTTGTACTCCCAGACCGTGATCCTAGAAGCAATGCCGCAACTGCCGCTTCAGCAGCTGGTGTTCGTGCCTTGAGCACTCAACTCATCGCTTTTTACTTTCGTGCTCCTGCGAAGGCCTTCTTTAGAACGCGTGTGGATTATCTGGCTTATGCGAGGACTATTCATCAGGCGCAGACGGAGCTTATGATGAAAGCTGCTGCGAATGATCCTTCTGCTTCTCGACTCAATGTATTTATGCGACAAAGTTGGTTGTTGCTGAGAAGTACGACACCTGGAGTTTTGACATCGGCTATTAGACATCAAGGATGGGGAATTATACCGAATCAGATTTTACCGCCTCTTATTGCGAATGTTGGGGTTGGAGCGGTACTGTACACGAGTTATCTCCAAATTTTAGGACGACTTCATGAAGAGAGCGGACAAGCGCGGAAGAGAGTGTACCCACCACCTCATCCGATGCATACATTCACAGCTGGTTTGCTTGCTGGTGGACTTCAGAGTGTTGTGGCTGCGCCCTTAGACGCCATCCAAGCACGGTATGATCATCGAGATTTAATGCCAAATGATGGCAGTGGGAAACCTCGGAGTATGTGGGCTTTTAGCGCAGAGAAACTTCGCGAAATTGGGCTCAGGGGTATTTTTGCAGGATGGGGACTGTCACTCGCGAAAGACAGTCTTGGAAGTGCCGTATTTTTCAGTACATTTGAGTACGTCAAGGCTCAAGGCTATTACCGCTTCGTTACGTGGTACTACGGTGGTCTGGCCGAGGATATTGTCGACGTGCTCGCCATGAAGCGTCCCACCCACGAACACCGACAAGAAGAAGGCATGAGGCTTATTCGACCTCATTATGCCCTTGAGCCCATGTTTCTTCTTCTCGGTGGTATCAGCGCTTCATTTACTCAACAGGTCCTCCTGCACCCTTTGACACACTTCCAAGTCAAGCACTGGGATCATCTTGAAGACCTCGACGAGAAGGCTGCAAGGCTCCGTGCTTCCAGAGTCGCAAACCCGGAAAAGCCTCGTCGCCGATGGAGAATGCTGCGAGCCTATTACCACGCTTACCAAGAATCACTAGCCGTGTGTCGAGGGGAGGCAGCAGCTGAAGGACTAACCCTAACGAAATGGCTGTACCGTGGATTCTGGTGGAATGCGATACGGCAGGTTCCCAGCACGAGTGCGGGATTGATCATCTTTGAGTTGATACGGCGCAAGTATGGACTTGGGCAGGAAGAAGTGAGAATTACAAAGGATGGGTATGACATTCTGCTTCACTAGAGGCTGGGTTGGTGTGATGGCGTTGGTGTATAGACTATTCTCCTCATTGTTTTGGGCCTGTATAGACAGATTAAACAGTATATAGAAATGACAGATACCTCTACGTTGTTCGAAGGGTCACAGTTTCTGTTTCGGTCATGATCATCCAACATCTTGTTCATCTTAAGGCACTCTGTGTCTAAGGGGTATCTAGTCTATGGCAACGTGAACATATCCCAACCAAATCATAACTCTTAGCAAAACATGATACATGAACTTGAATAAAATAATAAAAGCCACCATAGTGGTGGATAAAAATGTCAAAATATGTCTTCATCTACCGACTTGGCGATTATTGTCGGAGTCAGTTTTCCAGGTTCAGTCTCGATAGAAGGGCTGTGAGGGCCTCGAAATCGCAGACTTCTTCAACTTCTTTCTCAATCTCCTATTTCTCCACCTCCTCCTGCTGATGATCTTTAAGGCTGGAAATTGTGGTATATTTGTCAACTTCTTCTTCTCCTTCCCCTTCTTCGTTTTGCTCCTTCTTGGTCTTGTTTCTTGATGTATTTTCTCCTCTTGACAGTCATCGAGGCTCAGTGCTGGAAAAAGATCTACAAGTGCGGCAACTTGAGCTTCTTACTCCTATAATTCCCGTTGACGTTCTTGCTCCCTCTCAAGGCGGGAATAGTCGATGCCAAGTGAGAAGTGCTCGATTGAGCCAGAGACAGGATATTTCTCAAACCAGCCATCATGCCAAAATGGGGATTGAAAATCGTATCTTCTCCAGAAAAGCCTCGATTGGGTGTTGACAGCGGCAATCTGGAACAGCAGTTGCATGGAGTACTTCTCGTCGCTACTGGGAAGGCAGAAAGTTGATCCCTGAATTCCAAGAGGAACAAGCGTCGACCATCTGAGTATGCGGTCGTGCATAAGCCCCAAACGCTCACCATCCTCGATTCCGTGGTCAAGCATAGTTCCTACGAACCGCTGCGATTGAACCGCACCTAAGAAACGCCCTATGTCGACATCATCTGGGCGTTGCAAAAACCCTTGGAGAATATGGGCGGGATTTCTATCTCCTGGGATCTGGATCTGGTTGGTACTCCATCCAACTTCGAGAAATCGCCTTCGCAGCGCGAACTCGTGGAGCCAAAATGCTCGCTGGACTCTAGCAAAGAAGTCTGGGTCAATGGGGTTACCATCAAGATTTGTAGGTTCCTTACCAGGCGGATTCATATTGATAGCTTGGAACATTCGACGGCGGAGCATGTTAGTAATGAAGGGAACCGCACTTTCTGAGCTTTCCGCGTTGAACAGGGGAAACATTCTATCCCAGTAAAGTTCTGCTTGATTGACTGAAGCAAAGACGAAGGCAAGTTGGTTTACTTGATCCGCCAACTCAAGAAACTCGTGAAGTCTCTTCCAGTTGCTCAGGACTTCAATGAGATACCCCATCATGTTCCACGAGCTGGTCAAGGTGAGTGTGCGTCTATATCGTAGGTTATTATACTCGTTCCCAGGAGGCGACGTCGTGTTGAATGGGAACCTGAAGAGATTGACGGTGGTCAGAGCCAGATCCAAGTTGTCAGGATGAATATAAGTTTTGAGAGTTTCTTGTAAAAGAACTGTTGTTCCACTCCCTACCTCGGACTTTATACGCTCCACAAGGTCATTGATGTACTTCGAGCGTGGGCTTTCCTCACGACAGCTCTTGATGAAATCGCGGGGGGTTGTCCACGAGAACCCAGTGAACTGAGACATCTTGTTTTGCTGAGGGGATGACTCGAAAGTGGTAGTTACTGATGCGTTCCTTGATTCCGTATATATGGTGAACAACAGAGTAGGAGAAGTAGACCAAGAACACCAGCACAAGTACCAAAAACAACGATATCAGTTCGTAGGTATTGGGAGGAGGGCGTAAGATGGACTGAAGATGGTGAGGAAACTTGACTGATTGTCGACTGCATGCTGTGCAGGTATATATATCTCAGTAGTTTGAGAGTTTGACGAGAGTGTTCAAGAGTTCCGCAAGTTCGGGGCGAGATATAGCTAATGGTAGACAGGAGGAAGTACTAATGTTCAAGTACTGACACCGCGAAGTGCAGACAGACATTGAGCTTGTCGGTTTGGGTGAACATGAAGGTATGTCCTGTACCCTGAAGTGTCTGTCCCCATGGTTCATTGACCTTTAACGACCTCAACCTTAGTTTCCTGGGTATCCTTGCCTAATGACAAGCCATAGGCAGGGGACCCCTGGTTGATAGGCTTGGGTGCACTCTTTCGGGACAGCTCTGGCTTGATATGGATAGAGTTGCCGTTGGAATATGTATATATATTCGTTTTCCCGAAGTCAGGTTAATCTCCAATATCAGGCTGTCCATGTTGAATGCATATATAGAGTAAAGCTGAAGTTTTCCTTTATAACTGTGAATCGTCGAATGCTTTTGAGGGCATAAGCTGTGGGCTCTATCAAGCCCTGTAAGGGCCCATGCGAGAGGAAGATTCATCATATCAACTGACGAGAACACGAAAAAGTGGTCTAGTTTCAGATCAATACTGGAAGATAATTAGTATATTTGTGTTCGTTGGAACAAATCGAGGTGACTGAGAAGCTGAGTGAACAGGTTTAAGTTTACACAAGAGCATGCAATATATATGATCAAGAGAACAAAGAGCGATGTGAATGAGGCATTACAGCAGGTCCTTTGAGTGGAGTCTAGTTCTAAATACCATGAAAATATTACGTAGTCAAGTGATTATTCTCTTACTTGCGCTGCATTGAATGGGCGCAAAGCTAATGCGAGATGCGACCATCCGGTTTCTACAAAGGTGGTTTGTGGGTTGGACAAGATACAAGCTCAATCCGTTGGTTCCTACCTACATCATATCACTTGACCCTGCCGTTCAAGACAAAGAAACGATGCAGGTAGGCAGACAAATAAAAGGGTGGCCAATAGCTTTACGGTTCTCCCATGAGGTACAAAGAGTGAAAGTAAGAAACATCCTAAGTTTCACGTATTCAACAGGTCACATTACGAAGAGAACAAAAACAAGAACATTGTGAATCAATTCCTACAATTCCACCTAATATGCTTCCCCTATCTCCGCTACCTGTTTACATACCGCTAACATCCCCCCCACCGACCTGTCCCCCTGCCCCCAAGAGCCGTTGCAAGATCCTCAAAACTCCATGACGCAAAACCAAAATAACTACATCCAGATGTACGTATCGACGTATTTTCCTCATACGAGGATTTGGGGTTCGGGTCCCAGCCCTCCCGTTGCGGATATTAACCGCGTGATCCAGGGCCGAAGTCCGGTTCACGATCAGGGAGGTGCTTCTTCTCCTTCCGGCCCTTGATCACGAACTCAGACATAATCTGGATGTGATCTGCGGGGAAGTGCCAGTAAGGGAAGGCGGGAATTCGCTTCAGGTATTCGGGGTCAGGGGGTCCAAGAAGGTCTACTACCTCTAGTGTATTCGTGGAGTACCAGATGTAATCAATAACATCGGCAAATCCAGGCGTGTAGTTAGTGAATGGCATTTCGTCGGCAGTGTTTTTGATGTGGGCGTAGGCATCTCGGAGGCTGAAGGGGTGTTCAATACCGTCTCGCGTGAAGCTACCATACTGGAAGCTGCTCAATTCTAAGTGGTCAGGTGGTACACGTCCCATAGACATCAGCTCATATACTGAAGAGTCTTCTGTGGAGTTGAAATCGCCGCAGACCAGAAGAGGAATTTCGGTATTGGTTCGGTACTCTTGGCTAGGGCCTGGCTCAGCTTGGGGCACAGGTACTTCGTCGTCTCCCATCGGTAGCACAATCATCTTCTTGTCCTTGACGGCTGGCCACCTCGCGTACTTCTCTGCAAGCTTCGTAACATGTTCCATGAGAATACCAGTTTGGATAACCTTGACATCGGCCAAAGCAGAGTCCCATGTAAGATGGGCGTTAACCAGGATAATTCGAGCTCCAGTGAGACGAGACTCAAAGAAGCAAATAACAGCAATGTTGTCCTTGGGCATCACACGATTGAAAACATCGTGCTGGTTCTTCATGTCGGGTCGGTTGATGGCAATCGTGGCGAATTCGATAAGCTGCTTGTCAAGAAGAATGAACTTGCTCTGCTTGTAAAAGACGGCACAGCCGTCAACAGACTGCGCATCCTTCTCTGACATGGTCTTGGCTCGTGATTTGGGCCAATGGACACCTTTGTAGTCCATTTGAGCCAGTTCCGGGCTGAGATCCTCCTTGAAAGCATCCGTTGATACCTCCTGGAGAGCAAGGAAATCCGCATCCCTGATTCGGAGTTCTTCCAGGATACAACCCTTGCGATACTCCCAGTCGAGGGCGCGGGTGGGCGTATAACCGTAAGTCTGGGGTGTTGCATACTTGTCGCAAAGAATGTTCCACGAGAAAACCTTGATCCTCTCCAGACTGGGTGACACGTCCTCTTGTATAACGATGGGCCTTCGGGGTGTGGGAGGAATGGGCACTGTAACGGTTAGCATAAATCGTCTTGAGGTGCGCAATCAACTTACTAGGAGTATTTTCCTTCAGCGTATGTATCAGACTCTTTGTTCCCTCCTCCATGATCTTATGTTTCACATCCGCGTCCAATGGGTTGCCCTCGATACCGAGCATCTCCAGAAGGTGCAGTGATCCAAGCTCGTTCGGTAATGTTTGAATGTTATTATTGAAAAGTAACAGGTTCTTGAGGTAAGTGCACATTCCGATCTCAGGGGGGATTTCAATTATCTGGTTGAAGGAGGCGTCGAGGTGGCGCAAGGCTCGTAGTTCTCCAATCGCGTTCGGTAGTCGTATCAGTTTGTTGGAGGCGATGAAGAGCTCGTTCAAAAACTTGTACTTGAATAGCTCTGGAGCCAAGTTTCGCAACCCCTGCCCGCTCATATCCAGATTGTGCCAGTCCTGCCGTGTTGCCTCCTTCTCAACAGCCAAGGGTCGTCTCCTATCAACACCATCGTCTTCGTCGTCCGGATGGGCACGTAGGCTGGCCGATGGTGGGGGACCAATTCCTCGATTTTCCGACGCTCTGAGCCTAGCATAGTAGTGCGGTTGTTGTTGATCGGTCATGGCAGAATGCGCTCGTTCAGCATCTTTATGCATTCGCAGTTGCTCCTGCCACATCTCGTTCGGAGGTGGCTGTCCTCGGTTTCCTGCAGAATGGCCATTCTGAAGCGCGTTGGGATTGAAGGGACTCGAGTTAGAAAGTACGCCTGGGGTAAAGGTTGAGTGATGGCCTAAGCCATTGGCGTTGGGCATTCCATGATCGTGTTGAAGTCCTTGGTGGTGTTGTGTTTGAGATGGATGTTGATGTTGGGTATGCTGATAGTTATATAGCAAGTTGGGAATGCCTCGCCCGGCGCCGTTGAGCCGAGCATGTTGACCTTGCCCGGAGTGTTGAGGATACATTCCGGTAGGTATTTGTGATGTGATTATGATGGTTATAGTCTCAGGGGTGGAGGTTTAGGAAGTTGCGCCGGCGAGCAGCACGGCGGTAGATATCGCTGATCGGCAGTCGTGATAGAAGGAAGTGAATATAGCAAATCGCTGGAGAAGCTCATCGGCCGTCGAGTATAGCGTTGACTTTTGACTTTGATAGGGCTCGCGTAACCGCGGGGAATAGTTGATTGGCGAAGGAGCTCGAAACTTCACCCAAGGTTCCAAAAGAGAGAAAGCAAAGATAGCTCGCGTCTACGCATCAGCCTATAGCCGTCACCGAAACAATTGTCGTTGCTTTGTGGCTCGGATGGAGAACGTCGGTTCGTCGGCAGGTCAAGAGCTCATCGAGATGTGTCGTTGCGACAGTCCCAGAAGATCTGTGGCTTGATAGTGATGAAAGGTTAAATTTTTTGAGTCACGATCGATTTTATCGAAGCGACAAAGATTTTCTTGTAGAAGCAGAAGTGCAGAGGGTATGTGAGTCAAGAAATACTGCAAAGGTAGTGGTTAGTTAAAGCTTTGAAAGAAGGGCATCATGGGAGGGGGATCCAAGCTTTAGCGACACGTTGCGCTGTCATTGCTAGCTTCTGCGGGGCCAACGCACCTGTAAAGAGCGATCGCAACAATGTAGATATTCACTGAAAAAAAATCAACTGATACTTGAACAGAAGAAAAGTGGCCGATGGCAAAGGGAGCGCATGGATATGACTGTGATGCTGGCTGTGATGCTGCGATAAACGGATTGAAGCCCAGAAGCGGGCGTCGAATCACGTGCACCTGCTCCGCATTCTGATGGCTCGTGCGAGGAGAGTCAGAATCGATAATCACGTGCAGCCTCTCTATAATTGCGCGACTCACCTTGAACGATTCAGCCTTGCAAGGTCCAGGCCGCATCGTCGACGATGGTTGCATATTCCTGTGCCATTGTAGGACAAGACACGTTCGCGAAATATTCTTGCATTACTCATGTTTCAAAACGAGTTTGCATCCTTCTTGGCAGAATCCCCTTTGAACAATCGTATGTTTGCAGCATCATGTGCACATATGGAGTTTATTAGGGGAATGAGACCTACCACAAATTGAGTTCAACCTCTATGATCACGATACAATTACTAGCGTGTTTTTGAGCCTCATTGTAGGGCTGTCAATTGGCTCGCAATTGCCGCAGTGCATGTTCTCAAGAGACCAGAAGATACAGATGCATATGCACATTTATGGACAGCTTGTGCTCGAACCACGTGAGACAACATGTGTTATCTGTATGTTCCAGGAACAGTGTCAACTAGCTGCGGACATCAGCAAACGCAGCTGTACCCAGAAGACACACAGCCAGCCCGTAAAGTGACGCCATTGATCAGGTCTCATCTCGCAAAACGCCATCCTCCGACAGCCCTGTTATTTGGCGTCCTACGGACTCACTGGTTCCGTCCACTTAACACGGACCGCGTGCAGCCTCGGAGAGAGTCAATATGGATAGGAAGCACCACCAGCGGCAGAGGATCAATCATGGGCTCAAATCAACCAACTGCATTCTGGCTTATGTATCATGTTACCGAGACTTGAGTCGAAGAGGCAAACATTTCAGCTCAAACAGGTATGAGCATCCAATGTTATGCCATTCGGCCGAGAATAGGACCGTTGGACAATATTAATCTTCGGGTAGCGCTCTTGTATCAGAAATGTCTCGTTTGAACAACTTATCCGTGCCGGGACGGGAGAAGATTGCAAGCTTGACTCCATGGCTAACTCGACAATCATTCATGCAAGCAACCCATGCCATTGGTACGTTTACACTCACTGAAACGTGAACATGGGAGACTCTGTTTGCGCTGTCAGATTCAGATGCAAGTTGAAATTGGGAGTTGAATCCTCCCGACATGGTACATGGATGATACTGCAGGACCTAGCAAATGCACGAGACCCGAGAAAGTTTAGGTGAGCTGTGGCCGACAGAAATCACAAGTTAGAGCCACTGTTCCCTGTCTAACCAACCACCAGGAACCTCGGAACGCCAAGGTCAGGCTGGATAGGAAGCTGCTAATTCGATAAGCGTCAATAAAACATCAGACAAGCTCTAATGTGCGGGGGATGGCCAACCGAAGCGCGCCGCTCCACACCCCAGACAGCTGGGAACTGGGGAAATGCTGCCATTTGGCCCGAGCAAGCGTGAAAGCCTGAAGCATGAAGGATGGGGATGACCGTATATAGAAAGTCACCGGTGCCACCATTGCAAGCAAAGTCTGCTGTTTATTTGTTTGCTTCCATTGCTTGTCTGACCTGAAACCGCTGTGCTGCACAGTACATGCAGTTTGCTCTCATTCCTCGATCTCGAAACACATCAATCCACTCGTGCTCAATCTCGACGCAACTATCCGAATTGTTGCTTGGTGAGAGTTTATCAACTATACCAACTCTGGGAACTGTACGCGTCCCTGCGGCGCTACCCGTCACCTTTTGATAAGGACAAACGTCCATCACATCACATGGTAGGGACTGTTTGTTGCCAGCCAGCGAACGCCATCACCCAAAAAACTGGTTTCACCAACGGATCCAAGGTCGCGCCAACACAGGCGGCTTATCCACTGGACTACAGGATAGAAAGCCATCGACGACATAGAGGCAATGACGTTGGCGTCTGCTTGGGCAGTCAGGCACAGTCACGAAACCAGCTTATGAAGGGTCCACGCACGACCAACAACGTTTAATATCACGGTTGCAAACGGTTTCGGCACTCGATATTCGCATCCACATTTCCTTTCCACCCATCACGTTTGCGCGAATTACGGATAGTATCTTCAGCGTAACGCTGGCCGATGAACAAACCCTGTTCTTCGATTTAGGCGACGCCTCTGATCAGACAAGCGTTAACAAAAGGGCCAAGCAACCAAGGGCTTTCTGCTACTGTGACTTTTACCGCCCCTGCATGGTCCGGGACGCAATCCGGCAACCACCCGGACTTGATAACCCAGTTCCGCGGGCCAGAGAAGGGTTCTAGAAGGGCCAAAAGTGCTACCGACTGGGGGCCAGGAGATTTGCTGTAGGTACCGTTTGGCTTCCCACCACGGGTCGTTGGACTTGTGTGTGGTTCAGTTCGTCAGTTGAGCAGCAAGTGTGTTTGCTAGCGGCGGTGGAACTGGAACACAATTATTTTACCTAGTGCACCCCTGTTGAACCACCCCTTACCCGTCCCCATTCACCAAAGTTATCCACCGGAAAGCTTGCGCCAAAGAGTATAGTATAGCGGCATAGCCAACAATGTCGGAATGGAGCGGATTTTTCTATGCGTCTGCCAACCCCTTACCCACCTTTGCTCGCCGTACAAAGGCTGCTGAAAAGGAGTGGCAGCGCCCCGAAACTCCCCCACGATCCAATTCGGATTCACACGACATTGCCCCAAACTCCAACCGCGCAAGACGTCCCTTTCGACAGACGAGGACGTCTAGTGGGAGTCAGGGTAGTCGTTCCTCGCACGACTCGTCGCTTGTGCATTCCACAACCAGCCCCAATACCAAAAACGGCCCCGCCTTGGCAGAAGACGACTCTTATTACTCGCAGTCAAAACTGTTATCATCTGACTCGCGCCAACAATCTTCGAAACCAGTAACGACTACGACTACGACCACCTCGATTTCCAATAAACATCTCCCTAACAAAAGTCTCACCAGCGGAGGCTCATCGCCGTTACACTCGCCCGTCGTCTTCAATCGGCCTGTGTACGTCGACAAGACTCGACAGCGCGATCCTCGTCGTCAATCATCCGCCGCGACACCAACAACAAGCTCAGTTGATCTGAAAAATGTCGCCATGTATTCCCAGTTGGATGCAGGTAACAAACTCATGTCAGGGACGACGAAGCAAGTAAATCTCGACTTTCCTCGAACAGACTCGGTCTCCTCTACGAGCGGCAACACAACTGTCTCGACACAGACCATGACCTCGACAGATCACTCCAACTCCGACCCCGCGACAAAACCCTTCATCGTTAAAAATGGCCGCACCTACTACAACGACCCTACAGCGGCGTATCCTCTTCCCACCGACCTTGCTGAGCTCCATCGTCAGAGCTTGCGGACGCTCTTGATGATCCAGGTATATGGCGCACCCGTCTACACGCCATTCATCCGAAACAATCCCCCGCAGCGCGTGTTGGAGGTTGGATGTGGCACAGGTTTTTGGAGTATGATGTGCCATCGATACTACAAGGAGCGAGGCCACAATGGTATCCAGTTCACAGGCATTGACATCGCGCCCCTGGCCCCTGGCAGTCCTGGATCCCCTGCCGAGCTGTGCAAACCAGACAAGGACATGAAATGGAGATTTGTCCAGCACGATCTTCGACATCGACCATGGCCCTTCGCCGATGAAGAGTTTGATCTGATCATGGTCAAGGATACATGCCTGATGGTTCCTAGTCATGTTTATCAGCTTTTCGTGGAGGAGTATCTTCGTATGCTGAAGCCCGGAGGAGTGATGGAGATCTGGGACAGTGACCCAACATTCCGCATGCTGCGACCTCATGTTCCAAGCGCATTGCCCGGATCAGAAGAAGCAGAAGAACACGAGGCTGCCCTTGATCTTGGTGCCTATCTCATGACATCAAAGACACCACTTTCAGCTCCTTTGAACTCGTTCTTGGTTGAGTACAACACTTGGCTGTCGAGAACTCTGGAAGGTCGGCAGCTTTCTCCTGTGCCGTGTTCTCTCATTGGGGCATTCCTCCACGCTGAAGCAGAAGTGCTCATGGACATCAAGACAAAACGTCTAGCCATTCCCCTGAGTGAAGTCCGATGGGAGCGCGAAGGCGTCGGCGGTGTTGTCACCAAGGATGGCAAGTCGTACGTGGAGATGAAGGCCAAGTCAACACCGCACCAGAAGGTCGAGAAGAAGACCTTGACACCGGGACAATCTGCGCTTCGCAAAACGGCGCTTTTGACAGTTGCGCAACAAGTGTCGGCACTGGAACCTATCATCAGAGAAGCGAGCGGCAAGAGCCAGGATGAGTGGGATGCGTGGGTAGCTAAGATGATGGCGGATTTGATGAGCGAGAGCGGGACAAGTTGGGGAGAATGTTTGGAGTTGGGAGTGTGGTCGTCAAGAAAGAGACCACGCAAGGATTGAGCCCTGGGAGTCATTGTGGTCATTGTACCGCAAAAGCAAAGATGATCTTCCCAGGTGGACTTTGACGAATGGCTCAACATCTATGTCTCATGACAGATGCAAGACTGGAATGCTTTCCCTGACACAATAACTACACACACCCTGGACCTCAACGTCCCAAAGAACCTCGATCAGCATCTTCTACATACACATACCCCCCTTCCCTTTTACGCGTTGGCGTCATATCGTTTTCTCAATGTGCGATACCTTTTCAAGTAGTACCTATACCCATATGATTAGTAAAAAGCAGGTTGACGGATAATGGTTGGGATATCAGGATAATGTAGCTTTTGGGATAAATGAACTTATTGGCATGGACTGGAGTGTTATGACGAATGAATTTTGATGTGATGGGATGGCTTGAGTCGATATGTGATGTTTAACAATAGACGTTGATACTCGTAGCATACAACATAAACAGTTAAGCAAACTCAAATGTGATTTGCAAGGTGTCTTCGGATGTAAAGGACGCAATTCTAAGGGATAGGAACTCACAATGCTTCAATCTCTGTTATCATATAGGTTAGCCAATACAAGCAACCCAACAAGTTGAACATCATACCTTTCTTTACATACTCGGCCTGGGCAATTCCCTGACGGATCTTATTCTCATCACGTTCCCCAGCTTTTGAAATGAAGGCCTTATGAAGACGAGGTCGAAAGTAGCCAAAGCCGAGGGGATACTCTCTTCCCAAATACAGAAGCTCTATCATAGTACGGTCAGCGCATGCCCTGTTTGACAACTCCAAGCTTTAGCAAACCTTTATATATGGCGATGACTTGCCGTCTTAATTGCGGATTCAAACTCATTATCAACTGTGTTTGTGTATAGCTCAGGGTCTCATACAGCCGTGGAATACCGATGATGTATGATGCCGTCGCGGCCATGCCCAGACTGTAGCGTAGACCCCCACTTCAGCCTCGCTATAGCTCCAGCCACAGAATTTTAGATTCAACGTCTGCATTACACCATCGCCAACTGCTTTCGAAGTTTTCGATCCACACCATCGCGATACCTCGAGTCGAGATCCCTTGCTCACATCCCGGTTCTGTTCCAGAAGCCAACCGCCATGTTACTGAGAGGCCACAATGCTCTGAGAAGCTCCAGAGCACTCTTCAGACCGCCGAGCCTTGTGCGTTGCTTCTTCAATAAGTCAGATACCTCGAACATAAGAATACCACAGCCGAAGAAGGCAAAGGAAAGGCGAGCCACAAGGCCCTGGCCAAGTGGTCGAACGGGGCCAGGACGCTCAGCAGCACGTCCGATTCACAGAAGGGATCCTGGTACCACGTATACCACGGTTAAAATTCCGAATAACTCCACAGCATATATAAGATGGCCGACCCTCAAGAACTTCAGATCAGCGCTGCAACCACGAGCATATAAAACTATCAGTATTGGCGGCGATGAAACAGTCGATCACTATAAGGAGCTAGCGTGTTTTCCTTACTTATATAACGATCTCGGCGTTATGATCTTTGAAGGCCCGGACAAGAACCAGGTTCAGATCATGGGAAATATTATTCGAAGCGTCGAACGTGAAGAAGGTAGGCTGCAGGATATAGATTGGGCCACGGGCAATACCTACACGGTGAGGTATAACAAATGGAACGTGTATCGTATAAAATTAGATCCAAAAAAACACGTTGAGGCAGCTTCTTTGACTGATGTATGCAAAGATTCCAAGGTGATAAAGCATATGATGCTAATTCCTTGCAGAAACTAAAAGGCAGCATAACCCCCACGGGACTGCATGACCTTACCAATATTGCATTTGAGAAATGGAAAGCGGATGGGGTTGGAGGACCTGTCCCTGTTGAAATTGTGCCTGGCTCTAAGAAGATGTACATTCTGAACCACAGTCAAGGCCCAGGGCTAATGAATGCAAGCCTCTCTCCTTGTTGCTCATATGATCTCAGGCTGACATTTTTCCTCATAGGAGACCATCAGTGGGTTGTATCTGCCTCAACTGCATGTCTACGTTGCGACTGGGATTCGGGGAGGCACAATCTACATGAGCATCGAGTTCCATACTGTCGGCACAAGGCGCTTCGTCGGCGTCACATACCTCAGACTCAGACCGACGAACCAAAACCCTGCCACTGCCGAGGAGAAGATAATAGGCGGTAGGCAAGCAGATCACTATTCCGAAAAGCGATATTTCGGACACAAAGTGGTAAATAACCCTTCACCACCCCCGGCCAGAGACATAGGAAGTATACAGACCTTTTACGACAAGGTAGCACCAAGTAATACAAGCCGAAGCAGTAGCATCTCCAGGGCAGCGATGGGCAAGCTATTCAAGCTAGAGCAGAAACTCTGGTCGAGGAGGAAGAAGGCTATCAAGAAGGAGAAGGTCGATCTTGCGAGGGCCTAGAAAACATAGAAAGAGGGAGAAACTGGCGAGGATTGCAGCTGGTTTGGAAGAAGGGTTCAAATTTCACTTAACCCCCTGGAGAGGGTATTCGGGTGTTGACGGAGAAGCTTAGCACGGGACATTAGAGGTGTTTATTGAAGAGGAGAGGGAGTTGCGTGGGATGAGTATTGAGGGGTGAGGTGAAGGGGGTTTATGAACATCGCTGTTGATATGGATATAGATCATGGCGAGGTTCTGGTACGCTTGTAGGATATCACATCATGAAAACACCCACTCCGGGGAATGCTATTTGCAACTATGAATCCATATTTCACAACTTCTACAGTATCCTGGAGAAAAGAACGGCAACTGATCAATGATCTCAACTTCCACAAGGACTCAGATTATATTCTTGACCAAAGCCGACTATGATCATGAAGGTGGGAGATAAAGAAAGCTCTGTTCCATCGTAAGACAAAAGCATGTTAGTTCATAAGTGCAATGAGTAAAACCTTACCGGAACGCAACCGGGTAACAACTGCAAAGCTCGAGATAGCTTTGCTCACATGAGCAAGTTGGGGACTACAACAATAACGAGGCATCAATCTCTGGTGGCCTCATTGCATGCAAGTTACTACTATAAAGACATTTCCGGCGCCAGAATGCTTGCATGCTTCAGTTAAGTGTGTCCCGTCATGATTGGCGTGAAGGGTACCAGACGAGACGAATAAAAGGTTGAGTGCGGCCGGCAACATCGGAATTCTTCTCAGACTGTCAAGCCGGAACTCATGATACCAGTAAGCCAAACCAGAGCAGGCAAGTTGTCACAAGCCACACCAACAGGTATCAAGCTTGTACCTGATAGACACGAGACATGCAAACACATTGGGTTGCCTGTTTAGGCAGTCATCTCAAGTCATACCATCCCCAAGCAGGAGTCCCTCGTTATCGCTCTCCGAGGCCATTTATGGTGGTTTTCGCGTCAATCACACCCCGGAAAGAAAACAACGCATCGGAAGCACAACCGGAAAGCGTGATATCGGAAGATATCACAGCACATCATGCCCTGCAACATTACAGCACCTGCGATTCTCTCCGTCCAGACAGGGCTGGCTTCGAGTGGCGCCCGTCATGCAGCAGCACGGGGCATCCCGCATGAAAAGAGACGAAGCTCCAAAGCTTCCCCCGCCTAGAACAGGGTCCAGAGTATCATAGCTTGTGAGTTAGTTTTTATGGATTCAGCTTCAAATCTACAGACCAGAGAAGATGTGAACTTGATGATATCAGACCACTGTGATGGTTCAGAGTGAAACTGACACTCAGACCATTTACAAAGATTCCTTATCCGTAGAGGCTGGTTCTTTATCCGCTCACCGTCATTTGACACCACCCCATGGTCGAGCACACGAAACAGAGTGCACAGAAAGCTGATATGCAGGGTTGCAGGCGTAATTTGATAGGGCGAGCCGAAAAGAAGTGCGAGAAGTGCCGACGGGGGCGGCACCCAAACAGATCCCCCTCATCGATAGGGATCAAAGCCAAGACCTGAAGGTGGTGCTTCGATTTGCTAGCGGGGTAGCGATCATCACTTGCGTCGTGGAGACTCCTCAGGAGTGTTGTTGTGAACAGTTTGGATGGTTTGTGTGGTTGAGGTAGCAATGAATCGCCTTGTTTCTGTCCGCATGCCATCATCGCCTTGCAAAATTGTTCCATGAGCAAACAAGAGGATACCCAAGAAAGAAACACTTCCAAGGCTTTCCATCACCCAATTCACAGCTTATGGCTGGATGGTGTTTAGTAACGGACTCGCATAAGCATGCGTGAGCACAGCCGTTTGGGTCGTGGCAGTCGATCACTGTGCGATGATCTATTCTTGAAAACAAAACCTATGCGGGACGATCGGCGCTTTTAGTCGTCAACTGACGAAAGAATAAGGAGGGGTTTTTTCTGGTGTTTTATGCGACAGCTTCATTTTTGTGTGTGTTTGTGTGGACCTTATCAAAGTCTCTGCAGTATTTTACAGGGAATAGCTTGCAAAATTGAGCAGCCTTGACGATGTAACCATGAGCTTCAAGGTTGAAATTTGTTGCACTCCATCGGTGATTGTCCATATCGAGACGAGGCTCTTTGTTGATGGTTGCAAGACAAAAAGCGGGACGTGAAATTAGAGCAAAAAAGGGCCAAGAAAAACTGCCGAAAGTGAAAAAATGGACTGAGTCTAATGACTCAAGTACCGTCCCGGGGAGTCGATCAGTCTCGGTGAGTCGGGAATTAATTGTTGTTTTAGGCGCTGAATTCCAGATAAAGTTCCTGGGCCATGTTGCATGATTTGCAGCCAGTGGAATGTACTGTCTCATCGTTGTGAGGCAAATCGCGATGCTGAGTCTGGAGAAGAATAAACAAAAAACTTCATCCTAAAAAGACTGGTTGTTTCATCACGACTCAAGACCAAATATTTCAGCTTCCTTGTCCTTGTCCGTGTCCGTGCAGTTGATGACCCTAGGAATAATCCATGTCATCCTAAATGCTTTCCCCCTTGAGCCAACTCAGGGCCTTTCCCACAACGGGCAGGCCATAGCGCTCACGACGTCAGAAGCCATGGCAGTAAATTCTCTTTTTTCCAATGCCACTCTACCCGTGGACTATTCGGCCGTCGCTCCCTAGACACACCTTGATCCGGCCGAGGTGAGATGAGGGGCGACAATCCCAAAGCTTAACATCTGGGGCATGATTCGCTCATCTTGTTGCTGACATGTGCCTACGTATCGGAGTCTACCGAGTCTTCAGTGTCAGCGCAATTGCTGATGATGGATACTCTTGATGAGGCTGGAATTGTTGATGTTTTCTTGCATTGCGGAGAAGCCCTAGAACCGGCAGAGCCGGGGTGTGCCCTGGCCAATGTCTAGCAGAGCGTGTAAGCGATGGCGTGCCCACGCGAATGTTACATTGTTGATTTTATATCGAGATGTGAGTGAGGAAATCGGGCACATGGAACCTAAGCAGTCGTGACAAGAACCAGGCTATATAACGCAGTATTAAGGAACTGTGATAGAAACAAGATGAGACCCTGCAAACAAACGTCAACGCAACAACACAGCCAGGCATTGTGCTGTCAGTCAATTCGACCTGAAGAATGGTCTTGTGACGAATGTGGACAAAGACTTTGGTCCCTGCCAATTATTTCCCGTCTTTTCGCCTCGTCTCATCTGCTATGCTAAAAACAGGGTTCACACAGTGAGAGGCACGGAGTGTTTCATGGTGGAGCATGTGACTCCCCAATGGATCAGATGTTTTTACTTGAGAAAAACCACTTTCAGCGCGAAGAGGGCGCTATTTAGAGAATTTACTGAAGCTAGTATCTCGATTCTATCTATCATGATCTTTTGTTCTTAAGTTTGAAGGCATCGTGCTGGAAATACAGTAGACATTGATCCTCGGCTGCTGATCATCATCGTCTGTGGGCAAGACTCAGCCATTGAGCGCAGTCTAGCGCCTCAAATTAACCATCTCAACCTTGTTCCTGTGTACCTGATCCGTTGGCATTCAAGAAACCAAAATTGACCAGAAACGGAATTTGACTATGGGTGATCCACTTGCAAGAACCCAGATGATGGTACATAGCGTTAGCGATTCAAGCCTTAAGATCTATCGCAGATTTCATCGTCAACGGCTTCATTTATTTTCAGCAAAAACTTGCATCCCTAACTCAAAACTTCAGCTTGACGCGCCTTTAGCGCGCACTAGAATAAGCTGCCCCCAACTGCCCCAATTCCGCACTCCAACGGGGATCGATCTCGTGCAGCTCGAAAACCATCCATTGGCAGTTAAAGGTTGGAGCCCTGCTGGCTGAGCATCATGGGAGCCACTAGGACTGCAGTGGATTCTAGCATCCAACAGCGTCAAACAGCCGCGTTGGCTTGTTGTTGGCACAGTGCGAGTCCCCCTCTCCCCGCTATTCCCGTTCCCATCTATCCATCATCTTTGCGTTCTGCCACTCCATTCCTTATTCTCTATTCCTTTCTGTTTCCTTTTCAATCCAATCCAATCCAATCCAAGCCTGGGCTTTGACAGCCAAAAAATCTCCCACCTCCACCACCTGACTTCAACCAACAACCAACCCTACCTTGCCTTGCCTTTTTTTCCTTGCCTTACATGACCTTATCTTTCCTACTATCCACTTGACAACATCCCACTGTAAATCATCTCGTAACCGATCAAAACTACCTCCTTGCAACGTTCATTACTTGCTTTCTGCGGCCCTCCGGCCGATCTTGGCAGGTTTGCTTGTTGCATTTTGACGATAGTTCCCCTCTTGTCGTCGCCCTTATCAGTTTGATCATAGCCTTTGTCGCCCGTGTTTCCTTTTCCCGACCGTTTTCAATTCGAATGCACATGTCGACCACGAACCTTCTTGTCGCAACGGCTCGCCTCCCAACTCTACTACATATTATTCCGAGACCCGATACTTTACCCGTCCTTTCGTGTTAAACTCGACCGAGACGCCATAACGCTCGAGTCGCCAACTCTCTGTACCAAGCCATTGTCCTGAAAGGCTTGTCCCGGCTGCCGGCCCTGTTCCCAAGTGGTTCCTGGGTTCGTCAGACTGTGGCAGCAAGACAAGTCGTTGCGCATGCCTCGCGCTCCAGGTTCGAGTAAGCGACAGCAAGGCGCCACCAGTCATCGCGATAATCGCCATGAGAATGGGCTTGTAGGTCCTGCCAAGCGTTCCTCTGACAAGAAGGGCTCAGGCCTGCTCGACAACTCTCTTCGCCGATCTGACCAAGGTACTGCTGGCGCTGCTGGACAGTCGACGCCTGTCAATGGTCACGCCAACAGCCCGTACAAGCAGTGTGTATATGATGCCTCCAACGACTCCCGTACCGACGACCTCCGCCGCTCCTCTCTTGACGCTGTCTCCGAGATGTCTTCCGACTCGTCCAACGCCAACGGCCTCAGTGGTGTCGAAGCTGGCCACCGCCAGATCGACGTCAATGCCATGAAGAACGCTGATGTCCACCGCGACTCGGGCCCGTTCGACCTCGCAACCACGGTTCTCAAGTCTCTCCCTATGCAGGACACACTCGCTATTCTCATCATCCTTATGCACGTCCCATCGCTCTCGCTTACCGTTATATACACCATCTTCACGTTCCTTACCTTTGTTCCTCCCGTCGCCACCAGTTCGGGTATGAGCATCAACCTTGCCGAGATTTTCGACGGCAATTCGACCATGCCGTCTCTCGTAACTGTCTTGTGTGTTGACTTCTTCTTCCTTCTGATATGGCTCTTTCTGTGGGGTCCAATCCAGGACGCTATCCTGGATTTTGCCAAGCCAGTCATTGCCATCACTCTTGGAGGAGGGACGAGTGCGAGGGATGGAACATCGAGAGGCCTAACCACATGTTTTATGTGGGTGATAGGTCATCACTTACTTAGGGGCACCAAAGCTCATTGGGGTCGTGTGGCTCGACACATACCGGAGCACTGGCGGTTGCCCCACGTTTTCAATAACTCAGTCGATTCTGCTTCTAGCGCATACGATAAGATGTCTGCCTACGGATGGATTCGAAGTGTTCTCGCCATTCATATTTTAACTCAAGGAATTGTGCGGTATATCCGAGAATGGTATCTCAGACGCGAAAAAGCCAACGCTTCTGTTGGTGCCAGCGATCCTGAGGCCGGAAAGCCACCAAGTGTGATCAGCGATACGGCCAATGAAGGAGGCTTCGCAACGCCTGATTCTGAAGCAGGCTTGAATTCGACATCCACAGTACCTACAAGCAAAAAAAGAAGAAAGCAAAGCACTCAAGTTCGTTTACAGCAACCACTATGGGCGGCATTGGCGAGCACCAAGATTGTTGTGGTGAAGGAGTACGAGCTATCCCATGCGGCTTCAGAGTCTGCTGGAACTAATGCTACCGACATTCACAATCTTGGTAATGCTCCGTTCAACAACCAACCCAACCAAATTTGGATATCCTACATTGGTAGCGATGAAGTTTGTTTTAACACTAGCCATTTTCCCGAAATCGACGACGACGAGCCGCGTTCGGTTGAATCTTCAGGTGAAGATTCCAGACCAGCCAATATCGACACCTCGAAGCCATTCTACGTCAGAGTTAACAATGCTGTTTGGCAGCCTACTCGCATGTTCCCGATCGAGGAGTCCCCAGGAGAGTCTCACGAAGGAGTTCGGTGGACTGGCGATATCTACGGACTCAGACCTGCTTCCAAGTATGTTTGCGAGTTTGTGGATAGCCAGACCGATGAAGTTCTGTTTTCAACCAGCATCAGAACCGTCCAAGCCACTCAGCGCGAGGCCGATGGTGTTCCACCGCCTGTTGCTAACGGACAGCGCTCCCTTCACCCGGATTCACCTGCCCTGACTCTCAGGACATCGATTGCTGCGGTCGAAGCCAAGCTTAGTGAGGAGAGGTCCCGCCTCAAGACTCTACGAAAGGAGTACAAGAACCGCGCCAACGCCCTCAAGAAGGACAATGAGTTGACGGATAATCAACTCTCTTCGGCTGGAAACCATGACGAAAAGTATCGACAGAAGATTCGTCAGCAAGAGACCCAGAAAGCCCAGGCAGAGCGTGACACCCAGCAACTCGCTGATCAGCTCAAGAACTTCGATACTGCACCTGAACTCGGTGAACGTAAAAAGAAGGTCGAGAAGCAGTACAGTAGCGAGAAGAAGGTTTTCGAGGCCGCTCAGAAGGCGTTCAAGGAGTACAAGTCCGGACTGGAGAAGGAGATCAAGGCCAAGGAAGTCGAGAAGTCGAACCTCAACACCCGCCGTAACAAGGTGGCGACTCGAATTGCTAAGGTTGAGAACGAGCTTGCCAACATCACCGACGCCAACAACCGTGGCCTTGATGAGGCAGAACGACGAAACCAAGAGCGTTCCATTTGGCAGGGCCATGTCGCTGGTATCGAAGCCAACTACAACGAGCGACTGGCTCATGTTCGTGCGAACAATGCCAACAAGAGTGAGGAGATTCGACACTTGCAAATGCAGCTGCAGAGTTTCCACGAGTACATCAACTCGAACGGCATGTCTTACGATATGATGCCTCCTCTCGACGCAGGACACTCTCACCTTGGTCCGCCTTTCCAGCCTACGACTTCGAGTACTTGGAACCCCGATCCCACGGCTCCTCCTCACTACCCAACTGGTCTCTGGTCCACTTCTGACAACGTCCTCCCCTCGGCATCGGCTCCAACTCTCCCGTCCATGTCCCTTTGGCAACCTCCCCCGACTGCGCCTCCCTTCGAGCCGCGCATGACTCGCTCTCGCGGACGTAGTTCCAGCATGCTCAGCAACGTCAGCGGTTTCACGCAGTCGAGCGGCGAGGAGTACGCATCGCCGCCCATGGACTCTCACCGGGTTAAGCACATCTGGGCAAGTCGCACCAGGGCCAGCGGTGGCGGTAGCAGCGGCAGCGGCAGCAATGGTGATCCGACGAGCCCCAGGTGAGCGAGCGGTCGAGTTTGGCTGGGTGATGTATGGCTGTGATGGAAGGACAGCGGCTGTTTGGTTTGATTTCGACAGGCTTGGCTGTTGGATAGCGCTTGCAGTAAATAAAAGTAGTGCCATTGTTATTTCCGTCTGTTGAATGGTGATGTCTTCGTGTCTTGTACTCTTTGACCAGTCCTTTCCTCGTCCCCAAGCGGGGTTCTTCGGGCAAGCGCGCCGAGATGAGTCTGCTCTTTCCCTCAGGATCTCCTTACCTCATCTCTTATATCGTGGTTCCCTTCTTTGATCTTATGTCTTAATACTCCCCTGCTTGGCTCTTCATCCTCTATCATCGTCACCACCAAACACTCTCCGGATTCCTTTGGTGTATGAACAATGGCGGTCCACGCATTTGACCCCTTCTAGAGGCAAAACTTAGGATCTATATCCTAAGCGATGAAAAGGTTTAGGTAGGTTGAGTATAATTTAGTGTGTCTTTAGACTATTTGTTTTGGCGCCTTGGTTGAAGGTTAGGACTATTCTTCCTCCCAGATGCCCTTCCAGTTGCGATGCTTGTCCAGCTTCTCATCCCGCTACTCGATTGCTAGGCTTTAGAACAGACAAAGTTGTTGGGCGCTAGGCAGCTCAAGAACAAACCATTACAATCACATCACATCACGTTGTTCGGGCATTCAAGTGTTTGTTCAAAGTCGCAGTGCGCTTATGTTCATTCAATTACTCTTCGTGTATATGTATGTACTAAGCCAAGTGGTGACCACATTTAGGTTACAGTCATCAGCTAGAATCCGAGCACATCGTTACCAAGTACATATCCATCTTCCAAGATCACCACTGAATACATCTAGAAGCCCAACTCTCCCAGCTTCTGCTCAGCCTCCTCGCACATGGCCGGGTGAACGACGGTCTCGATTGCGACAAGTCGACGCATCATGCTGGCCATGTCAGACTTGAGCTGCTTGTTGGCATCCTTCTCCTCATTGAGGGCAAAATTCTGCGCTTTAACCTTCTGCTTGAGCGTAGCATTCTCCTTTGACATATGCTAGATCAACTTGGACATTTCACCTTACTTGCTGCCCAAGTCCAGCAACTACAGGGGAAAAGATAGCGCCCATTGCTCTACCGAAGTCTTTGAAGGAATATACTTACACTGTCATGAACACGGCCCCACCTCTTGCTATCGACCTCAGCCATATCGTCAAGGTCGTCGGAAAACCCGTCTAGCTGTTTCTTGCAGTGGGCGTGGAGTTGGACTCCTTTTTCCTTGATTTCCTTGACATCCTAAAACTCTTCCTCGATCTTGTCGACCACGGGCTCCAACTCGAAGATCTCGGCACTGGTTGTGGTGATCAGTTCGCTGTTTTCTTTAATTGACTCCTGCTGCTGACCGAGGAGTGTCGTGATCGTGGCGATCTCGAGCGGGATGTTGCATTCTTCAAGTGTTTCTTGCTAATCACGTCCGTCAGCTAAGGGTTCCTAAGCTGAGTATGTCTGCACCTCGATATGCACTTTGAAACCTCTGGTGCCGCGACCACTGAGCCCTGCTTTCCAGTCCCAGAGCAACATGATTGACCATCTGGACAGACCCCACACGATATGCCGTAGCGATATTAAAGCCCAAGACGCAACTTAAAGGCAGTGTGGACTGTACTCCCGAGGTATACTGGCACGAGACCGCGATCCCCAAAGTCAAAGGTGTGCCCAGGCTAAGCCTGGAGATACCAACCCAATGTTTCGACAGGAAGAACTCAAGCGACGGGGCTCAGATGTTACCTTCCCGGGCCGAACTGGATATCTGAGTGCTTGACTTCGAGGACCTGGAAGCAACCCAAGCTGCAGGCCAAGCTAGGCTTGGAGATGCTCACATGAGCACCTGGATCCACAGCTCAGGACCCAACATCCAAGGCCGTGGCATTTGAAAGCAGACACGAGGGCCTGAGCGTTATGCTGGGGAACTTTGATGCTTCTGGCTCGCATGCGGGGAAGAGGGGGCAATGAGAGGAGTGCAGTCGAGGGTGGATGAGAAAAGAAAGCAGACATACCTTGGCAAGATGAGTTTCCACGTTACTCATAACGACCTCGGGCTGTGAGAGTTTGGTCAGACCCATAGTTGAAAGCGGTTCACGGTCAATCACTTACTGAATGAGGTGTCTGGGTCGTGCCAGACTTTGCGGCCAATGCTCGACGCACGCCTTTGGGTTTAGCGGGCATCTTGAGTAGAGGAGGATAGCGATGCACTATGCTGAAGTTTATGAAGGGAAATGCGAAAGTAGAAGGATATGTTACTCTCTGTCGAGGGTGAGAGGGTGATGAAGAAGGAAGAAGAAGAGAGAGAGAGAAGGAGGGGGGAGAGGGAATTTATAGGCTGCAGATGGAGGGACTGGTTACGAGAAGCGCACCGTGAATCACAGTGGCCGCATTCCATTGTTCTCTACTGTGTATTCAAACGACAGTGCTGAATGGGTGATGGGTCGTGAGAAACGTGAAGCCCGGCTGGCGATGACAGCTGGCAGCAACTCGCATCTGGCAGTGCACTGCCAGTGTTACTTATCACCTTACTCTATCTAGCGTAATAAGAGGTTCTCTTGATTACCTTTACCTTCCATTGATTCTCTACCTAAGTATCCATTCTATCTCTTTATACCTCGAAATCCTTGCTAAACTTGCATATGTTCATCCATCTACTCTACGCCCCCGACATCGAGACTCAAACTTCATCGTCAACATGGCCCGCAATCGACCGAGCTCACGGCGCCGACATGTTTGGCGAAAAGCTAGAGAGATGGAAGAAAAGGGCCAAGCCGAGGCTGCCAGCGATCCAGCTCAGGCCTCGACCACTGAAGCTGCCACCAGTGCTTCAGCTCATGATGCTAAAGACACGGCTGATGAGACAAAGGCTCGTCCTTGTAAGCATCGACATCTTCCTGTTTGTCTTCTACCTTTCTCTTTTTTCATATTCGTTGAGCTCACATATTCTTAGGATCGTCACTACTACTATCGCGAGGAGAAGTTTGACCTTCGCTTTTTTACCCTTGATCGACGTATCAATGAACGACTTGATGACAATATTGCAAAGGGACGCGCTGCCATAGATGCAGAATATCATCACCACACTGAGGAACTGCCCCGTGAACATAAAAAGCTGTTAACCAAAGTGGAGAGGGAAGCATATAAGATTCAACGCGGATACCGAATGGACATCAGAAACACGGAAAGAGAAGTCGCCAGCCTCAAACGAAAAGTGGCTGAGATGCAAGAGGAAAATGAGGATCTCCGGGATGAAATCAGGCGTGAACGTCGCCGCACTCGCCGCATGATGTTCCAGCGATACGATGACTCTTCGCATGGCCAGGAGGCAGAGTGTGCAGAGTGAAGATACATGGAATATCTGGAAATGGTGGAAGAAGCATTGGTTGTGATTGCCAGAATGAGTGTTGGTGCAAGCCGGTAGACATGGGAGAGCAGAGCAAGGCAAGGCAGTTTACATTGTATTGTAACCAACACAAGCCGAGAGGTGGCTAAGATATCTCAGATACTTGCTATTGAATTCACCTCGTATTAGCCTTTTCTTGTGGTGTAATCGTCTTCCTTGGTTTCATTAAATGTCGAAAGGTTCGTCCTTCTGCATCTCCCCACTGGTGGGCATTCACAAAGAAGGGCCCCATGTCAGAACAAATGAGAGGGCAGCTGGTATCAATGTTTCTGATAGCTATGATCTCGTTCAAGTTGATGCTTTATTTTTCCACTGAAGTTATGAATTGATTTACCCTGTGATTGTGCTGCCCAATTGAATGAGCATTTGCTTGCCGGCCATGTGAAGGGAATGATATGTGCTTGTAAGCACATGTCCATAGCATCCGTTCAAAGGCCTATTCAACATACACATAGAACAGACCCTCGGCCCAGCAAGTAAAAGAACAACAACAATGTTCACTTGTGAACTTGCGCTCGGATGAATTATCTGCAGTATAGTAGATCGAGTCTCTTCAAAATAGGGGTCACAGCTACCCTGAACCTGCAGCCACACTCATCTTAGCCACACCGAGCGCCACATGTCCACTCGGATGTCCCTGGACCCAGGAGACAACAGCTCTCAACACTTCAACTTACAAGGACCTGTGCGGTGCCGTTATGTGGTCAAGGTGACCTTTATTCCCTAGTTATAGTCGCCGGGAGATGACTTCAATATCGTCATGGATTTCGTGAGTATCCCATCGCCATCTGTCACTACAACCATGACACCCAACTAATTGCTCTCCGTACAGTGGTCGCGCTTATTGAGCCCTCTCTCGTCTGGGGGCACCCGCAAGGACCTGGGACATGATCCTGCGAAACGACTTCACCGGTTCGAAAAGCAATATAGCCTCTTACTCGTGAGGACCAGCGAAACCCGCCCATGCCCGCGACAAGCACTAACCAGAGTAGTCTGCTTGGAGAGCATCATCCAACCTATCTCGAGACAGCGACGCCGCCGAGACCCTTGAAATCCGCCTTCAGGAACTCACCAACATCCTAAGCGATGAGAGTCGAAGACCGTTACCGCATCCATGTATTCAATACTGCTCGCTCAAGCAAATCTACGTGCCCATTGGAAAGATCGCTACGACTTCGTACAATGAGTGGATCATTAAGGAGGCCGTCCTCTTCTTTGCGACCCTTATCGAGAGCGAGGAGGAAGCCTTTGTTGAGAACCAGACCTTTTCGGCCAGTCTGACGAATCTTCTCGTACGAATCACTGGCATCAACAGCGTGCGCCTCGGCCTGGATACAGAGTCGCGTGTCGTCGAGCTAGCATTTAACATCACAACCAAGATTCGGCTGGACCCGAGTATTCTACCAGCATGGTTCAAGACACATCGCGGCGTGGCGCTTCAAAACAGGGAGAAAGATGAGAACTCTCGCGATGCGTTTATTGGACGGACACAAAAGGCCGACTTCCCCCTGTTTTATATCCTCATGGACTATATTCACCATGAGGGCAAGGTGGGCGATTTTGCACGAACAGGATTACTGTACATCATCGAAGCTGCGTCGAGTTCAGGACCGCTGGAACAATGGATTGTTGAAAGTGACCTATCAACTTTGATGGCGACAGGTCTTGGCGCTTTGTACAGCCAACTGAGTCGCAAACTGGTCGTCGACCATCTTCCTCATAACCTACCCCCTATTCTCGCCTTCTCCGACTACGAACATCCTACATCCAACTACGAAGTTATCAGCTCATGCTCACCCGAGTTCCAATCTCATCTTGAAACTTTCTTATCACACCTCTTATTCTGGCAAGATGTCTTGAACCACTGTCGGTCTGTAGAGGTCAAGTCGACTTTGCTGGAGCATTTCCAAGTTATTTTCCTACAACAGTTATTGTGAGTCCCCACCGACTCTCGTCCCAAGCTATGCTAACAAGCCAGATACCCCTCACTGCTTGAGTCCTCTGATATCGACGGAGGCTCATCTGTGGCTGTTTTGACTTATCTTCGCCGTATCCTGGAATCACTCGATCACCCTGACATGATCAACCTCATCCTTCACTACCTCCTCGCACTCCCCGATAACATCGCTTCTGCCCGACCTGGTTCAAGCTCGTCTGTTAGCAAGGCTCGCAAGCGAAAGTCAATGGACCTGGCAACGATGTTGGCAGAAAGGGCAGAACCTGCTGCCACCCCCCTACTCTTCAACCTGGTTGATCTCATTCTCGCATGCTTGAGATCGCGGAATCAACAAACAATCCATGTTACCTTACAATTGGTGTCAGCTATTCTTAAGAGACACCACCGATATGCTATTGTTACTCTACTCAGAACTGATAACGTTCCTATTCAGAATGCCACTCGAACTGTTGGCGCTCAGGAGCAAGAGGTCGAATTCATCATGTCATTGGCGGGAACAATAGGAGGTGAAGATGACTTTGATGAAGTCTACCAGCTTGTCCTTCGAGATACTATGTCTAGGCTTGAAGCGCACCCTTGCTCTCTCAAGCTTGTCGCGCCTAGGGCTTCTACGAGTAACCAAAGGCTCCCCGACAGCCTCCCCGGAGCACCTAAAGAGGTTGTAGATCACACTCTACGACCCGATGATCCCCTTCTCAACTCGCTACTGGATCTTCTGGAGACATTCTTTGTCAATCAAGTCGAAACGAATTTGTCCGTCACTGAGACACTTGTTGACTTGGCGGTCTGCGGTTTTATGAAGATCGAAGGATGGTTGACGCGAAGTCCAAGCTCTTATATATACGATGAAGTTGAGAAACCGAGACGTAAGTCTGCAGAGAACGAAGATGCAGAGAGCGAAGACGATGAAGATTTTGAGGATCTGCCATCACCAACCCCAGAACAGAAACAACTTCAAGCCATGGAACAATGCCGCCAACGGCCGCAATGGTCTCAGGCGTCTTTACCACGTGTTTTCAACGTTCTCAGAAGATTAGAAGGGCAGGTGGCTGCCTACAGAAGGAGTATTCCTCGATTTGATGAACTGGTGCAACAACGGCGTGATGCCTTCAGGACCGCGGATGCAATGTTACACCATGCGGGTCCCACACCCAGACCGACCCCCATCAGCGAAGATCCTCCTGATCGAGCAAGCTTTGAAGAGGTATCGCGCAACGCATCACCTTCCCGTCCGTCGGCACTGGAAGGATTAGCGCATCGTCTCTTGTCCGAGTTGGGAACACCGAGCCGCGCCAGCAGCCCGCGAGGACGCAAGGAGCTGGGTCGTAGCTCTGGAAGCGGCAATGCGACACCGGGAAAGTCTGTGCTTGGTTCCAAGGAGGCGTCTCATAGTAGGGGACGAGGCACTCCTGGCCGCAGCCACTCTCCGCCGAGGACGCTCGATACTATCGATTCAGTGCAGAAGGCCAGGGAAGAAGCGCTTGCACGACAGATGGCGGAATTTGCGGCTATGGATCAAACTATCCTCTCTAAGAAGGTGGGATTGCCGGATGTCAAGGTTGAGCCTATTCCTCTCAAGTTTGACAAGAAGCCAATGCCTGAACCTGTGGAGACTGAAGCTACGGAGGAGGAACATGTTGAGCAGGCTCCCTCTGAAGCTGATGAGGACCAGTTTGAGGATACTGTGACTGATATTACGGAGCAATTACCTGCGGAGGCGAATGATGAGGATGATGCGAAGACGGAAGATACGGAGACTGATCTTTCTGACGCCGAGACTGCGCCTGAAACTGCCGAACCGATTGAACCGATTGAGACGGGGACAGAGGATTCTACAGCTGCTGATGCTCCTGAGGAGGTCGAATCTGCCAAGAAAGTGGAAGCTAAGGATTCCGAGGCTGAGGAGACTGTAATAACGGAGACCGAACCTAGTGAGTCTGAGTTTCACGACCCCGAGACCAAGGAAGACGAACCGGAGGAACCTAAGATTGCGACACCTCAACGAGAGACTCGAAATCTGGACACACCAGAACCCGAAACTCCTCAACTCAGAGAAGCAAGGGAGAACACAACAACCGTTTCAGTGTCACATGTTGTAACCAACGTTATTATCCTCCAGTCCTTCCTCTTTGAGCTGGCTGCTCTTATTCAAGTCAGAGCAGGTCTATTTGATGAGGTGCGGTTCGTATAACGTGGGAATTGAACAAGAGGTGCATTTGATCGAAAGAACTTTCTCACGATTCATGAGCAGATGGCATGGGTACTTTACTTATAGATGGGGGGAGAAGGATTATTCTTATATTATAGATACCATGATCGCAGTTTCGTGTCTGGTGAAACGTGACATTTTGGGGGGTTGTGGATCGTAACTTCGTGTATTCGTATGAACCCAACGCCGGCTATATGTATATATCTATGCAATGTAATCATTAATTTCATGTCATCGTTTCATCCCATTCTATCCATCGTCTTATGACTCCATCGACGGCTTTGATTCCTTCTCTGGTGGCCTCCACCTCAAACCACTCGCGATGCTCTCTCCCACAAGCATCACATTTCTCTGCATCTTTCTTGAGACCCATGCCCGCTAGTTCGATGTGAACTAAGCGCTCTACTCGGTGCACATGCTGCGTCATGTGCGGAACCACGCCAGACGATTCCTGCGATCCAGGAAGATAAGGGTAGTATCGCAGAATCTCAACCTCATGACCACACTGGCGCTGCCACTGATTCAAGCGACGCTGAACATTTGCTGCGCGACCAATCTTGAGAAGCATCGTATTTTTCGATGTTGACGGGTCAGCGGCTGCGAAGCTTGAAACAGCGTTACTAGCGCTTCGAGATCGCGGTGGCCGATTCGGCGATGGTGGAGAGAGAAGCGAACGCGCTGCGTCAACAGGTGCAGATGACGAGTGAGATGTAGGTGTGAGCCAGAACATGTATATGAAACCAGGTTCTTCCGAAGCGCCAAAGGGACGTGCCAATTCGGCCATAAGCGCCGAGGCGGTCTGGGTGTCTACAGAGTCGGGGATGAAGTCTTTGATCTGCGCTGTCTGCGAGCCTGTGGATTTTCGTGAGCGTCGCGAGTTCTTGGCGGTAGATGTATTTGGCGATGCGGTAAGATGCTGCTTTGAGGTGCGTTTTGGGGGTACTGAGGCTGATGTTTTCTGAACGGGACGAGGTTGAGGTCGTGAAGGTCGAGATTCCTGAACATCCTGGAGAGGCACTGAAAAACAGCAGCACAAAAGAGACTGGTTTGGTTGTGGTTTCGGTCTCGGCGCGCTTTGCTTTCGCCCTTCTGTATCCCTTCTATACTTCTTCTTCTCCTGCAAATCCACCAATCCCAGCCTATCCGCAAGCGTATCCAAACTCGTGCGTCCTTCCAAAATCGGCGTCGAAGTAGCTCTAGGTCCAGGACTCGAATGCGCCGACATATTCGCCTGCTCTCGATGCTGCCAGCAGTAAAGACTCTCATCACGAGGATCGGGAGTAACAGGTCTTCCGCGCTTATCAGTCTTAGCCGTCTGCTGAACGGCGCGACGGCACGGGCGGCCGTTGGAAGTTAATCCACGACATGTTCCGTTTGTGGCTTTTGAGTCGGAGCGGTTGAGGTAAGACTCGGGGGTATTTGCGACAAAGGGCATTGTTTTGTTAAAAGGCGGTGGGTAGGGATAAAAGGAATGACGAGAGGAACAAAGAGAGTTGTTGGTTATAGGCGGTTTATCTAAACGAGGGAGGGAATTGGCCCGTGAAACAGGGAAGGAGAGACCCTGATTAGGAGTTGGAGAATGAACTGGGGTTTCTTGTTTTTGGACATCTTGGCTTGGCTGAAGTGGTTGATATTATTAGTGGTTGGTGAGCGAGGCTGAGATGACGGTGATGGAGAAGGGAGTGGGTGAGGTTGATGTGGCGGTGCGTGGCTGTGTTGGAGGCGTAGGCTGAATCCGCGGCAGCCTTTCGTGGCCAAAATATTATGATATGAATGATATTGTCGCGAGTATTTGATGACGGTTTCGTAGGTTTGTTTTGGTGGAGTGATTTGGTGTTGAGGATGGTGTGGTGTTGTGTTGGTAGTGTAACTCTGTCAATCAATGCCTTTTCAAGTTGAGTGAGGCGACGTCCTTATGTCGGTCGTTGAACCAATGATTCAACTGGCAATAATCATATACCAGGGACAGGGAATGGATTATGTATCACAGAGAAGATGTAAAGCGGCTGATATTTCTCGAACATTGAACACACTCATGTGACGCTGAGTATTTCGCTACTGATATGAAAGGGTGAGGGTATAGCCAGAATTACAGCCAAACAATTGGCAAGCTGCGAATATGCGAGAAGCGAAAATGGAGTTTCACCGTTACAAGAAGGTCTAGAGGCTTAATGTGGACAAATGCTCTTATATGTTCTGAATTAAAAAATGGTAACGCCGTGTCGCCAACGCCTTGTCTTGATTTCATGCTCAAACCCAAATTGCTCGAGACTGGGCCAGCTCCTCATTCGCAGAAATAACAACCTGATGCCCACTCCAAATTAGAAAAGAGAACCCTGATAAAACGACGCCAGAATGATGATGACAATTTGAACTATTCCACCCTGTTTCTGGTTCGCGCCCAGGGCGTAAGTCAACCTTGATGGCCCCGGACCTCAGCCACAAGCCATAGAGGCTCCTCACTACAGCGATGGCGACGGCGATGATGGACAAGATGTCTCCTCCGGTGCTGCTTGGCTCATGAAATTGAAGCCCACGATGCCTTCAGCAACGATCTTATCTCCAGAGGCGAGGCGTGAATACACAGAAACACGTCTTCCAATGATTCCATCACCGCCAACCTCAAGTGATAGCGGTCCTCGGAGTGATAGCTCGACATATTCGTGAGCTTTTGAAGGCGCTCCAAGAGAGAATTGGCGAAATAGGCCACACTCGCTTGCGTTTCTCGTCAAGTCACCACTAGAACTTCTGGACGTTAGCATGGAGCTGCTAAGAGGAAGATATGAGACTCACTGAATAACAACGTATAAGTCAGAGAAGCCCTTCATGCTGCACTCTTCGCCTGGCGTGAGTCTTGCATGCGTAGCTCTTGAACTCGAAGGACTACCAGGAGTGTGGAAAGCGAGATCACCACAGATGTTGGATGAAATGGAGTTGATGGGAGGGTTGAGAGCGGCGAGAGCTCCTCCGCGAGGTCGGTTTGTATATTCTGGGCCGCACATGGTGGTTTTGATGGTTTAAGTGAGTGTAAATGCACTAATGGAAGTTGGTGATGAACAGAGATAAAATGAATATGGAGCTGCATATAAAATGAAGAGAACATTTCTCTTAAAAATAAATAGAGTTATTACAAGATATAGTCACTGCTAGCTGGTAGTCTGAAACTTGCCGTATCTCTCTCGAAGTCTCTCACCCAAAGTCCAAGCCATAGACAACAGCTAAAAGAGAGCCAATCACTGCACCGCAAGGCCTAGCGTGGTTCCCAATTGGGCAACCTTTATAGGCGACAAGGTTCTGAATCAGCGGAGGCGCTCGAGCAAGTTAGCGAGTATGAGCAAGTTTGCGCAATTAGTGCTACTCTTCTCTAACAACAACCTACACACCCCAGACCAGAGCAACACCTTGATGAACTCGAGTCCCGAACTACGTACCAACGACCGTTCACCTCGTGGAAGCACGCAAGAATAAGATATTATTAATTGTTAGCTCTGACGCAATCGCTCTCCGTCATGTTCTTCTCTAGAATCCCGCTTCTACCCCTCTTCTTCTTTGTCTCATCTTCCTCCTCTTCGTCTGAACCTGATCTTGCTTCTGATCATAATCAAGCTTATACTGTTCTTCCGGATAATATTCAGTCTTTTTCTGCCATGTCTGTTGGTTCTTACTCTCTTCCGGCGCTGCCGTACGCCTATGATGTGAGTTCCCCGCCTTGATATGTGGCATGAAGTATGAGAAGCTAACAATACAAAGGCCCTTGAGCCTAGCATTTCGGCTCAAATCATGGAACTTCACCATAGCAAGCATCATCAGGCCTACGTAACAAATCTCAACGCCGCGCTAAAGAACTACGCAACCGCTACTTCAACCAACGACATCGCCGGCCAGATCGCCCTGCAATCAGCCATCAAGTTCAACGGCGGCGGTCACATCAACCACTCTCTCTTTTGGGAGAATCTCAGCCCTAGTAGCTCTCCTGACTCAAAGCCCGAGAGTGCTCCTAGGCTTAGTGCTGAGATCTCAAAGACGTGGGGCAGCATTCAGGCGTTCCAGGAGGCTTTCAAGAAGACGCTGCTGGGACTGCAGGGTAGTGGCTGGGGATGGCTTGTCAAGGATACGCATGGTCTGCGTATTGTTACGACGAAGGATCAGGATCCTGTTGTTGGAGGAGAGGTTCCCATTTTTGGTGTTGATATGTGGGAGCATGCTTACTACCTCCAGGTAAGTTTTCTACTTCAACTGTTTAAGAAAAGCAACTAACATGGAGATAGTATCTTAACGGCAAGGCTGCCTACGTTGATAACATTTGGAACGTCATCAACTGGAAGACAGCCGAGGCTCGATTCACCGGCACCCGCGAGGACGCCTTCAAAGTTCTGCGCGCTTCCATTTAACCAACGATGATATCACCAAGAGCACAAAGTTATTGTGATCAATATATTCATCCCGTCAAATTAGCACAAACAATGAAAAACACTCAATCTCAAGCTTTTGTTCTCAACATGCAGTGAAACTTGACGACACCATGGCAACGTGCTCTACTCGTGACACTCAATCTCGGATGGCTACCCATGCGTTTGACTCGTGCAGCAGGACGCCGTGTATCGTTTACTTTATCCTGACCGCCAAAGCCCGTTTTCTTGAACCCGTTGCGTTCTGTGCAATTTCACCAAGGAATATGTAGTCTGCTGCATGCATGTCTATCTACGCCACACGTCTAAATGTGCACTGTGGTAGTACACACTAAAAGCGGTCTGAGGCAGCCTGTCGTGGGATTCTGTGATACCATGCCTGCAAGTTACAATACCGCTGTATCTCGGTACAAGCTTTCTTGTGTATTTCCGGATTTGTTTTGTTCAGCTGTAAATATGAAGCTTGTGTCGTGTCTGTGCTACGGCTTCCATGCATGGGTGAGCTTCACGATACCGCACGATCGGAAGTTGAGATCGATTGCATTGAGAACTTTTGTAGAAGATGATAAATTCCTGTATTATACGTTGTCGCTGGATGTGACAGTGAGACGTTATACTGACTCACCCACTTCACCTTTTTCAACTCGCATAATCCTAAACTATCTAGACATCCGCCACTTTGACCTCACGGGAACCAAAACGGGCTGAAGCATCAAACCGTAACGACTCCTGTCGCCACGGTACGGTCCTTCAACAAACAACAAACATCCAACACCATGGCATTGCCGGAACCCGAAGTCACCAACGGGAAGAATAATCTCCTAGACGGCAAGACGAAACATACAGCACGGATAGACACATCTCCTTAATAATAGAATTGCGGTCTTTCCGGTATCACGGCGTGGTGCGGCATCAGGGGTCACCAACTCGTGCGAGGCCTCAGCGAGGGAGAATGAGAGGTATAAAGAGTCGAGATGAAGCAAGACTAAAGACTTGAATTCTTCAGAGTGAGACCACTGGAAATATTTGGCGCTCGTTGTCATTCGTTTTTTTACTCATTGCCATATTCTCAATACAGTCGCTTCTGGAATCTTCGCTTTTCCGAACATGTCTCTCTTCGCTCGCCTCACCCTCGTGGTGCCCTGGCAAGTTATTTCTTGTTGTCTCTCGGCTGGGATAGATACTGACTAGTACAGGGCATTGGTTGTTTGTGCTCAGCGAACGGTTACGGTGACTGATACTGTTACTGACTACTCTACCATCGCTGAGTACGAGACTACCACTACCACAGTCACAGAGTGTCCAACATTTGGCCCCGGGTTTTTGTTTCATCGTGCTGAGGCCACCGTGACTGAGTGTGCTCCCTCCTGCTATTCTACCGTCTCGCAGTGTACTTCTACCCAGTACATTGGCACTTCTTCTGGTATCGAGCTTCCGACTGGCTCTTCGGTTATCTTGTCTGAGTCTGAGACTTTCACCAACGTCATTTCTCTACCTACTGTTTCTATCCCTTCTACTACCATCTTTGCCAACACTTCTGTCTCATACACTTCTATCCCTGAGACTTCCAGTGTCGTCTCTCAGCCTGGTGTCTCCGTTGGTTCGAGTGTGCTTGCTGGAGGGACTTCATCTGAGCTGGAGTCTACTCTGTATAGATACTCAACTAGCACTACCACTCTGGAGGTGACGTCTGAGATCGTTACCAACCTTGAGACCATGCCTACTTTTGCTCCCAGTGTTGACTCTTCTGCTCTTGCACCTGGCACTACTCAGTTCCCACAGGGAGAAGAGTCTACAACACTCTCTGGGGGCTCGACTGAACAACCTTCTGAGTCTTTCCCTCTTGGAACCGAATCAACTCCCACTCAGGGTTTGAGCACTGAGACTTATGTCTCACAGCAAGGCAGCTCTACCCTCTCCGAAGGCACTGGCGTTTCTACTATTCCTGAAGGAGTCTCTACAACCACCCTCAAGTCAGTTATCACCAGTCAGATCACCCTCACCGAAAGTATCTCAACTGTTTACACGGCCTCCGCTGAGGCCTCCACATCTGAGGAGAACACTGAGGTCACCAACACATCCTCTCAAGGTGGCGGTGCTAGCACTGAAACTAGACAGAGTCCTGCTTCCACTGAGGACGTGAGCTCCGAGGCTACTATTCCTACTGCCGAGTCCACAGCCGCTGGAGTATCTACCATCACCACTGAAGCTGAGCTCTCCACCACTACGTCATGCATGTCAACCAAACATACACACATTTACGACAACACCACCATCATCCACAGCACTGCCGATCAAAGCGTTGACTCTTCCGCCTTGGCTGGATCTTTCACCTCGGCTTCTTCCTTGGCAACTGGTTATACCTCTGTCACCTCCGATGTGATTGAGCAGACTACAGCTCCTGGTGCTGAGACATCAGCGGGCCAAGCTGGAGTTTCGACTTCAGAATATCTTGAGAGCACGAGCGAGACTGCCCTTGGAGTCCAGACTACTCTTCCTACTGAGTTCATCCCCATCGAGTCCACTGCTTCTCAAACGGACTCTGAGCTTACCACCCTCTCTCAACCCATTGAAACACCCATCCCTTTTGTAGAGTCAACCGGTCCTCAAGGCTATGACTTCGGAAACCCCAGCTCCAACGATGGCTGGCCAACCGCTTCTTTCGCCTCAACCGCCGACGCAGCAACTGGCTTCACTACTCTCCTTACAACAAGCAAGGCCACTGAGGAGTCTTCTACCACTACTGGTGTCAAGCAACCCAAGTATGAGCCACCTGCTTACGAGCCTCCTTCGTACCGTGAGCCAGCTTATGTTCGTAAGCGATGGGGTTTCTAATGGTGAGGAGATGTAATGGCATGCTATGCTACTTCTTTTTCTTTCTTTTGAATGACTTGATGTCTTTCTACTTATTTGGTTGGGTCTTTATTTGTATGGGATATTGATCGAGGTATTGGCATTCGATGGGGGTAGATAATTGATAGAAAATTCAACGGGGTGGTTTCACACGTGTTCCTTGACGGGGAAAGATGTCTGCTCTTGTATGAGGCCTTTGACATGATGATATATGAGTGATAGACTCCTCTATGATCCATTACAACTACTCGATATGTCTACAGACGATGAGTGTCTATCTTACGCCATGCATATTCACTCCAACTCATCCAATTCAACATCCAAAGCACTTCCATTACCCCTACGCAACCTCCCAATCCATCGGTTCAACCATCCACTCCCACTCATCATCCCCTTGAGTTTCCCCCATCCCCATATGTTCATCCCCATCATCCCACTGCCTCTGCATCGCCTCCTGCACTCTCCCCGCCGCAATCCCATACCCAACCTCCAACCCTCCCAGGATCTGTCCCACAAGCCACGTCAAATCATACATCTTCAACGGCGGCGTCTCCTTGCCATCAGCAACATCCTTCCAGCGATTCCGAAGCTCTTTTGCTTTACGAAGCGCTTGATTAACCTCCCCTGTCCCTAGCGCTTCGTGGACCGGACAATCTGGCATTTCTAACTCCATGAGCACATTCTCGTGGTATGTGTGATTTCCCGTCTTGAACGAATTGCCGCGCGAGACGGATATGCCGAAAACCATCAGGAGAAGAACAAGAGCTTGTTCGATCCATGCGTAAAACTCATGGAAGTCAACTTTAAAATTCCGCTCTGCGTCTGTGACCAAGAACCCAAATTCTTCTGGGTTCAGCGCGCGGTGGTACGAAGTCTGTAAGTCGATATACTTCCACCGTAGACGCTGACAAGCTTGTTCGAAGCGGTGGAAGGCTTGTGTTGGGTTCAAGCGCGTTGTTGATGTTGATATTGAAACTGGGTTTCTAGGAGGGGCTGAAGATGGTGGGGGCTGTGAAGGTTGCGAAGATGCGCGTGCTAAAGGCTGTGAAGACGCGCGTGTTGAAGGAAGTGACTTTGCGAGACGAGACCGGCCGTTTATGGCCCAGATTGAGTCATTTAGACCTGTTGGTGTTTTGGACATGTCGGATAAGCTTGTTGAAGAGGTGATGCTGATTTGTGGGAGAGAAGTAGATGCGTTCGAGATGCCACGTGAGTGAACGTAAAGCGTAGATGAACGCAGAAGCGCACAATTGGAGCTTTCGATTGTTCACGCAGCTTCTACACAATCCCTTTATCTCATATACACAGCCGTGGAGGGCTGCTCTCTCCCCCGTCCCGTGAAGCCGAATGTCACAATGAAAGGACACTAGCCCGTGGATTCCACAACCGACTCAATGCATGCGTCTCAGGTAGGAGGTAGAACTAAGAGCTATTGGTTAGCTCTATAAATAATATGTCGTGGTGAATAAAGAAATGAGATCATGAATGAATGTGAAAGTGCAAGATCAAAGGGAACAGAGCTCAACTCAAACTGTCTGTGGTTTACGGTACAAAAGTCGTAGCGTCTGATTGGCTAATCTGTCGGCGGTTAACGGTTGGCTACGCAAACAAACGCCCTCTGAAACAACACCAAGAAATCATCACCAACAACACTGATCAGCCTTTTCGTTAGTAATCATCATGAATCCATGTCGTAGCCATATCTGTATTGATATATACAATCTCCACGTATGCACACAGCTAGCTCAACCAGCTTCCACTGCCAATCCCATGTCCAGAAATCAATCAATAGCCTGCTCGCCTGACAAACACATCATAAGCTGGCCATGTACCAAGGTAGGTAAGGCGACAGCACTCAATCATATATGCACCCCAACTCCCGCTCTGGATGCTCTGTTCCAGACGCTATCCTGATGACCCAACTCAAAAGCAACAAAACAACACAACTCCATTATTGACATCCGACCTCCTTTGCCGTCTTGTCCGTAGTCGACGGTTTATACAATGGCCCTGCTTATGTAGAATCGCGAACCTTCTTGGTAGCCTTGGCTGTACCAATATGAGTGTTGTGCACCTAATTCTGTTAGTTTTGCCATTATGAAACCTCGAAATACTAGACATACCTTTGTTGCAAATCGAAGACTCGTCAGAGTTTCCTTCAGATGCTGCTCAAGAGGCGACACCATGACAAACATCAGAGTCTTGCTGTTGCCGCCCAAACTGTACTGCAGCAAGTGTGTCAACTTGGAGTTGCGGTATGGAATATGGCCTGAACCCCGACCAAGGGCCTCAATAACATCACCGAGACAGCTGAGACTCTTGTTGATGTTTTGTGTCTCCTTCATTCGGTCGCCCTCAGCCTGTGAATGCTTGAGACGCTCGGAACCCGCCAAATCGACCAAGTTGAGCGTACCCTCGCAGCGCTCTCCTGTAGCCGAGTTCTCTCCGATGAGCTTCAGGATGAAGATACTGTGAGAACGAGATGACCGCTCGTTGGCCTTGGTTGCAGCCACTGATCGGTTATTCTGTGCTTCTTCAAGCATAGTCTCCACACTTGATGGGCTGTCGAGGCGGACTGACTTGCAGTTTGTGATGGTTGTCTGCTTGCGAGCTTCGTCATGTCGAATCTCGAGCCTTTTCGCTGATCGCTCATTTGGCGTCAACAGGTCGTTGAGCTCCTCATTGTACACTTCGACGAATGAACCCTCCATTGTGTACTCCCAAGACTTCTCCTTGAGCTTGGTGATGGTGTCGTAGATCATATGAGTAGCACGAGGGATCATGCCATCGTTTGACGACATGGTATGCGTCTTTCCAGATCCGGTTTGACCGTAGCAGAAGATACAAACGTTGTATCCGTCAAGGGCACTCTGGACAAGCTGAGAGATCTCGCCAAAGATCTCCTGGTTCTGAGTGCCAGGAACGAAAACGCGATCAAACTCGAAAGGATAATTCTTTCGTGTGATCTGTCCCAAACTGCTCTTCTCCTCAGGGCCAGCCAGGACAATCTCAGCAGATGTCTTGTCATCGGGGAACGACATCTTGGCTTCCTCACCCTCACCATTGCCGAGTGCAGGTCGCACTCGACACATGACTCGAATGTTGCCCTTGAGCTCTTGGTATTTGTTGAAAAGTACTCGGCGTTCCGTCTCCTCCTTGATGAGTTTGTGCTGGGCCTCTTCAGCAATGCGCAGAGCTTCTTGGAGACGTGCCTCCATGCTGGCAAATGAGTCGGATTGCGCCTTGCTGTCAGATTCCAGGAATTCGACGTGTGATCGTAGTGAGTTAATCTTGGCTTCTAGTGTTGTGTTGGCAGCTGAAAGTTCCGCGATGTTGGTCTGCAGGCTGTTCTTCAAAGTGCGTTCTCGCTCGAGGTCTCCTCGGAGGCCTTCGACTTGGGAGTTGACTTCTTGAAGTTCTCGGTCCTTCTTCTGGATGGCCATTCCCATGTCTTGGTGCTCGTTGCCCATTCGAAGTCGTAGTTCCTGGATTTCGCGGTCCTTCTTCTGTCGCTCTTCAGCCAGCTCTTGGTGGTACAGTCTAGTCAGACTCTCGATCTTTTGCTCGTGGTCTTTCGCCTCTTGCTCTTTCAGTCGATCCAGTTCCCTTCGAAGCTCATCAACTGCTGTTCGGTGCTGTCTTGACATATCGTCGATCTTTTCTCGGTGCTTTCGTTCCAGGTCATCCACTTGTCGTTGGTATTCCCACTTCTGTTTCTCCATCTCATGTCGAATTTGACGTCCTTCCTCTCTCGCTGCGTCGAGATCGGACTTGAGTGCATCGTTCCTTAGGTCAAGTTTCTCCCTGTCACCCTCCAACTCTTGCACTGTAGAGTTGATTAGTAGCTGAGTATCCCATTCCATGATAATACCTACCTCGCTTCTTGGCAAGTTCAAGAGCATCGTCTTGTCCCTTTCGTTCGCTCAGGGTGGTGTTTACCATCTCCTTGAGCTCTTTGAATTGAGACTCCATATCAACTACTCGGCCATCGACGTCCCAGGCTACATATGATGTCAGATTAGAATCTTTGTTCAAAAAAGACTTGCTAGGAGAGGAATGCTTGACGGGGGATGTGAATTGTTTGACTGGTGACAAAGACAGAGACTCTTCGAACTCATGGAGCTTCCTCTTGACTCTCTCGCTCGTCGGTGGCTTCAGAGGGACTGCCTAAGGCCGCTCTGACGAAGTCTGTCGGGAGGTTGAAGCTGTCATATTCTGATCATCTCTACCACGGCGCTTGCATGGAATATTAGAAGCATGTGAGGCGGTTGAAGATTGTGAAGACTGTCGTGTTAGGGGTCGAGAAATCGCTTGACTTCCAGGAGGGATTTTGTCTTCAAGACTCAATTCAAGGAATTTTGAAGTCAGAGAACTATCTCTGATCGTTGGCAATGTTGCGAAAGACTGTGAGATTCTGATTTTGTTGTAGGGAAGCGTGGTGATAGGTTGAGAAGTATCTTGCGAAAGTGCCGTCGTACCATTGTTGGTTGGAGCTTCGTATCGGTCTTCTTCGCGGAGAGCATGGGCCGTACGCGGACGAGGTGCTTGACTCTTCGATCGGGCATGGCCAGGACGTCCGTTGACCCCATTGACTCCGTTTACTCCATTTATTCGTGACGTGGCTGCTGAAATACCATTTCGAGCGGCCTGGTTCTTGCTAAAGACGTTTGAGGATGCGCCATATCGTGAGTGGGTGGCGTTGGGTTGCTTGAGCTGGAGAGAATTAGCAGCTGTTATGCGATCATAACGATCTAGCAGCAGAAGAAAGCTCTCGGCCAGCGTGAACTTGGAAGGGTCTTGACTCACCCCTGAGGACATTCCAGCCAGACTCTGAGGCCTTATATTCGATCGAACAGCAGCGGCGGCAGGAACATGTGGTGTTGGCTTTGAAGGATATTCGAGGGCGCGATCAGAAAGAGGTTTGCGCTTCGGGTCAGATTGCGATGCTGCTTCATGTCAGAGAGAACCACCATAGACACTTCGTTCTGCGTACCTGGTTGAGGAATCTCGCGCTTCAGATTCTTCAAGGCCGACAACGAACTTGCCGTCGACGCAATGCGAGCATTATGTTGCGACTCGCTCCATTCTGTGAGTCCAGCCCCAGCCCCTATTGACATCGACATCGACGGCGCCGGTAGTCGACTAATCTTGGAGCTCCTAAATGTCTACACCCAAGAATCATCAGCTTCTGAAACATGACGGCACTAAGTAAACAACGTACCGGATTCTCCTCCATGGTGAAAACAATGCGCCCAAACACAGGGACCAGGATATAGAAAACAAGGAGCAGTGAAGCACCCGTATGAACGGCGGTAGCAGGAGGCGTTGCAAATATGCGAAGGATAAAAAAGAGTAGCGTAGAAAGCAAGATGGTATCGGTACACGCTTGGCCTTTAGCTCATGGGGAGCTACGTGATATTATGGTTGGTTTCGTGAAGAGCCTGATGCGGGATAGCTCGGTTGGAGATTGGCGATTCGAAGCGTTGACTTGTTTATGTAAACACGTTGCTGGGGCAATGAGTCCGAGTCGCATTTGGAGATGCCCCACCAGCCAATGAGTCGGGTTAACATCAGTTGTAGGATACTCAAGTATACTTCACAAAATGCTGCCTTTTTAATTGAATATTGTTGATAAGTTATTAATGCTCTTGTGAGGCTGCCTTTCCTTTCTATCGTAGTGTTCATGATTTTCTGATCCCAGAAACATGCTGCAGATAATGCCAAAAACGTCTTCAACGCTGCGCACCATAGCTTGAGTTAATGTTCATTAGCCAATGAGTTTCTTCTCAGATAAGGATGCATGCATATGCTTGCTGCCTCCGAAACCAACCTTGACCTCAGAGGCTCAGACTTCAAGAGAAATAAGGATACCTCCACATTGAGACAAGTTCAGCGAAGTGTTAGCCCTCCGAGCTCTAATTCTTAAGATAATACTCAAGCTTGTGGTAACAGCCTAAACCATCTGTATAGGTAGGGAAATAGACTCAAATAGAGCTGCTGTCAAAAATGCCCGGTACAAATAGGTCGATCACGATTGCAATTCACGAGGAAGTTTTAAAATTGGGTCGATACAATTAGCAAATATCGCTTCTATATCATAGAAGACATGTCAGATGGCTCAAAAATATCGGGCTCCGAGTCTACGGTAGCTCGTCAGAGCTTTGGAGGATGCTGCCAAGTCATCACTCCACCATAAACTCAAGCTTCTTCTGTTACCAGTAATTTATCTTCCCACCCACCCATTTCTGTGAGAAAATTGACATGACAACTCACTGAGGTATCAAATTGCAAGACGGTTAGACAGATGAACAAATTAAAATCTTTCTCACAGGCGCATCGGGCTGTGTAACAAGAGGATCTAGCCTAAAAATGTCGCCATCTCGCTGACTCAGCGCACAACGTTTCGTGAGACAAGCCAACCTAACGTGGGGGCCACATATTAACATTCACATTCACATGTCATCCTCGATCCATGACATGACGTTCAATAGATGCGCTGTCGCAGAACCTGACCTCGCAACGCCGTCTCGTTAGCCCTCGTCACAATCGCCCGAATCGCCTTCATCACACGTCGCTAGCAACATAAAGAGATAGCTCCCAAGCTCTTCCATGTCTCGATAGCTTTACCCCTCCGCTTGTCCTCTTTGTCTTGTCTTACACACGATCACCAACAATATGGAAAAATACAGCCAATTTCGCGATAGAGGTAAAGTTTTCCACGGCTTTATAATATTCGCATGCTAATAAGTCTTAGCAACGGGCATTGCGCCGTTTCTTCCCGTTTCGACTCCCGCATCAGCTCTCGCGACATTCACCCACGCCGCTCTTTTCCTCTTCCGCCTCCCATTCTTCATCGCCTACTTCCTCGGCTATTTTCTCTTCTTCCACTTCCTCCCGCTGCCGGTTATCTTTCGAAAGGTTGCACTATGGGGGTTGATGGCCATACCGGGAATATGGTGGGTTGACCTTCAGCTCGACGGTGTCAAACGTGGCACCCTAGCCGACCAGCCTCGCGAGCGTTTCCCGCACCCTGGCTCAGTTATCGCTGCCAACTTCTCGAGCCCTATCGATGCGATCTACCTCGCCGCTATTTTCGACCCGATCTTTACGATCTCGTACCCTGATACTCGCAAGGTGCAGCGTGTGAGCTTGCTGGGTGCTGTTCTGGCAGCTCTCTCGCCTGTACAGACCGGCCCCCCTAAAAATGCGAAACTCGTCGAGATAAAGGACCTTCTGGACAGCAACCCGGGACAGGTTATCGTCGTTTTTCCCGAATGTGGTACCACCAATGGCAAGGCTATTCTGCCTTTCAGCCCGAGCATTCTTCAGACTCCAGCCGACGTCCATATCTTCCCTGTTAGCATTCGATACACGCCCTCTGACATTACGACACCTGTGCCCGGAAAGTGGTTCCGCTTCTTGTGGGATCTTCTCTCCCGACCCACGACGTGCATCCGTGTACGCATTGCTGAAGGCCAAATCAACACATCTGCTGCAAAGACCAACGGTGTAACATCTTCCTCGTCCGAGCTACGCCACCGTGGTGATGCTAGTCCCAGTGTTTCCCCAGACGAGCAGCGTGTCCTTGATCGAGTAGGCGAGGCGCTCGCTAGACTTAGCCGCGTCAAGCGTGTTGGACTTACAATGAAGGATAAGGCAGCTTTTGTAGATGCCTTGAACGGAAAGAAATAAAACTTATCGAGGGTTTCAAAGATTTTAGGATTTTGGTATGATCTATGATGAAATCACTTCCAAGGAAGTGAGGCTGTGTTTGGGATTTGCATTGCAAGGAGCTATTGGAGGTTATTCTGTTCAGTCAGCCTAATACCCACAAGCATTCGTGGATTTGCGTTTCATTCTTGTGGTTGGTCTTTTTCTGGTTGTTTCGAGATACGCATTCTACGGTATAGCTTGTTAGGTAGACTTGTTAAGCCCAGAGCATTTTCACGTATTAGCGAGGAGGCACTTTGAAGGCATTAAGAACGAAAAAAAAAAAACATTGGGATATAAGTTCTGACCCAGAAAAATCTAAATTCGCCTTTTCCCACCCCATTAAAACAGGAATTACATCGTTACATTTGACAATTCTTTTTGGCTTTCTTGAGCCTTTTTTTAGTTCTTGAGACCGCTGTCGGTGACACAGCCCTCACTGGCGTTCCTCACAAGCTGGGCGTACTTGCTCAGCGTACCCTTGGTGTATCGAGGAGCGGGAGCCTTCCAGGCCTCGCGACGTCGGGCAACCTCCTCCTCAGGGACAACAAGGTCGATAGCGCGGGTTTCAGCGTCGATGACAATGGTGTCACCGTCCTCGACGAGAGCGATGGGACCACCCTCCATAGCCTCAGGGACGATGTGACCAATGATGAAACCGTGAGAACCACCGGAGAAGCGACCGTCAGTGAGAAGAGCAACGTCCTTTCCGAGACCGGCGCCCATGATGGCGGAAGAAGGCTTCAGCATTTCAGGCATACCGGGACCACCCTTGGGACCGTCATATCGGATGATGACAACGGTCTTCTCACCCTTCTTGATCTCGCCAGCCTCGAGACTGGTAATGAAATCGGGCTCAGAGTCGTAGACGCGAGCCTTGCCCTCAAAACGGAGACCCTCCTTACCGGTGATCTTACCGACACAGCCACCAGGGGCCAGAGAACCGCGGAGGATCTGGATGTGGCCTGTAGGCTTGATGGGGTTGCTCAGGGGTCGGATGATGGTCTGGTCTTCAGGGAAGCCAGGCATGTTCTCGACGTTCTCCTTCATGGTCTTACCAGTAACGGTAATACCAGAGCCATCGATGATGCCCTCCTTGAGCAGGAACTTGAGAAGAGCGGGAGTACCACCAATCTTGTGCATGTCGGCCATGACCCACTTTCCGGAGGGCTTCAGGTCGGCAAGGAAGGGAGTGCGGTCGGAGACCCTCTGGAAGTCCTCAATGTCGAGCTTGATACCGACAGAGTCGGCAATGGCGATAAGATGCAGGACAGCGTTAGTGCTACCACCGAGGATGGTTGTGACGATCATGGCGTTCTCAAAGGCCTGGCGAGTCATGATGTCGCGAGGTCGAATGTCCTCCTTGAGAATATTGCGAATAGCAGGTCCAACACTCTCGCACTCAGCCTTCTTGCTAGGATCCTCAGCAGGGCTGCTGCTGCTACCAGGAAGAGTGAGACCCAGAGTCTCAAGGGCGGTGGCCATGGTGTTGGCAGTGTACATGCCACCACAAGCACCACCACCAGGGCAGGCGTTTCGGATGATGTCGAATCGCTGCTCCTCGGTGATCTCGCCAGTGATGTATTGACCGTAGGCCTGGAAAGCGGAGACGATATCGATAGACTCGCCCTGCTTGGTGCAGCCGGGACGAATGGTACCACCATAGACCATGATGCTGGGACGGTTGACACGGCCCATTGCAATGGCAACACCGGGCATGTTCTTGTCGCAACCAGGCAAGCTGATGTTTCCATCATACCACTGGCCATTCATGACGGTCTCAATACTATCGGCGATAATTTCTCGACTCTGGAGCGAGTATCGCATACCGGTGGTACCCATGGAAATACCATCAGAGACACCAATGGTGTTGAATCGGTAGGGAATAAGGCCAGCCTTGGCGACGGACTCCTTGACGACGGCGGAGAGGTCCATGAGGTGCATGTTACACGGGTTGCCCTCGTACCAAACGGACGAGATACCAACCTGAGCCTTGTTCATGTCATCCTCTGAAAGACCAGTGGCGTAGAGCATAGCCTGGGATGCGCCCTGGGCCTTGGGCTGGGTGATGTTGGCGGAGATCTTGTTGAGCTTGTCATCGGCGCGGAGGGCAGAGGCGGAAAAGAAGCGGCTTTAGAGAAGTCAGTATTCAGAAGCCGATTGAGCTTCAATTGATCGTTCAAGATGGAATAACGTACCCATTGCTCCTCGCAGAGAGGGGGAGAGCTCCCACAGCTCTAGACCTCAACAACGACCTAGAAAGCATAATGACGACTTGTGGTCTTTTTCACTTGGGAAAGAGAAAGGAAAAACGTCAATTGAAGCTTCAACCACAAACTCAAATGCGTGAGAAGAGAGTCCGTCACCCGAGTAAAAGCGGTGGGATGAGTTTGTGGACTTTTTTGGCTGCGATGTCGGCTGCGTTTTTGTTTCCCAAAATTTCCCACAGCTTTAGGTTCCCTGTGATCTTCCCTGTGACTGGGAGAGAGGGGGAGGGAAACGTCCCCAGGGTGTGAAATGCTCCCCGCATGACAATTGGAGTGTTTTGATTGGTTGGGTGACCTCATGGAGAGGGTTCCTCGGGGGAAGTGCTTCAAGTCCGGAGGAGGCTTAAGCGTTGGAGCCCACTTTGAATAGAGTTATCCACTGAAGTCGTCTGATTGAAGCTACGAATGCAATGTAAGATCGTCCATGATGCCGAAGTTCCGGACGTATTCATATGAGTCTCTGTGATTGCATTTGTATGCTGTTTCTGTCTTATATTCAACTTGGACAAGTTGAGTAGAGAATAGATGTGACTGTCACCCTTGTCACCCTTTGAGAGCGACACCGGCGGACCATGCAGACCCCTGCTACATCATCAAAGTGTTCAATATTCGGCATGTATCTTCATAATTTCTATGACTTTGTACGCGTCTCTATTTCTATCAAGTATCATTCATATTCTATCAACAATCAGTATAGCCCCACGTCAAATCCATCACTATAACTTACCATGTCTTCGTCTAAGTCTTCAAAGTCCAATGCCGAGATGTTGAGCTTCTCGTCTCATTGAACAAGCATTCAACCGTCCAAGGCAACCCACTCCAAATCATCCAGTGCCTTCTTGATCTTCTTCGAAATATCCTCAATGAACTCAAACTTGAAAACCTCATAGTGATGTCCCTCAATATCAACCACATCAGCAAAAAAGTTCTTGTCGTACATATCCCATCCCAAATTCCGCTCCTCACGGCTCAAGTCCACAATATCAGTCCCGTTCTCCGTGGGCACGGCCTTCTTGGCCCGGAGGAGACTAACCCGGGGCCGACGTCCTTCTTCCCAGACCGGAGGTGTCCAAGCTTGAATCATACGGCGTGCATCGGCCATAGCTAGATCCGCGAGAATCTGGTTCTTGTTCTTTCCCTCCTTGGTGTCTTCACCAGGCATCTTGCGCTTTTCGCTAGAGAACTTATGGGGATAAATTGTGTCGACCATGAGAATTCCGATGACGTGGATGTTGGAATCTTCAAGTTGCTTTGCGATTTCGAGACTCAAGTGGCCGCCCATGCTCCATCCACCGAGAAGAAGTCGGATCTTCCCAGCTGCGTTGCGACGTTTGGGAAAGTCGGGCTTTTCGACGTTCTCTTTGATCCAGCCGGTGTAAAGGCGGGCCATGTCGCTGAGACCACCGTCGAAAGGCTCGCCGCTATGAAATTTCGGGTTGTAGATGCCGTAGACTGGACGGCGAAGGGGCTCTAAGCAGTGGTATGAGAATGTGGTGCCGCCACCGTCGTGGATGAGAAAGACTGGGACAGCTTCGCCGGTCTGCCAGTCCGCAGGCTGGACTATTTCAGGGTTTGTGTCCATGGCCGATGTCCAATGCTGATTTGATCCTCTGAGTTGCAATTTTTGCCGTGCTTGGTTCTTGAGTTGTGTTTGGTGAGTGAGAGTAAGAACCTCGCCTATCCGTGATCCCTATCTAGGTAGGTAAGGTAGGTAGTATGCTGAGATTGAATCCTGCAAACTCTTAAATGCTGAACAATAATTCGCTCAAATGAGAACAAAAGAGCATTCTTCAAAAATAAACGCAAAGAACAAACGGATATCTAACAGGTCCGATACACGGGTACCGAACAAATAATCATAGCGTTGTGCTACCGAGTCTAACTCGTATGGGATCTATGACCTTCGGAGTCTATCGGCGGCGGTGACACCTGGCGCCATCGGCAATTGCGGGGCCGGGCCGTGATTGGAGGCCGGCCGGACAAGCATCATATCGCACACGACAAACAATAGGGTTCATCATATTGTTCATATTCATGGTATCTCATTTCTATTTTACATCTCTTAGTATTGCCTTGGCTCAATGGGTTCAACTTGCGGCAACGCCAAGTATCCTTGTAGCCTCCAGAGCAGCATATGCAAAGCTCTCATGCTTCCACTTCTAAAGTTCTTCAACACCAAGATTTCATGGTCTCGGAATACCTCTGACTTCTCTTTCAACCTCTCAACCTCTTCCTCGCCCAGTATATATCGCAGATCATGAACCGCCATCTTACTGGCATAAGAAGCATCTTCTATATCAAGAGTCGCATAACTGTTCATGTCCTCCATGTCCTCCTTTGGTATATAAAGGATTGCTCCACCTCCTGGAACTTTCTTCGCTTCTTCCCAGCTTGAAACTGGCTTTAAGAATTTGTATGGTGCCCATAGACCTTCCCTGCAGGAGCGTGTGATGAGTGTATCAACAGTCACACGTCGCAACATCCCAACAAGTATATCGCCCATGTCTGATCGGAAAACCTTTTGGCCGCTACCATATTGAAGAACCGCCATGCCGCTGCGGTGGGCACCCATCTTTGCTTGATAGGACTTGTTTCTCCCGATCATATCGATGACATCTTTGCGTGCGAGAGTGTAAGCGACAACGCGCGCTCGTCGTTCTATGAGTCCTTCGTTCGTTTCCATATCCTCAACGACAAGTTCTGGGTCTGCCGCACTATTTGAGACTTCCGATGCTTCTTCGACTGATGTTGTTTCGGCCTCTGCTGATATGTCGGCTCTCGTTGATTTGGCTTCTGTAGCCATTTTCGCAATCTCGTTTTGTACAAGTCCGATCTGCCTTCGTACCCGTTCAATTCCTTTCTTTATTGATTTCAAGTCCTTTGACTCCATCTCCACCTCTCGCTCCTCTCTTGTCGGCTTGACCCTTAGGAAAGAAAATGGACCTGGCGCCCACCATTGGTTCGCCTGCTCGGGATCTGGGTGCTCGACCAATTCGAAGTCCTGCAAGAAGTGTCTAGGGAGGCAAGCGTTCGTATTCTTGCACCACCTTAGCGGACCCATCAATGCTTCCGCGTATGGATTATTTGATAACTTCTTCCGGAATTGTCCTGATATGGCCGTGGGCATCGCTTTTTTCGTACGCCGCCTCGCCTGCATGAACTTGTAGTCCATCACCGGAGATATCGGTAACCTTCCAGCATCTGTGTCTACAGTCTTGTCTTCGGGATGGATTCTCGCCCGTTTGCCACTTGCCAGTCGATCAAGCTCCGATTCGATTTGGTTCAAGAGGGCCTTTCGACTCAATTCGGATTTGTCGTATGATACCCATCGTTTTTGGCCATTGATCGTCAATCGAGAATTTTGAATATGGCCAGAGCAGGCCTTTGTGTATCTCTTCATGGTGTCTCGTGGTGTTATAACCAACTCATCGTCGACTTGTGATGCTTGTTTGTCGCAAAGCGTTCAAGGTTGAACAGCTAAATTTCTCCCGGGGTCGGATCGTTATCGATAAGGGCCCCAGCTTCGTCAAGCTTCCCCCCACCATTTCCGCCCGGCCCCGGCCCGTAAACTTACATCACCGTTCACATACAATCGCGATCATGTTTCTACGGCCAAGGACGTTGCGCGTGTTGCGCGGCGTGTCGCAACAACATGTGAGAGCTTTTGGCTTCTCCAGCTCTTCTGGAAACTCGCCAATGTCACCAATGGCCAACATTCCCATGCCCTACATCGAGGAGTCGTCGGTAAGCTACCTGAGTCCAATCTGGTGTTTGCGCGCAGCTAACAAGTCTAGGCTGCCGGAAGAAAAACATGTTCGTTCGAATTGGTGTCGCAACTGGTTCAAAAAGCTGATGGGTTATAGGGGATATCTTTTCTAAGCTACTACAGGTGAGGACAAGCTCTAGCCATCAAGCTATCGTTGCTAACAGTTCTAGGAACGCATCGTCGTACTAAATGGTGAAGTTAATGACTACATGTCTGCTTCGATCGTGTCACAGCTTCTTTGGCTCGAGTCCGATACCCCCGATAAGCCGATCACGATGTACATCAACTCTCCTGGTGGTTCCGTCACCTCAGGTAGATTCGCTCCGTAACCTTTCCGCGGTCGATGCTTACAACAAGCGTAGGAATGGCGATCTATGATACCATGACATACATTAAGTCACCAGTATCAACAGTGTGTGTTGGCGGTGCTGCGTCGATGGCTGCCATCCTCCTCGCAGGAGGTGAAGCTGGCAAACGATTCTCTCTCCCTCACAGCTCAATTATGATCCATCAACCGCTCGGTGGCACTCGAGGTCAGGCATCTGACATCATGATTTACGCAAATCAAATCCAGAAGACACGGGAACAGTCGAACAGAATCATGCAGTATCATCTCAACAAGGCAAAGGGCCATGAAAAGTATTCTCTTGAGGAGATTAATGATCTAATGGAACGCGATAAATACTTGTCTCCGGAAGAGGCTTTAGAACTGGGGGTTATCGACGAGATTTTGACAAAGAGACCTGAGTCGGAGCAGGAGAAGAAGGAGAAGGAGGGAGAGGCTGATACACCCAAGACCAGTTGAAGACTTCGACTTTGGGGTTGAAGATGTATATTATTGCTAAGAAATGTTTATGAAATACATTGTCCAGTTGTTTCCGAACGTCCATCTTTAGCATTGAGACGACACTCAAGCTGAAGTTCTCTACTCAAGAGGAGTCCACCTACTGCTGGTCCTGGAAATAGACCTTCTCAACAGGGGCCAACCGCCAACTATAACGGATGTATTATCCTAGGGGCCTAATAACGAGATGGTTACAGGATAGCTATGCGCCAAGTTCTAAAAGAGCAAAGCATCACAGTTGGAACACTTCAATGGCCATAGTAAGAAAAAAGTTACGGTGCAGGGTAACTTCATTGCCTGCGTCCTTGAGACAAAATCCACCCATGAAAACTTACTGTATCATTTCTTCAAGTTCAAAACAGCAGATATATGATCTTTTTTTTTTTTTTTCTTCTTTAAAATGATGTTAGGGTTGTTGTGTTCTTCGACATGGTATATCATGGCTGCTGTCAAATTTCGCCTAATCTCTTGATATAAAAACTCTCATGTTGAAGAGGTTCTGAGTTGTCCATGTTGTTTGGTCCTAGGCAGTGGGAAAAGGTGTAAACCAGATCTGCTGATATTACGTATCTAATTGAGGCATGGCGGCCAGGTCGCCCAATGTCTGTAGTATGCAAATATTGACTGTTAAAGGAAGACAAGGGAACTTATCTGAGGAGATTTGAGTTGACCAAATTTCATGCTATATACTAACTGTGCACCCACTCAACAGTTGTGTGTGACAGCATCCTTCAATAATCTTTGTACACAGAATCGTAGATACACTCTCAAAATATATACTCTTTCAAAATCTCCAATCCTTAGTTTTAGTTGTGATCGATGCGGAAGACCGCAACATCATGTGTCTGCAAGTTAGCTGAGACAGTCTTGCCCTTTCCTTTAGCACCAGTCAAAAGCTCAGTCCATGAGTATTCAATATCCTTGAGTCCAGGAACATCCTTGAGGTTCAGTTGAGTGTTCAAGTTGCCCTTGCTGGCGACGATGGCGACAACTGTTCCGGTTGAGATAGGGCCGGACCAGTAAGGGTAGATCTCGCTGCTTCCCTTGGCGGGAGTATTGGGAGGGGTGAAAGGCACAGCAGGCTTTGAGAGCGAGTCTTGGTTGACGGCGAGAAGGCCCTGGACCATGTTAGTATGTGTTAAGAGTGAATGGGGATGTGGTTGAAGTTACCTTGTTTGTGATCAACTTGACCTCGTCGCTGTTAAGCTTGGTCATGTCTGTTCCTAGAATGATAGGAGACTTGGTGATACACCAGATAGCGAAGTGAGTTCGCTCCTCAGCGGGAGTCAGAGCACCGTTGGCAAGGATCTAGTCTTTGGTCAGCTCTATCCTTACTAACGGCCGATGGTAGGATCAAGACTCACCATCATATCGAGATCATTGTAGTGGCCTGGTACGGTGTACTTCAGAATAGGTGCCGCTTGGTTAGCAATACGAACAACATCCGCCCATTTACCCCAGTTGTCCTGGCTCATTCGCCACATATGTCCGACCTGAGCACCCCAAGTCCAAACCTCATCATAACCCCAGTTGCAAAGAGAATAGAGGATGTCCCTTCCTGTAGCGCGAAGGAGATCTCTCATCTTCTCATATCGAGGTCTTGAGTTAGGGGCTTGGTTGTTGGGACATGTCTGGATATCGGCGCCGTTGCCTGTGTTGCAGGGTGTGTAACAGTTGTCATACTTCCAGTAGTCCACGCCCCAGCTGGCAAGAAGATCGGCATCTTGCTTCTCGTGGCCTTGACTTCCAGGGTAACCCGCGCAAGTCTTTGCTCCACCGTCACCATAAAGACCGAACTTGAGACCCATTGCGTGAATCTCATCGGCGACTGGCTTGATACCTCTTGGCCACTTTGCAGGATCAGGGACAAGATTGCCCTTTGAATCACGCTGCTTTGTAGACCAGCAGTCATCAATGTTGACGTATTGATATCCGGCGTCCTTGAGACCAAGGTTGATGAAGGTCTTTGCTGTAGCGAGGGCAACTTTCTCGCTAGCTGCGTTACATTGTCCTTGGTTCTGGTAGTATCGTCAGTGACAAACACATGGTATGATATACTTGAGAGGAGCTCACCCAGCCGTTCCAGCCAAGAGCAGGAAGCTTACCAACTTCACGAGTTTGAAGATGGTTTCGTGAAGGAACAGCCGTAGCTAATCCGGCGAGAGCCACGACCCCAAGAGACTGAGTATTGAAGAACATTGTAAAGACACCAGAGCTGCTGCTGAGTATGTGCAAGATGTCAACTCAAAAGAAGTTGAAAACATGTTTCTTATATACCTTTGACCCTTGAACATGATCGTCTAATTCCGTTACGGCACTTCATAATGCTTGAGCTGCCGGCTAATATGACAACCGCTGGTTAAACTCGTATAAGTCGATACCTCCACAAAACAAGTCCGGGGAAAGTCTCAGATCGGAATTGATCAACAAATCACACGATGCCAAACTCGTAGTAATTGGCGCGGCTCACGATCAACTCCCGTTTCCCCCAGATGGAAGAATGCACTTCTTTTCCTGCTTGGACGTTGGTGATCCACCGAGGAAGAAGCCGAGTACTACCTTCCTCTCGGTCGCGTATTTGAAGTCGTTCGATGAATTGAATGGTGCTCTTTCAAAGTGAGGTTGAGGATTGGATCATGGTGCAACTTGCGGGCCAATCGGAGGTGTAGCTAGCATTTCCTTACTCGGTTGAGGATTAGCGAAACGTTTCCATGACCCTTTCATAAGCGGACCAAACATGATGTAAACTTAAACAACCTTGTTGAAACAGTTGATTCAATGCGTTTTTCAGGTCGGATGAACTGTTACTACCTGGTATGTTTCTTCTTAATTGAGATGCGGGCAGGGTAGTCGGGATGAAGGTGCCGGTTGAGTAGTGCGGATCTTGGGTAAACAGAAACATGCAGCTGATGATATGCAGATTGGCATTACAGCTGAAGTGCGGAAAAGATATAGAGAGGGTACATACTCAGGACATTGAGAACGATCATCGTATTTCACAGAGACATATGCCAGAGAAGAGTTGAAGTGAGGCCATCCAGGTGAAGAAGGGAGATCAAGTGTTTCAACCCACCTGGCTGCAACCGTTGTTCAGGCTAGCTGAGAGCGAGTCAGAGAGACAAATTGCAGGAGGGAAATACATGCGGGTTTGAATCATACTCGTGGATAAGGTATCGAGTCTCAGGTCACTTACACTACCAACCTTAGGTGGGCTTATAGAGATAGATGGACTGGCTAGATCGGCAGGCCGTCCTTATCATGACAGAATGAATTATCATTTGTAACTGACCTGAGCAATCATATATATCAGTCATCTCAAAATATCTTCAGCTAATTATTCATGATTTTATTTCCTAATCAGGCAATTAGACAGATCCTCCAAGCTTCAGTAGTCAGGTCTAGCCTCTCATGGTGTTTTCCGACAAGCTCGGCATTCAAAATTGTTCCTGACGTCAGATTCGAGACCGTTCATGTTGAACCCCACCAAAAAGTGCCCCGCGTACCCCTCCGCTTCCATGATACTTTTAAATAATTGCTCCCTGAAGATCTTTAAGACCGATCAGCAGAAAAGTTCCCATCAGTCTCTCTTCTTTGTTGCCGATTATTTGTGCGAGCGCAATAATGGAGCACGACACCAAGACCCGTATGTACTTCTCGACTCTACCTTCGAACGCGACTGACTCTGCCGACAGCCCAATACAAGACGAGCGATCCTACTTCGTTCGCGAGTGAATCCGTCAAGAGGCGATGGCCGGTCATTCTGGTTAGATCTCTACATGTATCGCGTACGATGCAATCTCTAACTCTCAACTAGACCCAAGGAATTGACGATGTATACCGCGCCGTTACCAAGACCAGCGATCCCGAGAAACTAGCGGAGGGCAAGAAGGTTATCGAGCAACTCGCCAATCTCAAGTACGAGGTTGAGCACGACCGAAAGATCAGGTACGATATACTTTTGTCGCTAATAGAAGAACGCCACGGCTGACTGTGTAGCCCCCTCCCCGATGATGGATTCACTGAAGAGATCGAGACATATAACAAGGAGCTTGAGGCTCTTGGCCCCGATGCTCACTGGTACGATGTACCATGGCTCTTCTCCGAATGTTACCTTTACAGGTAAGTCCATGCGACAAAAACTTTTTGCAAGCGCCGCTCACAACTTGCAGACGTATCGCGGCCATGTTCCGCATGACCGAACACTGGAGGTCCTACGATCTTTTCGCCCGACAGAAGATGGACACATTCCGATCATCAAGACCCGCCGTTCTCGAGCTCGCTAGCAACTATAGACAATTAGTCGAGCAGCTCCGCGCTGATAAGGACGCAACCCACGATCCCAACGCCGAGAAGACTCTGTTCCAGGAGATGTTTGAGATTTGCCTTTGGGGAAATGCTACAGACTTGTCGTTGCTTACAAACCTGACCTATGAGGATATTCAGAAACTCCAGGGTTCTGAGGCTCGTAAGGCGGCTGAGAAGAACATCCTGGTTAACGACCTTCCTAAGGCATTTGATATTCTTAAGAAGGCGCAGGCTGAGGGCAAGAAAGAGCGACGCGTCGATATTGTTCTCGACAATGCTGGGTTTGAGCTGTACGTCGATATGATTCTGGCCGGGTACCTTCTCTCAGCTGGTCTCGCTACACAAGTCGTCCTACGACCCAAGTCTATCCCTTGGTTCGTCTCCGACGTTGTGCCCAGCGACTTCAGCGGCTTGTTGAACGCCGTTGCCAACCCTCGCGCTCTTTACGATACACCATCAGAGGATGAGGAACTCCAGGGCAAGAAGCCTGAACCTCTATCTGAGGAGGGCGAGAAGGACCTCAAGTTCCTGTTCCAGGAGTGGGCTACGTTCCACGCTGAGGGACAGCTTATGCTCCGCCCTAACCGATACTGGACTTATGGTGGTAGCTTCTGGCGATTGCCAGCTGAGAACCCTGAGTTGCACGAGGAGCTCAAGGAAGCCGAGCTCGTCATCTTCAAGGGTGACCTGAACTACCGCAAGCTCGTCGCTGATGTAAGTAATCTCCCATCTTATTTGAAACGCAATACTGACTTGTGACAGGCTGCTTGGCCCGCTACTACACCGTTTGTCGAGGCTCTCGGCCCTATGGGTCCTTCGTCAGGTGTGAACGTCTTGTCTTTGCGAACTTGCAAGGCTGACGTTGTCGTTGGTCTTCCGGAGGGTAAGGATGAGGAGTTGAAGCAACTTGAGGGTGGTGGTGGTGATTCTGGTGCTCGAAAGTGGGCGTGGAACGGAAAATGGGCTGTTGTGAACCTTTCTCAGGGTCATTAGAAGGGGAAAGCGAGGGTACTTTTTTGTTGATTTAATAATAGATGTTTAGACGTACAAAAGACATGATAGAAACCATACATCGATGTTCTTAGACATTATTCCTCCACTGCTTCCAAGTTGGGCTACTGGCAGACACATAGGGTTCTGTTTCTGCCTTGCTCAGGTTTCAATGTGATCAGTCTACACGCACGTGTTAAAGGACTGCCTGCGATCAGATGGCACCACCAGAGATATAGATCAAGTTGACAATGACGAAAGAAGCCTATTCCGAGCAACGTTTTACGAACAGGACGTCAGACCCCGTTCGCAGCCCATGATCAGCCATCAAGAAAATTCCAGACTCTACGCTTCCCAGTCCCTTTCGATAGCAAACATGACGTTGAGAAATAAGCATTACAGTGGTGTTTTCATGTTGATTTCTTCTCGACCTCATCTTTCTTGTCCTTCTCTGCCTCCTCCGAAGCCTTTCGCTCTCGCTTCGCTTCTATCTGTGCGACGATGTCGGCGTGGACAGAGCCGGGCGTACGGGCACCACTATTGCGAACGCGATCCTATTGAAATATTTTAGTCTTTTGGTCCCCAAGCCTTTGAGCTATCGTACCTGATTTAGCGCAAGACGTCCATCATTATAAGTCGGGCATACTTCCGCGTTGGGTCGCGCAGCAAAGCACTCGTGTTTAGTAACCAAGGATTGGGGGGCTTTATCAGACAAAGTTAGTTGGAGGGATGAAGATAATGCGTGAAGGAGACGAACGGTTTGATGTGCCTTGAAGGGGGCCTTCGCTTTTAGTAGTTGGGGACGAAGCTTCCCACTGGTTAAGTACTTCCTGAGTAGGCATGATGAACTGCTTGAGGTGTTGAAATCTTTTTTAGGGTAGTGTTGATGGAAATAGGGAGTTGTGTTGGTAACTGAGAATAAAATAGGTGCTTGGGTTAAGAAGATGAAGGTATAGCGAAACAAAAGTCAAGTGATTTTTAACCTTCCACATGGAGCCTGACGTCAGAGGGATACACATTGAGATATAGAGTGCGGCGAATCATGTGCAGGTTCTTAAACTCACCGTCGTTGTATTTGTGCGACAGAAAGAACGAGTCGCGAAGGCTGTTATTGGGTTTCGTTAAACTCGGTGTAAGTCAAGCTGCTCTATGTAAGGCATTCTGTGGCGGTCACAAACTAATGGTTAATTAGTTTACCACTAGAGGCTTCGTGAAAATAATACTGGTAAAACTAACTCTTCCAGAAGAAATGCTTCATGTAAATGGAACCCTTTTCCATAGCCAACCCGTTTCTGGACCCGAAGATATGAAGTTTATAGTCTGTCCCGACAGCTTGGGCCTGGCTCGCCAAGGGTGTCAGAATGACTTAGCAGGTCCACTGTCATCAAATTTGTCACTCAGTACAAAATAGGGTGTCATGGGCTAGAAAATGTGCAGAAAGGTCATTGACAAGATGTCATTTCTTCATAATCTGTTTCTATTCCATTCTTGCAATGCAAGCACATTGAATAGCTCTTCATCTCGATGTAGAGGTACTTGAAGAGCCCTTATTTTTGTCACCCCAGACACGGGTTCCTGATCTTCGAGAATGCGCCCCGCAAATGGAAATGCAGACGGACCTCTTCCGCGTCAGGTGACGGATTTAGATTCCTCATCTTGCATTATACATCAACCTTATTTGACCTGGTCAGCTGTTATAACATCATTGACCGTTTATGACTTCAGCGGCGAGACTTCATAATGGACATGAACAGTGGAAGACCTCTCATTCCTCGCCTTCCAAGCGGTGTATCTCCTCAAAACCACAGCTCATCAAATACCAGACCTGCGACCTCGGCACGACGACAGATCCGCTCACGCGAGGGATGCTTAACATGCAAGTATGTATAAAAGTAACATCACCTGATTCGGCATCTAATGGATCTGAAGGAGGAGAAAAGTCAAATGTGACGAACAAAGACCACGATGCTCTCATTGCGAGAGGCTAAATATGGAGTGCAAATGGCGGCCTCAGCAACGATCAGGAGTTCAAAGGAGACAAGCGCCTTCTACCGAAGTACCTGATCAATCTATCGAGCAGCACCTATCACCAAATTTCGACACATCACCAGGGAGTTCAGTATTCCAACCAGGAAACGCAGTTGATGAAGTCTTCGATTATGCAAGCTTCATGTGGGACTACGGTGACTTTTGGCAACACGCTTCACCAGAGACACAGCAGAATCAGGGGATGGAGACAAATATGTTGGTAAGATGAAACTATTGACTTTATCTACATAGATGTTGCTGACATGGAAAGGCGGCTCAGTCACAAATCACATTCCCAGACAGGACAGCTTTTGCAACGCCACTTCCAGCGCCCTCACTGACACAAAGCAACAGTAGTCGGGACCAAGATACTACGGATGGAAGTACCAAGTTGATGGAGTTCTTCGCCAGCTCCGTCAATCCCCCTATCATCGCTGAGGTTGAGACTCAGAAGAAGTGGGTGTCTATGCGACAAGCTGTTGTAGAAATGGCAAATGTTTCTCCCATGGTCCGACACGCTATCATGGCCTTTTCGAATTTACTTCTTTCTCGACGCGATGGAAATTGGACTATGAGCGATGAGGATCACTATCAGCGCGGTGTTACCGAAGTCGCGAGCCATGACGGCACACCAATGTCGGAGCATAGTCCTGCACGCGAATACCTTCTTGCAGCATTGTTCTTTCTCAGCTATATTGATATCTTGGAGAGTCGTCTTGATGCTGCGCACTCTAATCTCAAGCGAGCATATACGCTCTTCCAGAGCAGTAACAAGCACGGCCTGACAGCGGTCGAGAAACAGTTACTTCTTTGGATTCGACTTCTCGATGGTCGGGCGGTAACGGCTGGTGGCTCTGGTCTTTTTCTCACCAAGGACGACGAAGTTCTTCTGGTTGAAGCATCACCCGCGAGTTTCGATGGCGAGCCTGAAGAAGTTTCGAAAGATCCCACTGATGACATCGAGGATGTATTGTTTCAAGTTTTATATCAGCCCGGTGTTGTTTTCTACCAAAAGGTCCAAAGCTTCATGGGAAGGATATCCAAGATAGACCCCTGGCATCGTTCTCGAGGGACAGTCGAAGACGAAATCGAAGTCATGAACATCGGTACGGTCATAGCGGCGGATTTGCGAACTCTATACGAACATCGCCCACCATTGATGGACTTTGCTGTGGCGGGCAAGCTAAAGGAGCCTCACGTCTCGAAGCACCTAGCTTTTGTCATCACGCGAGCATTTCGAACGTACCTATCGAACTATTACGCCAGCAAAGTCCACCTCCACCGTGTTGCGTACAAGAACCTCCCCCTAACGAAGGAGGCGTCTGAGGCGTTGGACCAGATCCGAAATCTCGCTAGACAAATTGTGGCGGACTTGGACCCTGAGGATACGCTGCCCGTCAATATGCTATGGCCGCTGCTGATGCTGGGAGTTGAAGAGCAAGATGCTAACGAAAAAGCGTGGATAAAGACTCAAATCCTCAGGATGGAAAAGGTTGCTGGCAACGCGCGCATCACGGCGCAAGTGCTAGAAGAAGTTCAGGCTCGACAAGATGCCGCCAAGGCACGAATGGATATCCGGGCCGTAATGCATGCCGTTTTCAACTCATGCTTTGCCATTGTCTGAGTTATTTGAGACATGTTCGGCTCCCAACGGCTTGCTTGTTGGAAGAGCACGGAACCTCGTCAATGAGTTACCACCAATCGTCGCTCGTCAACCTTTCCGCAACTCCAACTACCATTTAGCTTCGCATAGGGCATCCGACATATCGGGACGAACTAGTTCACTTGGCTCATGCCACTAATATCATGCGACTTGGCATGGATAGCTTCTCTTGTTCTTCAACAGTTCAAACTTGACGCTCGGCTCGATGCCCCACTCACACTCGTCGAGCCGATCGGATGTGGCTGTCCCCAACTTCCCCGCATGATGCTAAAGTGGATGAAGCTGGGGATGGGTCTGGGCACTTGGGCGAACGACAAACCATCATGGTTATGAATTCTACTGATCCCCGCATGGGACGTGGCATGATACCCATGGATCCGATGGAGACAGGAAGAATATCCCCACAATGTCGGAGTGTGGAACAAAACCCTCGCCATTGATCTTGCGACAATTGATCATCTTCTACTCTGATCCTGTTATTCATTCTTCATTCTCACATCTTTGTGATCTGAACACGCAATATCTCAGCATCTAACCTCAATTTATTCACAATGGGTTCAATCGCGACAAAGAGCAAGTCATTCCCTGGCGGAATCCACGTTCCCTCTCTGACTTGGTTTGCCAACGATGCCAACCAAGAGATCGACTGGGACGTACAGAAGAAGCATATCGAGTTCTTAATAAACTCTGGCCTTGACGGAAGTATGTTCACGCGAATATCTTCAACTGAACTCAACTAACAAACTGAAGTTGTCATTGCTGGAACAAACGGAGAGGCGGTTACACTCTCAGCAGCCGAAAAGTCACAGCTCGTCCGAACGACTCGAGAGCTCGCAATTTCCCTCGGCCGTCCCGATATCACCATCACATTGGGAACCTCCTCACAAACCACACGAGACGCTATCAACGAGACAAAACTTGCCAAGGAAGCTGGCGCCGACTTTGTCCTCGTCCTTACTCCCAGCTACTTCCACTTCGCCATGACACAAGATGCCATCGTGGCTTTCTTTGAAGAGCTTGCTGAGGCGAGCCCTGTTCCTGTTGTTATCTACAACTTCCCTGGGGTTGTCGCTGGCCTTGATGTCAACTCGGAGATGCTCGAGCGCTTGGCCCAGCACCCCAACATTGTCGGCGTGAAGTTGACATGCGGTGGTATCGCAAAGGTTGCCCGCGTAGCAGCTCAGTTCAAGCCCGAAGACTTCTCTGCTCTCGCTGGTCAGAGCGACTGGCTCGTTCCCGCTCTCGCCGTCGGGGGCACAGGCACGGTCACTGGTGTCGCGAACTTGTATCCCAAGACTTGTCTGCAGATCTACGATTTGTACAAGGCTGGAAAGACAAAAGAAGCTGAGGCTGCACAGCTTGAGTTGGCGAAGATGGAATGGGGATTTGCCAAGGGTGGTATTAACGGTACCAAGTGGGTTGTTGCTAAGCTGCGTGGATATCCTCTTGAGAGCTGCCATTGCAGACGACCTTATCCTAAGTATAGCGACGAGAGTAAGCAGGAGTGGATTTACAAGGTTGTTGAGCCTCTGTCAGCTGTTGAGAAGGGTCTTGGTAAGAGGGGAGACAATATCTAGACGGATGTTTTGGAGATGATACAGTATGGACTTGCATGAACGATACGTAAAAGAAAGAATTTAAGACTATTGGAAGACATTTTGATCTATCCCTTCGTTACGCAAATGTAATGCATCCTCTGTTATCTAATCGCATCAACATCGCAATAGTAGTGTATGTAAGACTGTAAACTTCAACATCGAAATCGCGACTTTAAAGCGTCATTGATATTTCGCACTTAGCGACTTCAATTTCACATTTACCCATGATGCTTTTCGGCTCTCGTTTTCTGCTGTCTATACTCACTACTGAATCTTGGTCCCGGACCAAAGGGTCGGAATTGTTAGTCTGTTATCAATCATGACTATTCCGTTGTGAACCGAGTCACGAGTCGGAAGTCTACCATCAGGCCATCATCAATTCAGCTAAGAACAATTCTCTGACTGTTAATGAATCTATTCCGGCATTAGTTTTCGTTCAAACATGGAGCAAGGTCATATGATAGCTTGGAATTTCGGTATATCGTTCGCCTAAATTACCAATCCTGTTAGCCAAGCATCCCCGCATGACCAGACCACCAATCGCCTCTCTTGGTCGCATCGGCTCGCGTGTCGGATCCTTCTCCAAACAAAATCTCAACTGACTCATGATGAACTACTATACCCCTGTCACTGTACCTTTAACGCTCATGCGAAAGAAAAACATGGTTGGGATGACCTCACCCTCGTCCTTCTCCACACCCATCCCCGGATTATTATTCTACTTTCCCCACGCCCCCCGGATTGACGATGGGATAAGCTATATATCCGAGGGGGCCTCCCTGCGGGGGATGAAGGATTTACATGCAACACAGCAGTTCTTCACTTTTACTTCAGAGGTTTATTTACAGAAGATAAAGATAAGACAACATGGGTGGCTTTCGCGCTGTGGAAGATAGGCCTACGCCGAAGGAGGTGTACAATTGGCGCTTGTACACTGAGGCTGCTGTTATTGCTACAGGATCACTGCTGTAAGTTTACTCACAGAGACACGAAGTTTTAGTATTGACAAATCATAGGTTCGGCTATGATTCTGCTTTTATCGGCACTACCATTGCTCGCGATAGCTTCAAGCGTGACTTTGGTATCAAGCCGGAGGACTCAGCTGATATCTCGAGTAACATCACTGCCACTTTCCAGGCTGGTGCCTTTTTCGGCGCCATCATTTGCTTTTTGAGTATGTTTTTAATCTCTTGGACTAGGGATGATTGCTGACAGGTTTGAAGTTACTGAGAAGATTGGTCGCAAGTGGGCTCTCCAGGCCAACGTTGTTGTTTTCCTCGTCGGTGCTATTCTCATGACTGCTGCTACCCACCAATTGTCTTATATCTGTAAGTCACCCTTAAGTCAATCTCAGTCTCTATCTAACACTTTCAGACGCCGGCCGCGCTCTCACCGGTATCGCATGCGGTGCCATCACCGCCACAGTCCCCAGCTACATCGCCGAACTCTCCATCGTCTCCATCCGCGGTATCCTAACCGGTCTCTTCGAAGTCACATACCAAACCGGTTCTCTGATCGGCTTCTGGATCAACTATGGCATCAACCAGAACATGAACCCTTCTTCCGCTGCAGCATGGCGTGTCCCCATGGCTGTGCAGATCGCCCCCGCTGCTATTCTCTTCATTGGTGGCTTCTTCCTACATGAGAGTCCGTTGTGGTTGATGCGGAAGAATCGTGAGGAGGATGCTACCAAGGCCCTTGAGAGTCTGCGACAGATTCCTCGTGATCACAAGTGTAAGTTTTGTTGGTCAAGGATGAGAGTTTGATACTAATTGTGGGATAGATCTTCAAGAGGATCTTGATATGATTCGAAAGCGTCTTGCGGATGAGGCCCACGTTGCTAGCAGGTTTGGCACTGGACCCTGGGCTCTCTTCCGAGGTGCTGTGTCTGAACTTACTCGCAAGGGAATGCGAAACCGTGTTCTGCTTGTCTTTTGCTCTTTTGCTCTGCAGAACATGTCTGGTGCTGCTGGTAAGTTGAACAGCACATCTCTACAGGAAGAAACTGACAGTCGACAGCCATCAACTATTACTCACCCACTCTTTTCGGTTCTCTCGGCATTAGCGATGTTGCTCTATACACTGGTATCTATGGTCTTGTCAAGGGTACGTTCAAAAATTCACCGATACTGAGCTCTTGCTGACTCTTTTGCAGCCGTCGCATCTATCATCTTCTACGGTGCTCTCATCGACATGTGGGGACGACGTAACCCTACCATCATCTCATCCGCCATGTGCTCTGTCTGTCTCTGGATTGTTGGAGCTTATGTCAAGATTGGACACCCCGCTACTATCATTGCTGAGGGCAAGGAGCTTTCTCCCTCGACTGCCGCTGGTGGTAAGGCTGCTACGGCTATGATCATGATCTACTCTGTCTTGTAAGTTCTCTCGTCTAATGTGGTGAAGACAGCATGCTAACTCTTATAGCTGGTCTTTTGGTCTCAACGGTATCCCCTGGATCGTCTCAGCTGAGATCTTCCCCGGTGCTCTCCGAACCTTGACAGGTACATACGCGGCCTGCGTTCAATGGTAAGTCACCGTCACACCTCTCTCGTGACAATAGTAACTAACAACTACAGGCTCACTCAATTCGCCATCACAAAGGCTCTTCCTTACATCTTCAAGTCCTTCGGCTATGGAACATGGTTCTTCTTCGCATGCTGGATGATCACCGCCACCGTATGGGCCTTCTTCTTCCTCCCCGAGACAAAGGGCAAGACCCTCGAAGAGATGGACGTCATGTTTGGCTACGTTCACGATCGTGCTCCAAGCGAGCAGGACGATATGGTCAAGGCTGGCGCTAGATCCTCTGTGACTGAGCACAAGGAAGAAAGCGTTTAAATAGGGGTTACCTAAGTATATACACTCTACTCGAAATCTAAATCAGACGGATATCTCCCCCGTTGGCAATAAATCCACAAGGACCGTTACTAATTGTCGTTCCCCTCCTGACATCTTGTGATGTGATGAATGATGAATTGAAGTTGTCGTGAGGGTTGCAGGAGTTTGCAATCACTAACTCACAGCCTCCGGGGAAGTTGGACCAGATGCAGTTCTGAGTCTGATGGCATGCTATACAGCATTCGTAAGCATTGCGTGCTGGAATTCCCACTTGGATCTGATTCCTGGAGCCGCCGTAGTTGACTTGCCAGACGAAATGTCCTCCGTTCGCTGAATTGATGAGATTATTCGCTTGACATGCAGCGTATGTCGTTGCAGTAGCCAGAGTTGTGGTCGCATAGAGGGTTGTATTCCAGTCGATGGGCCTTGTGGTCCAAGTCCAAGTCGAGGTAGTGGTCTCGGTAATGACATTCTCCACTGTAGCCTGCACAGTCGTGCTCTCAGTTCGCGTACTCACAACCGTTGCAGTAACAGTCGCAGTAGCAGTGTTCACCGTTACATTCCGAGTTACTGTTGTAGTGGGTACAGATGTAGGACAAAGTCCGGTCTGGGTAACGGTTCGCGCCGTCAAAGTGAAGATAGTTGTGTTGCAGACAACAGCTTGTATATTCGGCCAGCATCTCTTTCCAAGGGCCGGTCGGACCGTTGGTACCGAGCTGTCATCGTCGCGCTTGTTACGGTGTCGAGGGATATAGCCTGGTTCAGAGGCGATGGGGACAAAGCCTGATGTAGCGGGGATAGTAGATGTTCGTCGAATGATAAATGTCAATGTCAAAGTACTTGTTGATGTAACAGTTGTAGTAGCTTCTTCAGTGTCGGTGGTGGTGACTACACATGGTCAGAATCATAATCGTCTTTTCAAGGGGTTGTTTGCTCACCATCAGTCGTGGTGGTAGACGTCTGGGTAACGCGTAGAGCAGAGACTACAGTTGAGTTGACAGTCTGAGTTCCGGTCGTCGTTGAGGTGCTATTAAAGACGAATACTGTCGCTGTAGGACAGACGCTTACGACACGGGTTAGCGTTGAGTGAATGGTATTCGATCTCGTAGTGGGAGGTGCAGGCGAAGTGGTAGGAAAGGGGCCGCATCCTCGCTCAGTCACACAGGCCTGTGTAGTAAATACATTTTGTGCAATAGCTACGCTAATCAAAGCGCAGATTAATAGCATGAGGTGCATTTTAATGATTCTATATTCAGGCTGGGATGATTGTGTTTTCAAGAGACAGGATGGATGAAGAGAAAGTGAGTCATCTATGAATGTCATAAGAGGATTCTCTCCGATATGGGTCTCCTCTCGATTTATCGTATTCATTTCATGTCTTCGAATCATACAGAGAAGTGATGATGCATAAATGTTCACGATGGCGCCTTGATTTGCAACATCAAGCATGAGGCTTCAGTCGTAAAGTCAATCATTATACAAACGGCCTTGTCTGCTTCGCACCCTAGCGTTTTCATTGCCCCAAGATGTAAATACACGAGGGTTGAGCTAAGGAAACCTCAATTTCTTGACAAATTTTATAAGATTTCAAGAAGATTAAGCATAAATGTGATAGAGTTATCGATTTGCGAAGAAAATAAATCATGCTTACAGTTGAAGTCTCAACCGCAATGTGAAGCGCCACTCTACGCAAACAATCCATTCGTGCAATACGCAGTATTTTAATTGGACATCCGTCTTGTTTGCATCACTTACACTTTACGGCATGAAAGTTTACCGGCGCAGAGAAAGAGCAGCGTGCACAGTCCAGAGCCACATAGCCATAAGGAATGATGCATCTCAAGCACTGCCAGCAGTAATAGCACAATGAATCTATGACTCCATCTGAAGAATCAAAAAATGATTTCTTTGTTATTGCGGCGTTACCGTACCTATTCTGGGTATCTTCAACCTCAGCATAGGTCAACCGTTGGAACCCCTGCCAAGAGAACAAAGAACAAAGAAGCGGCTCATTGCTGAAACCGGGATCTGAACGCTTGCAATTGAAGCTTTCAGTTAGATGTTTGTTTCATGTTTCAGGAACAGTCTAAAGAAAGAAATTGTGGCGTCGATGAAGGTGAGGAGATTGAAGAACATATGAATAGGAGCACTTATATATAGATGTATGACAGTCACCTCAACGTTCTTGTTCAAATAGCATATACAACAAGAAATAAAGAATATTTATCTCGTATCTGAAGCTCAGTTTCTCGCAAAATGGAACGATCTACGTACAACTATACCTCAGTTCCACAATACCAATATCAGCAACCTCAACACACAATGCAGACTGTCAACCCAGCCTCTTTAACTCAACAAGCGTCCTACACTCCCTTATACACCGATAGACCTTCAAACCCTATCACTGCAGCCAGTTCTACTGGGCAAACCAGAAACAACACATCTTCGTCATCGCCATACTCAAGTATGGGACGACAAGAAACCTGGATGGGAAGTGTGGGCTTCACAGATCGCTTCACTAGAGACAGTATGGGTTATGGTCGAGCAGCACCAGACATGCCATCAAATTACGAGTCTGAGCCTTTGGAACCCCTCTTTGGCAGAACGCAGCCTTTGCCGCAATTGCCTCCTCCTGATATTCAGCAACCCCCTGCACGCTCAAGACAGAGACGCGGAGGAGATAGGGCGTGGTCTCGCAAGCAACCACATTCAGGATATGTTGAAGTGCCCAGAAAGATCATTCACAATGGGAAAGAGAACGTTATCACGAACACGGTGTATTTCAACCGAAGCTATGGAGGGTATTGGCACAGTCGACCATAGATGACATTCAGGGATCGTTCGGAGGAGTTGCATTGATGGCCAGCATATAGACAAAGTGGGTATAGATCTCATAGACACATAATTCATAACTCATCTCAGCGATTCGCTGCCTTCTCGTGTCCCTCTACCTCGACGAGGTTGACTTGGCGATCTCTCTGGGCTTCAACGAACGGCTGCTTCTTCCAATGTCGTGCAGGAATACCATCTCGAAAGAAGCCGTTTATCTCCTCCATACTGCGGCCTGTGACTTCACCTACGCAGAAATACACGTAAGTCAACGTGACGAAGCATAGACCCGTGTATACGAAGCCTGTCTTGGGACCGAGATTGGCGGAGTAGTAGAGGTATGGGAGGGTGAAGACTGTAGCCCAGACTGTGACCCAAAAAGAAGCCACGGCGACGGCGTATATTTTGTTTCGGTTTCTTCCAACAGCCATTTCAGAAGCCTGAGTTCAAGTGTGTCAGAAGAGGTGTGACTGACGAGAGGGGGACACTTACGATAGTCCAACCAAGGGGACCCCAAGCAAAATTAAAGGCCACAATCTCAATAATCACAAAACTGATAATCACCTTCCCAATAGTTTCACTAGGGGTTCCACCAGGAATACCTAAGCACCCAACCACAAAGATAGACACAGTCATGATGCCCGTGGTGATGAGCAAAAGAGGTCTTCGTGGAATCTTGTTAGCCAGCAACACCGCCGCAAGAACGACAAAGACTTGAATGATGAATACAATAAGAGTCATGAGAAATGGGTCTTTGAGTCCAATTGCCTTGGAGAAGATGGTGCCGAAGTAGTAGAACCATTGGATTCCGTTGATCTGTTGGGCGATCAAGGCACCGGCGCTGTAGATCACTTTGCGACGTTCAATTGGATCTGTGATTAGTTGGACCCATGCGCTTTCAATCTCGTTAGAACTCTCCTTTTCGAGATCTTCTTCGATATTCTGTATCACGGGTTTAGGGTCGTAGTGCTTGTCTTCATGGTGAAGTAAGCGGAGAGATCGCATCGCTTTGTCATGATGACCACGACGTAATAACCAGCGTGGTGATTCTGGAAGCCATGCAATTCCCAGAAATAGAATCAATGGAAATATCAGCTGAAATCCAATCGGAAATCGATATGCAAAACTCGTGTCGTCGTGAATAACACTCCTGTTGATACCAGCAGCGATAATCTGTGAGACAGACAAAACAAGCTGCCAGCACATAAGGAGAGGGCTTCTCAAAGACTCCGGCGCTATTTCCTATAAGTGATCACGATCAATAAAACCAATCTCACATGATCAATCGGGGAATTTAAAAATAAAAAAAACCTACTCCCATGTACAAAGGCGAAGTTACCGAGAAGGTTCCCACCCCAAACCCGGATACGGCTCTACCGGCGGTGATAAGAGCTCGACTCGAAGTTGTAGAAAGCTGCATTACAACACCAACGACCACGGCAACGGAGCCGGTGAAGAGCGAGCCCTTTCGGCCGAATAGATCGTTTAGAGGTGCTGCTAACAACGATCCCACTAACTCGCCCACATTGATCATGCTGGTCATGACAGCTAGATTCTGGGGCGAGATATGGAATTCGCCATCATCACCCCGCGTTCCAAAGTCGCCAACAAAGACATCTTGACAGTCAGTTTCTGGCAATTCTATATTATATTGAGTGACCTACCGAGAGTCGAAACTCCGGTAAAGTATACGCCCTCGTAGCCGTACAGACAAGCTCCGAGGGCAGCGAAGCCGCAGCATAACCAGACGTAAGGATATCTGATGATGCTTTCCAGCATGTTTTTTTTCGTCCGCGGACGGCCGCGCGTTGAGTTACAGGGCTGAAAGGGAGGGGGAGGGTTGACCCTTTCTTGCTCCAACGGTAACGGCTTCTGGGTCTAGCTTTGTTTTGGATTAGATATGGTATGGGGAAGAAGTTATCGGTGATACCGTGCAAGTGGATACGATGATATTAAACAGTTCAATGGATCATGGAAGTTCAGGTTCGAGTTCAAGTTAACGTTACAGCAATGACAAGGCTCAAGATACAGGCCAAGCCTCAGGTGAGGAGTGCATCACGAGTTGCTCGCTCACTCACTCAGTAACTTCCCATCAAGCCCCTTTTCTCTCCTCAACTGTACCATTGCTTCTGGAACCTCGCTCCGAGCTCGCTTAGAGAGCTCTCCCCAAACAATTGGGCTGAGATGGAAACCCAAGCTAACCCGTCAAAAGTTAGGATCATCGAAATAAAGTTTCACCCGAGTCATGAAGCTTTACCTCTTGAGGGAGCGCCGCGCCATCTTGATAAGTTGATGCCGGGGCTTTTCTCAAAAGGGACCATTCGGGAAACTTGGGTGCGAAAAAAACAGGAGCACGGTTGCATTTGTCGTTCTTTTTTTAACTAAGAATTGATTCCAATTTACTCTTTTTCTTCCCTTCCCTTCCTTGTACTGTACATAGAGGCAGTGAGAAAAAGACGCCTTGACCATCAGTCCATCGATGGAGTCTTGGAGAAGAAGCTTCGACCATTCGCTACTGTAGCTATCCTATCTACTAAGGTATGGTATCATTGGATTGAAAATGCCAAGAAAGGTTGTCGCCGAAATGGATATAATTAGACGTTGCTTCACTTTATTTCGTTCGCAGTCAACTAATAAACAGCTCCAACCTGGATAATCACCACCACCAACACTCTAAGTCTACTTCTCAACGCCACGATTATGCGATCAATACTCCCTGTTCCAACTCCACCACCTGAATCATGTCCCTATTCTCGCGTATCAACCTACCAAGCTTCCGCCGATGTCATTCCTCTTCTTGTTGACGATACATACCACGTCTTTCACCTCAGCACCCCGCCAGCCACAAAGCATCACCCAGAACGTCTAAGATCAACATGGTCGCGACTCCGATCAAGAAATCTTCTCGAATGGGAACGTGATCCAGAGCCTGTCTTGTCACCTGGTGAATCAAGCTCTGATCCAGATGCTGATGGTACCTGGACTGGATGCGCAGTGCTTGATTTAGATCAATGCATGAATATCTTTTACACGGGGTATAATTTGTCGCAAAATGGTCGACAGACGATACGTCGTGCGAAAGCAGAGGATCTTCATGGCTCGAGGTTCGAGAAAGATGCAACGCCAGTTACAATTCATCGCGAAGGGCTCGATAAATATGAGGACATTGACTTTCGAGATCCGTTTGTCTTTTATAACCGCGCTGAAGGTCGATACTGGATGCTTGTAGCTACTCGACTAGTCAATGGCCCATATTGGAGTCGCGGATGCATCGCATTGTTAACATCCCCTGACCTCGAAGCCTGGACCGTGGCGCCTGAACCTCTATACGCCCCCAACGACGTCTTCTGCCCCGAATGTCCAGAGATCTTCACGCTACCTAACGGAAAGTGGTATCTTGTCTACTCGCGCTTCCATGCTCCGAATGCTGGAACAGTATATCGCATCGCAGACACACCATACGGACCATTCCGTGTACCAAGAGATGGATCTCATGGCCGACTCGACGGACGCCGTTGGTACGCAGCCAAGTCATGCCCTAAATCGGGAGACCCCGATAAGAGAATCACATTTGGCTGGATTGGAGACTACGCGGACGACGAGAAGAAGTGGCTTTGGGGAGGTGATCTTGGTGTTACTAGAGTTATGTGGGCGGACACAAACGCCTGTCTGCGCATCGATGCCTCTCAAGAGTTTAGGAGTTACATATGGCGATGCTCCAAGCCTGTTTCGCCAAGCAACGCTGCTCCAAGCTTATATCTCTGCTCTCTCGGCACAACAGCGACTCATTTCCCTGAGCTGGGATCTGCAGAGTGGAAGAAGGATCTCATGGTGGACTTCAAAGTCGCAGCTTGTGATGCGCATACTTTTGGCGTCATGCTTCAGACCGACAGCTCAGGTAAAGGTCATCGTCTCCAGTTTAACTCGCAGGGAAACGGCTTCTTCTCCGTCGCCCTCATCACCGACTTTCCACCCCTCGACGATTTCTGGGCAGACCAGTACCGCATATATATACCCCGACCCATCGATGGCCCCGAGTTAGTACGACACGATAACGTCAGTCTCGTCGATGGGGTCTTCCTCTTTTTGAGGGGTCAGCTCGTCGAGGTATTCTGCGGAGGACGAGCGCTGAGTTTCCGACTACCTATACCGCCCAACTGGGCAAGCGGCGAGCGTGACGGTGTGCGCAGATTGGGATGGTTTGTGGAAGATGGTATGGTTGATTTAGTTGATATTAATATGCGGCATTCGATGGGTTTCAAGGATAGCTCAGTTGAGTCTGACAATGGACTCGAAGATGCCGACTAATTTCTTCTATTAACCTTCCTGCCGCATTCCTCCCATTCGCGACCCTTTCATCCAAGATCTCTCTGCGGCATCATGGGATTTGGTTGAATGACCAAACCGCTGAGAAGATCATACGGCCCCGACGCACCCGCAGCGAGATCCCAGTCGCCGAAATCAGTATATTCATACACATCAGCACTATAATTGCCCATCATAGGGCTAACTTTATCATTAAGCGGCTCGTTCAAGTTAACCGCGAGAGAATGCTCCAAGCCTCGCAATATAGCCCCCTCCAGTCGATTAACGGCATATTGCATCGGTTGATGGCTTTTGCTCATCATGCGAAGATTCCAAAGATACGAGTTCAGGGTTTCCTGCCAGAAATGTCGCTCCTGCGAGGATAACGAAGTGACGAGAAGTAATGTGGTGAAAGAGCCGAGGAGCGAGAAGAGGTAGGGTGATGTGAAGTACCAAAACGCCTCGAGATGATCAGGTCGCAAGCTTATAACAAAAGATATGGCGCTCTGGGCTGTTTGAAGCGCAATCTGTCGAATGCTGGAGAGGACTCGATCGTCAGAACACCGCGGTGGGAGTGCTGTAGATCGTATTAAGCGGCGCAGCAGGGTCATCACAACGCCGTAGTAGGAGAAGTGCAGATATCCGTGGAAGCACAACTTGCGCTGGTAAATAACGTTCATCTGCAGTGTCGGCGGAATGCTATGGTACCAATTCGTCAACATTTCGAATAGCGGCCGGGCTTTTTCCCAGAGAATAACGGTATCTTGCTCACGGCAGGTTCGCGCTGTGTAAAAGTTGGAGTAGACAACGGATAGAATCTGCGTCAACCGTACCATCTGTATAAACTGCGTCATGCCAGTTGCAGCAATAGATCTCCGATCATCATCAGAGCCAGATACAGAAACAGAACTAGAAACCGATCCAGTAGCGGACGCCGAAGCAGCTGCATGGCCTTCGCTGTCGAAATCAGAAAAGTCGCCCGGTGTAAGATCGCCCACTGTCCAGTCATCGTCGTGAATATGCACAGGTCGTCCGTAAGCCAATGCCGTCCAGCGATCCTGCATGAATAGCGCCCAGCTCAGACGCTTGCGAACATTGCGCTCCCATTGCGGAATAGTCCAGTTGCTCGCATCAAGGTGAAGCCCAAGACATTGGCCGATCGCAAGCACCTGGCAGGTGAGGCCCCATTGGAACGTGTGGTCCGGGTTGAGGGGGTCTTCGGGCTGGCACTGCAGAAGAAGGAGCGCAGCCTGGATGGAACTGAGCTTTGGGCGGTGATAAGACGCCGGTATGGCAGACCGTAGCATCCTACGGAGGAGGGCGGCATCAGGGGGGTTTCTTATGGAGAGCTCAGGGTCGTAGGTCCACCAGCGAATGGCGGATAGATAGATGGCTCCGAGGAGGGCGGCGGGAATGCGTCGGTATGACTGGCTGTAGGCAAGGGTAAAGGGATCCTTGGAGAGGATGGGATAGCATGGTTGCACGTGTCTCCAGAAGAGCTCAACGAGACTTGGGCCGTGAGGATGAACACAGCTCTCGATAGCGTCGACTTGAGAAAATGTCGGATCGCCTTCAACGGCTTTTTCGTCACGAGCCATATGAAATGTCAAGGGATACTCCTGACCGTCATCTCTCTCCAGCACGCGTCGAATAGCATGTGTGTCAAGACTAAACTCGTGAGTCTGAGGATCGTAGGGTCGATGTCGCATTAGTATAGGTTCCATATCGCTCCCAAGACCATAAAGCTCTGCAAACCGCGTAGACGAACAACCCATAGTGCGATCCAGGGGACCAAGCTCAGGTACCATGACGGATGGCGGAGCGAGAGGAATACCGCTATCAGCAGAAGCCCTGGTTTCAGCAGGAGATAAAAATGCCTGGACCGAGGACACAGAGTGAACGGATTGGACATCGTCTCGCGACTCTTTACGGCTCTGGCTCATGCTTCGCGCTGACGTTTGGCTCTGCTCCTCATGACTGATATCGTCTTGCGGTTGTTGCAGGGAGACTGTATTTGAGTTTGGACCGGAAATGCCACTACTGCCACTACCACTGGCGACCTGTCGCTCCGGAGGATCATGCTGAAAGGTACACGGCGTAGCTCTCAGCTGGCAGTGGACGCAATCACCGTCGCCATCCTTTGTAACGCAGCGAGTCTTGCGCTTCCGACAGGCGTCACAGGGACGAAGACTGCGACGCTGTCGCTTGCGAGCGTTGTTCTGATAGTCCTGGGGTGTGATGATTTCCATTTGTCGAGGAGGAAGGGTGAAGTTCTGCCATGTCCTCCTGGGGCAGAGTCGAGCGTGAAGTGAAGTGATGTAAGTTGTAAGCTTGCTTCTCTCTTGGTGTTAAGAACCTAGCATCCACTCCCCGCTTGTACTTATTTCCCTGTCGTGTCCGTGTCTCAAGCTATTGCAGAAGTCTTGGGTCTTGGTATGGTCTTACGCAAGGCAAAAAAAGAGGATTACATATACAACAAACGAGAACGATAGGTAGAAAAAATAACAACTACCGATCTTCCGTTCTTTGCTTACTCGGCTCTTGGCCCTTGAACAAGCTCTCTTGGCATGAGGCTGTGTCGATGGACGAGTGACATTGAGCCCAACTGACAAGTTTGTGTGTGCAGTGAACTTGGTTCTACGGTTTTGTTCTTTTTGGTGTGAGGAAGATAAGATGGTGTTGGTGATGATCGTTTAAGACAAGACAAGACAAGTTCGTCAGCCTCAAAGTCAAGTTTCAGCTATGGATCGGGTTTTCTTGGATTCTGACACAGACACCGCTGAATCAGCCGTTTCTAATCAGCCGTTTCTCTTGATGCTTCCTTTCTCTGGTTACTCTTTGGCTTTTGTTTCATTGCATGGCTTTTGGCGGCGACGCGCCATTTTAAGCGGATGACGGTGGAGGCTGGGCTGAAGAAAATAGGTCACGGCCACTTCGCTCGTGTTGTATCCCTGTCTAAAAGGTTCAAACGGGAACCTTGTCGACCTCTCGCTGCGTGTCTCTCCCGTGCATGCAAGTGCAGTCCATCTACAGCAAATAAAATAGAGTTGGGCCCGTCTTTCTGGCCCATGTAACGCCCTCCCTGTGGCTACACGCTAGAAAGCACACAAGACAAGACAAGACGCCATGGTGTGGAACTCAGCGTTGCTCCTCGTACCAAGAACAGGACCGGCGCCGTCTCCGTTCTCTAGCATTCGCTGAACTCAGAAACTGACTTTTTGCTTTTTGGGCACCGGCTCCGAGGGTTCGGGAGTTGGGGTATGCCAATGGTATTCTAGTGGTGGTGAGTGGTAGTCTAGGGGGGGCGCAGGTGCCGTTGCCGCCGAGTCTTGGCAAGAGAGCGACCCTGAAAGTCTGATTTGATTACTTTACTTGGCTTTTGATGACGTAGAATAAAGCATTATCCTTTTGGTCCCTTCGGATTCAACCGTCATGACCTCATCTTCCGAGCCTCTCAAACCCCTCTATCAACATCTCAATGTCAGATACGCACTGTAGACGATGGACAGAATCTCAGACAAACCCTAGATAAAGTTGTATTGCCAAGATTCACATCAATTCGCCCTCCTGCCAACAATCGTGGCTTATGTAGTATCATGCCAAGAACCTGCATCAGCACAGATGGGCCAAGCTATAACAAGAAATTCAAAGAGAAATTCAAATCTTGCAGATCATTTTTCCCTCATTAGCAATCATCCAAATGTGACTGAACCCTTGACTGCACATCAGTGGGTTTATCTCGACCCTGGGGCCTGGGACTGGTATGTCACCAAACCTAAACCGCAAATATTATTGCAATACCCATACTTCCAACAACGCTATTTCACAAGGCCTTTTTTCTGTCCCTAATTAATTGAAACTAGAACCAGCAACTTGAACTCACGCCATTCTGACATCTAACGCTTATCCTTTTCCATGCCAGTTGCTTTTGAAACAAGTTCTACTACCAGTCTAGACCAATCTCAGACCATTCGGCCAAGCTTGACTAGGTCAGATCTTCGAGTGCAGCACACCCAATCGGTATGTGTTTGATTAGTTCCCTTGAAGCAGCCTCTACAATGTGCAGAAATGGTCACGTACTCTATCTTTGGGGTTGCAATTGCCATGGTGGCGTTATCGATTGCCCCCAAACTCCCGGCTTAGGGATGGATTCCTTGTCGATTCTTTCGAAGATCGTTGAGCCTGTGGTCGATAAGTGTCACAAGTGGAGGCTCGCAGTGATCACAGCTAAACGACAAAAGCAACTCCAGCCACCGTCATCACGCAGTTGCATCGACCAGTGATACTAAGCAACTCCCAATTCGATAGCTCACAGGCCAAGCCCTCATGAAGATCGATGCAAGAACAAACATATCGATGAACAAATAATGATTCTCCTGCCCTATTTCTACCCACATCCCCATTAAAATCACCTCAGCGAATCGGTATCAATCCAGCTGCATACATTACCAGCACAGACCCTTAAACTACCAGTGTGTTGATCAACTTCAAAAGAACCTTCTTCACTAGCCTCATCAAGTTAAGGAGAAGCCGTTTGGTCTGTCACATCTGAGGCCAGAAATACATGTGCAACGGTTCTGGGGGACCAGTGATCGAAGGAAGAGCACAGCCGCTCGGGTGCCTTTTCCCGTTTTTCTTAACAGCTCGCGCGCCGTTCCGTGGTAATCTGCGGCTGAGGGTCTCGTGATCATCGCTGCTCGGACGTTTGGTTATTTCAACTAATCCTGCAGCATGGTTGAGGCGCCGTCTTGGCTCGTGGGCAGGGACATAAGTGACTTTCGAAAGGATAACTTGGTTGACGATTCTTGGTGTAAGCCTATCTCTTGGCAGGCGAAATGAATCCATTCCATGTGACCAACTTAGTCGGTTCTGAGGTTGCTGTCAAAGAGTATTTTGAAGTTTATATTCTTGGAATCACTCCTGAATGCTGACTATTTTAGATATCCCACTTAGTTGGTTTGCTACATATGTGTCTTTAACCTTAAATACGCGGTCTTTGAGGTTCATAGATGCAGTATCGGACATTTTGACGCTTTTGGCATGCCTTGGGGACCCTTTGGACTCGAAAGCAACAAGGAATATAGCCGCTTGAAATTTCGGCCATATTCCGCAGTCTATGAAACCTTGACCCTGCTTTAAGTTCCAGTGTCTAGTTATCTGCTTCTTTTCAAACAACTGTTAATAACTACAGGGAACAGGAACCTTGGATCGTGAAGTCAGTCTTTTCGAAGTTGCCGATAAGCGGACGGTGAGCAGGGGTAATCAAGTGAATTGTCGATCACGAGAGGCCTGCTCCTTATTAATAGAGCTCGGGAATAAGTGATCGACTGACTGACGCAGAGATCTTCAAAATAGTGTCGAATTCTCGATGATCTCTCGAGGGAATCCAACATCTATCTACTCACGAGCCCCTGATGTCGATGGAGTTGGTATAGGGTAATCATTTTCCAGGATTGACAATGTTCAGCCACAACTTGACTAACACTGTACGCCATCCGCTAACTCACCGAAATGCACTGGCGGCCTTCTAGCCTAACCGCCTGAATGCTACGAAAGCCGACAGATATCGGGAATTTATACGCCGCTTGTTATTTTATAGACCATCGTGACGTGTTGAGTCGTGCAGTTGCGGCGAAAAGCTCTGTTAGTGCCCTCAGCCCTTCTTAGAACTCCACTACCGGAGGCACCAGCGAAGGAAGCACTCAAACTTATGCTGCTAAATGGATACCAGCGACGATAGCATCAAATATGGGACGAATAACAAGAATCTAGGGTCGATAAACGACAGGCACACTGCTCCAGAGGCTGCCTCAACAACAAAGCATAGTAATCAACATATCGTTCCTCTCACAAGTCAACTTAGCGCATTGACTGGCTTGATCAGCATTAACTAGCAATGTTGTGGAGTATATAGACTAGACCAAAACAGGCATCTCGATATTGAATCCCAGAGCGTGGCATGGATGGAAGAAAGTGTATCGAGGAGCCAATTGGCAAGATATGTTCGGTCGCTGAAATGGGCAATTCATCAAAGGCCCGAAAAGCCCGTGGCGATTCGAATTGGCACAAGCAACGAGTGATTGTCATTGCGAATGACGGAGGCGAAGGCGGCGTTTGCCATGGGGGTTTTTAAGCTTAAAGACTAAAAACTACTATGCAAGTCGCCCCAGATGATCGAGATGATGATTGATCCACGACGACGAGTCGCATGAGTCAGATTGTAAAGAAAGAAATGTAACCCACCTGTCATTTATTACATTGCATGTTCAGAACGATAACATGGGTTGATTGACAGATAATTAAACTTCTTGTTGACGGGCGAGTTACCGCTCCAAAACCGTTTGACCGACGCTATAAAGCAAAACCTTGCCCATCAGCATCTGTCGGACAAACCCGTCCAAGCCTATTCTTATCATGGCGAACTCCGTCTTGGCTGATACAGACAATCTACACACGTTTCTACATAGTGATAGATAACACGATAGCTACACTATAGCTGACAAGGAAGGAGAAGAGATTGAGTGAAGATATTCCCTCGGCTGGCCACTCACGTTGCCCACGTGTGTCTTGGCGATCCTCTCTCATGGAACCTTTGCGCGACCCCAAGTCTTGATCGGCCGGGGCCGTGGCCGTTGTCAAAATAAAGAGAGCGACGAGCCAATTCTGACGATGTTGAATTGTTCACCTTTTCTTTGCGCGTAGGTCAACATCATGAAGTCGTCAATTACTCTGGGTGCCCTCGCTTTGGCGGGCTTGGTATCTGCTGAGGATGTCCTGTACAGCAAGCGATTGAATAAGCGATTCGTCGACGATGATGGGCACTATAACATGTGTATGTGATCAATTGCTTGTTGAGTGGTTCAATTGACTTATGTATGTAGCATTCTTTCACGTCAACGATGTTCACGCCCATCTCGATGAATTCGCAAAGTCGGGCACTGACTGCGTGGATCCCAAGAAGGGTTGTTTTGGAGGTTACGCGTGCATAAAGCACACAGTCGACGGGCTTCGAAAGGATCACCCTGATAACCTCTGGCTCAACGCAGGCGATGAATTCCAAGGCACGCTGTTCTACTCGTTCTACGGACCGTCTAAGATCGCCGAGAATCTCAACACCTTGAAGTTTGATGCCATGACACTTGGTAACCATGAGTGGGATGGCGGTGATGAGGAGCTCGGCGAGTTTCTCCAGAACCTGACGTTCCCCGTTGTCTCGTGCAATGTCAAGAGTGAATACGAGGGACTGAAC